CTCTGAATGTGCCGAAGCATTTTTAATTTCAAAAGATGCTTTGACAACTAGCCCCATACTTATATATCGTACTTTAGATAAGGAATTTATACTGGATACAGATGCCAGCGGTACTGGAAGTGGAGCTGTTCTTTCCCAAATCGGTGATGATGGCAAAGAACATGTAGTTGCCTATTACAGTAAATCGTTTAGCAAACCTGAAAGGAATTATTGTGTGACTAGATGGGAGTTACTGGCCATAATAATTGCAATAAAACAGTTTCAACATTATTTATACTGTGTACATTTCTGTGTTAGAACAGACCATGGAGCATTGACATGGATCACAAATTTTAAAAACCCTGAGGAGGTGGCTAGATATTTTGGGCACATATAATTATACTTATACTATAAAATATAGAGCAGGACTTAAACATGGAAATGCTGATGGTTTATCTAGGAGACCATGCAGTATATCCTGTACCCACTGTGAAAAACAGGAAAACCAAAATCTGGCTGAGGAGAAATCCAGTAGTCCTGAAATAAGAGCCATGAGTGCTGATAACCAAGACCAATAAGATTCAAATCCTATTGCTACCAATTGGGTAAAGGGAAATCAAGAAATGAGTTGATGGAGTCTCAAATGCAAGACGATATCATAAAAATCATTAGGCAATGGAAAGAAAATCTTAACATTAAACCACAATGGCAGGATATATCTCACCTTAGCAAAATACATAAGCCATACTGGGCCCAATGGGACAGGCTAGTTGTAGTGGAGGGAATTTTATATCACAAATGGATAAATACCATTACCAATACACAAAGTCTACAGTATATTTTACCCCGTACCTTTAGACGTGAAGTTTTAAAACTGCTACATGACGACACTTTAGCTGGGCACATGGGTATTAAACGGACCACTGCTCGTGTGCATCATAGATTTTATTGGGTGGACTACCGAACTTTTGTAGATAAATATTGTATAAGGTGTATAGAATGCCAAAAACGTAATGGACCAACCAAGGGTACCAGGGCGTCAATGAAAACCTATGTTGTGGGAGAGACAATGGACAGAGTCGCAATTGATATATAAGGACCTATACCACAAACTTACAATGGCAATAAATACTTGATGGTCATTACAGACTATTTTACTCGCTTTGCCGAAGCATATGCAATACCAAATATAAATGCTTCTTCTGTGGCTGCAAAAATGGTGACAGAATTTATATGCCGTTACGGAGTACCCACACAAATCCATACTGATCAAGGTTCCAAGTTCACCTCAGATTTATTTTTACAGTTGTGTAAACTTTGACATATCCACAAAACCAGAAACAGCCCCTTTCATCCCCAAAGTTCTAGTCTAGTTGAAAGATTGAATGGTACAATTGAAGATATGCTGAGCAAAGTAGTCTCCAAAAACCAAAGAGACTGGAATAAATATGTGCCTTTATTAATGCTGGCTTATAGATCAGCCCCCCCCCCCCCCCAATGAAACCCCAAATAACATGATGTTTGGTCGTGAAGTTCATATGCCCATTGATTTGATTTATGTTGTTCACTCCCCTGATAGTAAACTATCGAGACCAGAATATATAGACCAATTGACCAGTTGTATGGACAAAGTGCATAATGTAGTTAGGGATAGATTGGTGCATGCAGCTGCTCTACAGAAACGCAGATATGATCTCACCAGTAAAAATTATCATTCTAAAGTGGGGGACGGAGTCATGTTAAGGGACTCCAAGAAATATAAAGGAAGAAGTCCTAAGTTTCAGTTCAAATGGGAAGGACCCTTTACTGCAATTTAACAAGTTTCAGATATTTTATACCAAATTCAAGAAGGACCAAAGTCTTAGACAAACATTATTCATGTCAACCGACTTAAACCATATAAAGGTTATTTAAAAAGGTGGTACCAACCTCCTGGTGAATCAGCCCTAAATACCAGGAGACACCCAAAAGGACAGGACTGATGAATAACGGACAGGACTGATGAATAACGGACCGACCATGACGAATAATTATTTTTACTGTAGTGTTATTACAATGTTTAGCATAAATATGATGTCGTGTTTTTATATCTTAAAATGTGATGTCATAAAAATATATGGCATATGTAATCTTGAATAATGACCAAAACAAAATAAAGTCTTGTTGTATATATAATTTTATTTACAAATATAATGTGTGCAAGTGTTGCCTTCTTCTTTATCAGTATAAACAGGGCGAGACAAATACCTGTTCAATGATATTGCTATAGCAATTGAATGCATATTGCATCTGGAAAATTTTTAAAAGGTACATGTATATATTATCGAGATATATAAACATATGAATGTATCTACACATGAAAGGGTATATACTAATAAATATATGAATGTATCTACACATGAAAGTGTATATATATTAATTTCTGCAAGTGTATATATTAATAAATATATGAATGTATCTACACATGAAAGTGAATATATTAATTTCTGTAAGTGTATATATTAATAAATATATGAGTGTATATATTAATTTCTATCACATGACTAGTGATATTATTTATGAGTACCATACCAATAATTAAAGTATTCGCAAATTATTCATGGGGCACCATCCTCCTTCCTTAAGCACCCTTTAGCTAAAACTCTTCAAGAACAGATCAATTTATGTAGGAGAACCCGCGCCTCTCGCTACCAAAGGAGGCTAATACCTATTGAGACCAGCCGTATTATGAAGAATTAACGATGCTATCTACCTGACGGAACAGTTTTAGAACTTCGTGACATTTGGACTTCCAACACCACTGAGGAATAGGTATAATTTAGGGTAGGTAGGATTTTGTAGGTAGCATTTTCTTATTATTTTTTAGTTCGAGGCGAACTCTTCCCGTGGGTGGGGGTAGTGTTACAAATAAGGGTAAGGGTTAAGGATGATCAGTATATTTATGTAAAACCATGATTATTCTTTTCTTATTATCCAGACTACCTTTCTCTGTTTTACTTTGCTCGCGGTTGCGGCCGTTAAAGTCTGGATAATTGATTGTGTGACTGAGATTGTATGTACGAACACTGTTATATTTCAGGTATCGTGTCCGATTTGTATTATTATTTTATGTATTTATTGTTATATTTATTGGAAATGATAAGATATATAGTGCTCGTCTCACTGTTTGTACAAAGGGTGGTCCCGACATCTTCCCAGCTTTATTTCTCCTCGGGTTATCATTGTCACGCTTTCTCATCTTTATCGTATATTTATATAAGGATTATATATTGTAATTGGGCATATCCTTTGTTAATGCAAAGCTTCCATAGTCTTCTTTTCCTATTATTCCCTAGACTTTTCCCTCGTTTACTGGAGGCCGCTATTTATTCACCTTGTGTGAGCATGTGCTTGCCGTGGGAATAGAAGACGAAACACGACCTATAACCCTGTGGTCAATCAACCAATCCAATACAATAGAATTGCCCACTGATACCATGGTGATGTGGTTGTGGGCACTAAGTATAGAAAGGGCATCTTTCATCTGCTCTTGTTCTAAGGTTGCGACCATATACCAAGGACCATAGTTCTTTTACCCTGTAAACTATACCAGAGCATACCACCCGCAACTGTTTCAACATCGCCAACAGATTATTCTGAGTAGGTTTCCCCGTATTTATATAGACTGTTCTGTGACCTAGATTATTTTACTACGTCTAGACTGCATTTACAACCGAAATACCAAATACTATGATTGACGCTTGACGTTCCAAAGGGGGTCCCTGTACCGTTTTATGCTCTGGGGATTATTATATTTGTATGAAATATCTCTTATAGCTGTATATTAAATTGATAAAGAGTTGATTTTGACTCTGTTATAATTTGAATGTGTTTTACATGAAACCAGTGCCTTTACAAGCCATGCTACCAATGGTTGAAGACCAGTAATTTTTACTACAATACCAGTAGTAAGAAATTTCAGCCTAATACCAAGGTTGACCCATAATAATATTAATTTTGTTATATAACAGTTTGAGGTCTACAGACCTGAACCGTAACAGTAAACACTTGAGGTATGGGGCTCTTTTTATGCCCCTACTGGTTGTCATTTGAGGCATTAAGGTTAACCTCAGTTCCTCCGTAAGTCCTTTAGTTTGTCCGTATAGAAATTGGTTTCCATTCTCTAACTATAGTTTGCCTTTACAAAATGTCATGAAAATTATACACAATGCTTACCACCAAACACAGCCCAAGTGTAAATGTGGGTAGCGTCACTTCACAGTTTTTAATTTATGTCCCTTTATACTGAATTTGCCATTTCCGCACTCTAACTTTAGTTTTCCTCAACCAAATGTTATGAAACTTATACACAAAATACTTATTACTAGGAAACACAGATCAAAATTGAATTCGGGTTTCATCATTTCCATTTTTCTAGAGTTATTTCCCTTTATAAACGGAGAAATTGCTAAATTTGCCATTCCTGCATATAGTTTCAAAGAAAAGCAAAGGTCAATAGGTTTAAATTAGTATTAAAATTCTTGCATATTTATGAGTAAAATTTAAAGAATTGTGCCAACTGAAAACTCTGATTTTTTTTTTTGCCAAACAAATGAATTTTGACAACAGTATTGTCAAAAATGTCATATTTGGACATTAAAAATAGTATAACTTGTGCACAGATTTTTAATAAGTTAAAGTATTGATTCTTTTAAGGCTTAAAGAACACATGTCATACGTTCTTTATAGGACTTTGGTATAAACAAATTAGTTGAAGGACCGAAATGATGGTACTTTCACCGTATAAAAGGGTTGAGAAATCAATTATTTTCAGTGGCATGATGTACATCCTTATTACAACGACCTCTCCTGAAATAAAATTTTGATGAACCTCAAGAAGGATTTTCCTGCTGCACAAGGTGTATAGATCCATATGAAAATAGAGTTCATATTGCAAGCATATTCAAAAAGTTTTTTTTTAAAACAGAACTCGAGTTAATTGTTAAGATTGTTTATATAGAAAATGTTTTTTTTATTAAAAGGAGTTTTGCCAGATGGGAGAAAATTGTTGTAAAAATACAGGAAAATGTGCTAATGGTGTTATAGAAAATGGAGTAAGTATAACTTGTATAAAGTTTCTATTTATAATTTTTCGTCACATATTTCTGCAATGCTACAGATATACACCTTATAGTTTGAAAATTAATACATTCCTATATGTGGCAGTTACCAGTACACTGTAGTCCCTTTTTGCATTTGACAAAACACAAAGCTAAAAAACAACCTTTTCTTTACACCAAAGTAGAAGTGAGGCCTTCAACCCAGAGCAAAAGGTCACATTTGATTGCAAGTTCAAGACAGCCTGTACACATATTTATTATTGGGATTTATGAAGAATAGACAAAAATGTGATATTTATTATTGCGATTTCACAAAAATATGCATACAGATATATGTATAAGATATCAGAATGCAAGTTATTATTGCGATACCCTCCCAGTCGCATAAACCTCTCCATAATTTATGAATTAGTCCACCGCCAACTGTTTCAACCAGATGCTATAATAAAATAAAATTATTTTTGTTATTGCAGACAGAGAATGGACAGACAAGTGAATATCTACCATTAAATTCAACACAGGATCCTATTTTCCCTCCAGAATTACGGGTAAATTTCTGATATTAGATTATACCCAAAATTGTATCTTTCCTCTTGAATAAAGTAATAAAAGACAATCAAATCTCATTTCAGCTCACCAAATTTTTTTTATATATAACAGACAATCCTGCAGTTGTCAGAGTATTGTCAAAAAATGTATTTTTGTGAAACTTTTCGTCAGTCAATTTGTTGTTTATTTTTGTTTATTTTTTATCTTCAGACTGACCAATTTGATGTAGAAAATATTTACTTCAAAGGAGAGAAGGTAGAATGGTACAGACCAACAACACTTAAACAACTACTAGACTTAAAAGCTAAACACCCTCAATCCAAACTTGTCATAGGAAATACAGAAGTTGGTATGTTCACTATCAATGTGTATTTAAACTTAGAAAAATTTCACAGAGAATTTTTTACTTATCCTTATCGATTTAATCCTTTTGTGTAAACCAGTAGTATAAAAAAGGAGATGGTAGGTTTATATTAATTTGACAGCAAGCCAACAACACACAAACAAAAGATCAAATCTACTTGTTACAAATATTGCAAATTTCAGATCCCATCTAACCTCAGAATGATATGGAAACAAAATTCTAGAAGTATCTATTTAAAAATGTTAGACATGTTTTAGCAAGCAGGGTCAACGTGTGCTCCTTGATCTTTTTGAAAAGCACAAAAATAATGACAAAAAGTTATGTTTGCATCTCAATGACTTTATAATTGTGAATAAAGCATCAGTAGGGGTTAACCCATCAGTAAATTACAGTATCAGTTTGTTTTCAAAGCAAAAGCCGCATGCGCTATAAGGATTTCTGTTTTCCTCTTTCTGAAAATGTATTGTTTTTGTACAGGATTAGAAGTAAAGTTGAAGAATATGAATTACCCAGTAATAATTTCCTGTACTCACATAGCAGAACTCAACCAAATTACACGACTAGATAATGGGGTCAAGTTTGGGTCATCTGTAACTTTAAGTGATATAGAGAATACCTTAAAGATACTAATAGAGGAGTTGCCAGGTAAATGGGGTCAAGATTTATAGATAGGGGTAAGGTTTGGGTCATACTGTAAAATCTGAAATTTTGAATGTATTTTTCAAATAAAAATAAAACATCACAACAATTCTGAAATAAAAGTATGTTATCGAGAATATATCTTCGACATTGGTAGAAGAAAAGGAATGAGGGGTTCAAGGTTGTATTTTGATATCAAGTTTGAGTCATCCGTATAAACATTGATAGATATCGAATACATTCTAAAGGCATAAAAATAAATACATGTATTATTAACCAATTTGTAAGATTTTTTTTTCACTGATAAAGTAATAAAAAATTTGACTGGTAAAAAAGGATATGAAAAGGAAATATGTGCTTACAATATAGTATAATCCTTTCTTTTCTATTACAAGTAAAAAGTATGATATTGCTTTACTTACTCCATTCGTATTTCTGTAATTTGACTGACAGAAAGTAGTGGAAACCAAATAGCACAAATTAAATCATCTAAAAAGTTAGATAACTAAAATACTGAACTCCAAGGAAAATTCATATTGGAAAGTTCCTTATTAAATGGCAAAATCAAAAGCTCGAACACATCAAATGAATGGAAAACAACTGTCATATTCCTGACTTGGTACAGGCATTTCCTTATGTGGAAAATATAGGATTAAACCTGGTTTTGTAGCTAGCTAAACCTCTCACTTGTATGACAGTCGCATAAAATTCCATTATATTGACAACAATGTGTGAACAAAAACAAACAGACATAATAGGTAAAAATGTCAAAAATAAGGGTACAGCAGTCAACATTGTGATATATTCTTAATCACATAAAAACAAACAAATATGTCAACAAAGAAAAAATAAGTTAATTTGTCATTCATATTCTAAAGGGTTCTGAAGATGTGTAAAAACATGTTTTGTTTTCATTTCATTATAGATTACCAGACCAGAGTTTTCAAAGCTATTGTTGAAATATTACGATGGTTTGCTGGACACCAAATCAGGAATGTGGCTGTAAGTTTGACAGATAAATGTAGTAAAAAAAATTTCTGCTTATGTCAGTTTGATAGGAACTACTTGTGATAGATCAATGATGATATTTTCTATAAAGTTGCATTACTATATTAGTGCATATCAGTTTGACGACTATTTCGAGGCTCTGCTCCCAAGTCATGGTCCAGTGACTTTCAATTAATTTACAATTTTTAAAGTTAAGTTTTCTGCTTAAGTTAGTTTTGATAGGAACTACTTAGGATAAACAATATTTTCTATAAAGTTGCATCACTATCAGTACATTTTAGTTTGACGATAGTTTTGATGTGTTACCCACTATCTTATGGTCCAGCAACTTCGCTTTGAATTAATTAGTAATGTTGCTACCCATCAGATTGTCTTTTTCTGAATTTCCTGCTGACAGTCAAGACATATCTCCATGTCAACAGTTTATTCTACAGTCTATACCATATTTTGATGTCATAAGTCCATGAGATCTTTAAAGAAATGCACTTACAATAAAATTATTCATTATCTGTATTGAATTGATAAGGTCTTATTTGTATTTTTGTTTGTGAAAATTTTATACAAAAAAAAGAGTTATAGATTTGACTGATTTATGCAAATACTCTGATGGTGAAAAGTTAACCCTGATATCTTTTAGGCTGTTGGAGGGAACATAATCACAGCTAGTCCTATATCAGATTTAAACCCACTTTTTCTTGCTGCTGGTGCTTTCCTCGAGGTTGAATCTGCAGGTAACCAGTTTTTATAAAATCATTAACATTCTAAAACATGATAGGGACTAAACAATGTTTTATCTTATACCCAATTTTTGGTTTTGGATTATATAAATAGACTATCTTTTTGTACAAATTTAAAATCTAATTTTTAACCGGATTTTCGAAGGAAATATCGGTTATTGATTAGGGGATGTAAGGAGGGAGGGTGGCTGCCAAAAAGTGTCCATTCAATAACATGCAAACGCTTTGAAGAAATTTTTTCAAATTTAGATATGTTGTTACCTGTGACTTAATGAAGGTCAAGTTCATAGCTTTTCTCCTTGTTGAGTAATCGTCCTTTTAAATATCCAAAAGTGGTATTTATAATGTGATTTGAGTTAATCCTCTTTGTACAGAAATGGTTAATTATATAAATAAAGTCTGATTACACTAATATTTTTAAATAATTTTCTCCTGTTATCAGATTATGACAAAGCATATGGTAAATGTCTTATCTCAGAATTATAATTGGAGTGACATATTTCTTTGAAAATTTTCTGTTTCCTAAGTGCTGATGATTATAAGCTATATTTTTAGACATTTTGAAGATCATTACAGATAAGTTTTATATATTTTTAAAAGACATTGTATTAATGATAAATAACATTTTGGATTTTTATATGAACGCAAAAAAAATTTTGGGGTCGTATATTGCTATCATGTCGTCATTGGCGTCGTCGTCGTTGTCCGAAGACATTTGGCTTCAGGACAATAACTTAAGTTTAAGTGTATGGATCTCTATGAAATTTTACCAAAAGTTTCAATACCACAAAAGGAAGGTTGGGATTGTTTTTGGGGGTGATGATCCCAGCCGTTTAGGAATTAGGGGTCCAAAACAAGCATTTTTCTTGTTTCAGGAGAATAGCTTGTGTATTTTGTTCAATATTTTTTTTTAAAGGGGGGGGGGTCAATTTTATTTCTTCAAGATTTAAGAAATTATCAGTTTTCCAAAGAAAAATTCGGGGTCACAATTGCTAATTCTTTGTATATAGTCTGAAAACAGATTTACTAAGTATTGCACAACAGCGGAAATCTTCAATTGGATATAAATTCAAATCATATATCCAATTTTAAGTTCTTTGACTACATTTATTCTGTGTCAGAAACCTATAATGTGTCAAATATTTAATTACAATCCAAATTCAGACCTGTATCAAGCGCGAATATTGTGTCCATTTTTGCCCCAACTGTTCAGGGTTGGACCTCTGCGGTCGTATCCAGCTGCGCTCAGCGAAAGCAGTTTATTTTTTCTTTTCTTTGGTAAAATGGAATGAAGAATTTTGTGGTAAGTTTGTTTGCTATTCCGTAAAAACAAATTTTTTGAATGCTATATATATTTTTTTTTGATGAAGTGAACTCCTTTAAAAGCTAAACCTATATTGTCTATTAATAAACATATTTAGATTTCTGATTTTGGGTCCAGTTTTCATGTTGGTCAAAATCAGGGTCCAAAATTAAACTGTGTTTAATTTCAACATAAATTGAATATATATAGGGTTCTTTGAAATGCTGATTCTAAACCTGTTTTTATTTTCATTATTATTTAGATAATACCACATTGAGGTCCAAAGGGTCCTAAATTAAACTTTTATTTAATTTCATCAGAAATTGAATTCTTGGGTTCTTTGATATGCTGATTCTAACAATGTTTGGGTGTTAAATAATATCTAATTTTAGAGAACTTAGTCATTACTGGTTGTTGTTATTATGTTATTGATTATAATTTGAAAAATTACATCATATTCAATTTTAGAGAACTATTTATCCAGTTTGAGTTATTTCAACATATATATTAAATATATATAGGGTTCTTTCAAATGCTGAATATAGACCTGTATTTAAATATTAGATTTTTGGGCCCAGTTTTCATGTCGGTTCAAATCAGGTGTCCAAAATTAAATTTGTTTGATTCAACAAAAATTGAATGTATGGGGTTATTTGAAATGCTGAATCTAACCATGTATTGAGAGATTTGGGATTGTGGGCTCCTTTATTAAATTGGTTCACATTGAGGTCCAAATCAGGGTCCAAAATTAAACTTTTGTTTTATTTGATCAAAAATTGAATTCTTGGGGTTCTTTGATGCTGATTCTAACAATGTACTTAGATTTTGGATATTGGACCATAATAGGTAAATGTCCAATTTCAAATTTTTCAGTTCTTTGACCACATTCATTTAGTGTCACAAGCCTATGCTGTGTCAAATATTCAATCACAATCCAAATTCAGAGCTGTTTTCAGCTTAAATGTTGTGTCCATACTTGATCAACTGTTCAGGGTTCGACCTCTGCAGGAAAATCCGGATTGCTGTCACTCGACAGCCTCTTGTTGGTGCATATTTTGTTCTTAGATTATGCATGTTTTTAAGAGTTTTTAGAGGAGACGAATCATACAATTAAATCATCAAACGAATTTAGCTTAACAAACAAACACCAATGAGGATAAGTTCATCAAAATGGATATGGGAGGATAGGAAGGAAATTGTTATTTTGCGGACATGAGTTGTAGGTAATTTATTGTTGTATATAGACTTTATGTAGTCAAAACTACTCAAAGAAAGTTTTTTAGTTGTAGGGGTATTTTAGAAGTCCCTAATTTAATGGAACAACTCTGATGTGTCCACTTTATCTTCATCTGCTCTAGATTTCTGTGATTTTAGAGCTTATCTTTGGTTTTGATCTCTTGACAATAATGACAATAATTGTAAGCTTTATCATGACTTATGTTTGTATATGTAAACTTTGTTTGTTTGTGTTGATGTATTTGTTTTTCCTCTTGTTTTTTTCTTATTCATAATAAAATATATTACCAGATGGTTCAAAGAGAAACATTACAATGGATGATAAGTTTTTCCCGGGATACAGAAAGACAGCTTTAAAATCAGATGAAGTTTTACTCAATGTTACTGTACCATTTACTAGGAAAGTAAGTATACAGCATACATGCCAACCTTTCAAAATCTCCATGGGGGTTTTGAAGTGCAAGAGGACCTTATATGTTCCTCATATATTGTAATAAGTGTTCTTAATCTAATAGTATAATTTGAATGAGTAGATATGTGCTTAAATACTCTTTAAATTAATTTAAATGCCCGTTTTGAGGTTTTCAATTTATATAATAATTTCTAAATTCAGGTAACACCTCTCATGGGAATACTCCCCATAAATTGGGATAGTTGGCAGGTCTTGTATAGTTAACCATATTTGTTAGATTTCTGATTGCTAGTGTACCATGTATTCTGTTTTTTACAGTCAGACCCAAATGAAAAAAGCTTCAAATGTATTTTAATGCCCCCGCTGTAGCAGAGGGGGCATTAAGTTTTACCCTTGTCCGTCTGTACGCCCATCCGTACGTACGTACATCCTAAAATTTGTTTCCGTTCTCTAACTTTTGGTTGCCTCAACCAAATGTTATGAAACTTATACACAATGCTTATTATTGCAAAACACAGATCAAGTTTGAATTTTGGAGGCGTCACCTTTACAGTTCTAGAGTTATGCCCCTTTACAAATGGAAAAATTGCTGAATTTGTCGTTTCCGTTCTCTAACTTTAGTTTGCCTCAAACAAATGTTATGAAACTGATAAAAAATGCTCATTACCACAAAACACAGATCAGGTTAGAATTTTGGTGGCGTCACTTTTATCGGTCTAGAGTTATGCTCCTTTACAAATGGAAAAATTGCTGAATTTTTCATTTCCGTTCTCCAACTTTAGTTTGCCTCAACCAAATGTTATGAAACTTATACACAATGCTCATTACCTCAAAGTACAGACCAAGTTTGAATGTTTGTGGCGTCACTTTTATCATTCTAGAGTTATGTCCCTTTACAAATGGAAAAATTGCTGAATTTTTTTTTCCATTCTCTAACTTAATTAGGTTTGCCTCAACTAAATAGTATGAAACATATACATAATGCTTATTACCACAAAATTCAGATCAAGTTCAAATTTGGGTAGCATCACTTTATAGTTCTTGAGTTATGTCCCTTTATAACGTTATATGCAAGTGGGGGCTTCATGTGTGTCCCATGGACACATTCCCCATTTATTTTTCTCAAAATTTTGGAACTTGAATACTTGTAACCAAAGTAGATGGTAAAAACTTTAATTATTTAAGAGAAAAAAAGGTGAAGACGAAATTATGACTAGAGAAACAAATATACTGCAGACAATTCTGTGTCTTTCAACACATGGTTTGATAAAATCCAACCATAATTGCCTTCAAAATGATTGTTATGCCCCCTGCCATAGGCAGAAGGGCATTAAGTGTTACGCTTGACCATCCGTCCTTCTGTCTCTGTACGTCTCATTATCTTTGCAAAGCTTGAGCTGGGACATTTGTGTTTTCAGACACATTCTTATTTTATTTTAAATATGTTATTATATGAAATATTAGTGACCAATACTTATTGCATAAAACTGTACATTAAACAGAAGAAAAGAGAATTACCGGTATTGATCTTGTACATTGAATGTTTTTCAAATGGTCATTTTACAGAATGAATTCTTTGGAGGCTACAAACAAGCAAATAGAAGGGAAGATGATATAGCTATAGTCAATGCTGGCTTCAGAGTTTTGTTTGAGGACAATACTAATGTCATTAAGGAGATGGCCATGGCCTTTGGAGGAATGGCACACACGACAGTAATGGCTGTCAAGACTATGAAGGAAGCGGTTGGAAGGTACTGTGTTTAAGTTTGGGTAAGGGTAGTCTTTTTATGTCCCTGTCGTAGCAGAGGGGGCATTACGTTTTATCATTGTCCGCCTGTACGTACGTACATCCCAAAATAGGTTTCCGTTCTCTAACTTTAGTTTGCCTCAGCAAAGTGTTATAAACCTTATACACAATACTTATAACCACAAATTACAGATCAAGTTTGAATTTTGGTTGCATCACTTTTACCATTCTAGAGTTATGCCCCTTTACAAATGGAAAAAATGCTGAATTTTCCTTTCTGCTCTATACCTTTAATTTGCCTCAACCAAATGTTATGAAACTTATACACAATGCTTATTACCACAAAACACAGATCAAGTTTCAATTTTTGTGGCGTCACTTTTACCATTTTAGAGTTATGCCCCGTTACAAATGGAAAAATTGCTGAATTTTTAGTTTCCGTTCTCTAACTTTATTTTCCCTCAACCAAATGTTATGAAACTTATACACAATGCTAGTAACCACAAAACACAGATTAAGTTCGAATTTTGGTAGCTACTTTTAGCGTTCTAGAGTTATGCCCCTTTCTAAATGAAAAAAATGCTGAATTTTTCGTTTCCAATCTCTAACTTAAGTTTGCCTTAACTAAATGTTATGAAACTTATAAACAATGCGTATAACCACAAAACTCAGATCAAGTACAAATTTGGGTAGCTTCACTTTTACAGTTCTTGAGTTTTGGTCCTTTATAACGTTATATGCAAGCGGGGGCATCATCTGTGTCCCATGGACACATTCCCCCTTTATTTTCCACAATAGTTACTGGAATATTTATCAAAGATACCATAAAACAACTTGTTTTCATCAAAACTTTTTGTTTTGTTTAGTTTTGCTCTCAGCATATAATTTTCTTACTAACTTGATGTATTTTCATAATGGAATATCAAAGTTTTAAAAATTATTGGCCAATTAATTTTGTGTTATTTTTCTAATTTCAAAGTAATCACTTTCAAAAGATGAGTTGGTTTACTAAATAAAATGAAGAACAAGGCTTCCATGACCATAATACATATGTACTGTAGGGACAAAGGAGGATGTTGAAGAAGTGGTTTATAGGGACTGAATTCAGTTGTTGTTAATTTCATGCCCTGCTTACGATAGTTTTTACATCTGTATATTTGTTAGCGTGTTCTTTCATTTGTTCCATATCAGGTTTAAGTTGTTTTAGTTTATAGTAGTTTACCATAAAGTTGTGTTTTCTTTCACTTTAAACTTATTAGACTTGTTCCTTATGATGTGAACTTTTGAAAATATGTGCAAAATCTTGGTTTTGACACAGATTTCACAGTTCTCTGAACATGGATATGTGATAGTGTGAGCCTGGCATGGTTCCCAATGGACACATACAGTAAACTCTCAGTTTCTGACAGAACTTATTTTTACTAAGGCAGGGTTAAATCAAGGGTAATTCTGATGATGTTAGAGTGGACACTAATGCATTGAGTATGGGTTAGAATATAGGCAGGGCTAGGCAGTAGCAACACACCCCTGTCATGACAAAATTATCAGTGAAAGGAAACAGTGGTGTTTGATTATATATAAAATTTATTGATTGCTTGCTGACAACCTGCAGTTTGACCCAAAGTGTTTTCGTTTGAATAGTTGTAAGCTGACAAATAAGTTTCATGAACATGTTACAGGAAGTGGGATGAGAGTTTAATAGAAGATGTCTGTCGACTAATGGCTGATGACCTTCAGTTGACCCCTGGTGCTCCTGGTGGGATGGTAGAATACAGACGAACACTTACAACAAGCTTTTTCTTCAAGTTTTATTTGACAACACAATTACAACTTCAACAACAGGTACAGTAGACATTTTTAGAATTATATACATGATTGATGAATTTATTTTCTGTATTTGTCTATAACATTTGCATTCTACATTCCTGCTAAGTGCCCTTTGTTTTTTTGTGAATAGTTGTCTCATTGAAAATCATATCACATCTCCTTATTTTTATAATACAGGTATTAAATTTTTTTTAATTTTATGATATTCAACGTAAGATTTCTTCATACGCTTAGATCATTTTTTTATTATAGAAGTCAGGACCAAGTAAGAAAGTGCCAAAGTCGTTTACCAGTGCCACACCTAATTTCCATCGAGATCCTAGTAAAGGTTCACAAATATACGAAGAAGTGGCCCCTGGGCAACCACCACAAGATGCTGTTGGACGACCTTTGATCCATTTGTCTGCCATGAAACAGGCCACAGGAGAAGCTATTTATGTGGATGATATGCCATCATTGGAAGGTATATTGTCTTTTATAAGATTAGGGGGCCTCAGTGGCCATATGGCCTTAGTAATTGAACTACTGTATTACTAACCTGTCAACACTGGGGTTTTTAGTAAGAATCCTGCACCTGGCAGGTGCGCTTGACTGCAATTTGAATTGACTAGGACTGTCAGTTTTCCTACCAAAGGCTGGTGGCTCTCTTCAGTCACTCCTGCTTCCTCCACCAATAAAACCTGACCACCATAATTGCACAATTCTGTTGAAAGTTACATTAAACACCGATCAATTGATCAATTCTCAAGATTCCTTTAGAAACAAAATAATGATTGGAATGCAGGGTGGAGTAAATTAATTTATGCTAATGAAAACTCTCTTGATGACTTTACTGGTTCATGAAATAATTGCAACTGAATATTACGGAAACATAATTCAACCTTTTTTGTAGTAAGATAAACCAATATTTGTTTAGTTAAATCAAGTATGCAAATATGACTAGAATCATAAAGGTATAGGATTATGAATCTGAAATCACTGCTCCCTCTTAAGTAGAATCTGCTATGAAACAAGTTTCAATGTTGCAGAGGAGTCTGTGGTTGAGCAGCCTTAGTAGATCATCTACAGTGATCAATAGTCTCTTAAATAAACTTTGAGGTTGTGAGTTGGAATTCCACTTGTGCTTTGTGGCACGATGCGTTTGACTCAGATCTTAATTGACTTGGTTTGTCAGTTTTCCTGGCAAAGGTTGTGGTTCTCTCTGGGTACTCCCAGTATAGCCAAGTGTCAGTTATCATCAACTATCAATCATTTTAGCAAGAGAAAATCTTTTCATACAATGTCACTTTAATTTAAAGATTGCAGCTTTTGATAAACTACAAAGGTCTTATAAATAGTTCATGAATAGGGGAAAAACATTATTTCAACTGTACTTATATTTTCTTTGTAGGAGAGTTATATTTAGCCCTAGTTACCAGTACACAGGCTCATGCTAAATTACTGAAGGTTGATCCGACTAAGGCATTGTCAATGACAGGAGTTGTTGATTTCATTTCTCATAAAGATGTCCCAGGAAATAATACTTGGGGAATTATTCCTGAGGGGGAAATTATCCCTGAGGAGTCATTTGCTTCCACTGAGGTAACTATAAATATTGGTACATCATGCATTAAGATACCTTCTAAAATATAAGTTATTGAAATCAAATTTAGTTTTTGAAAATGTATCGTTGATGGCTGTGGGAATCAGAATGGTAGAGCCTTCATTTATAAGCAATGGATATCATTTATGAGTGTTAGGAAATTTTGTGCAGAGATATGATTATTGACAAATTTTGTACATAAAAAAATTATTTGTAAGTGTGTGATAAATTCTGTAAATCTGTGTAATTTATTGATTCTCACAAACTGGATTCATTCATTTTGGTTTGTACAAATTTTCGTGGATCGTGGCAAAATTATATTGTTCATGGAGACTTAATTTCAAGTTTTTGAATAGTTCACCCAAAAAAAATTTGAAGTTTGTTGAACATAGAAATTCATGGTTCATCTATATCCACAAAAATCCCGAAAAATTGATACTCAACGAATGAAATTGAATCCACAGTATATCACCTGCTATACGCCAGGCGCTTTAAAGGTTTAAATAGTTTAATACATAATTGTGATTGTTCACATCTTTGTACTTTGGTCTATGGAAAGTTGTATCATTGGTTATCATACCACATCTCATTATATTTATATAAAAACCTATTTTTCTTTGCTATATATCATGTAAATTTTTATCTCATGAATGTCTACTCCTTATCCTCCCTCTAAATTTACCCTGACCTGTTCCCTTGTATGTGAACCTTTCTTTATAAGATAAAAACATTGAAAATAAATCTGCCAAGATTGTCTATCCCCTATCCTCCCTCTTACCCCTAGTAAGTATTTAAAGAAAACTAATGATAACATTTAAACAAATTTATAAATTCACAAAACTGTTGTGATGAAGAACTGCAATAAAATATAATATTTCTTTGATATATGGTTATCTCCCTTAATTTTATGGATTGTTGTGCTGTGTATGTTAACTTAACTCCCTCCCCCAGAACCACACGTTATTTGATTTTTTTCTATTGATTAGATAGAAATGTTTGATATAATTGTGTCAATATTGTCTGTTTGTAGGTGTTGTGTATTGGACATATAATTGGAGCTGTAGTAGCTGATACACAAGCTCACGCCCAGGCTGCTGCTAAAGCTGTCGATATTGAATATGAAAAACTTGACAGTATAATAACCATTAAGGTAAGATATATTTTTTGCTGATTGTTTTTATAGTGTGAAATACTGCTTGGGAGGGGGGAATCCTATATGAATAAAATTGAGAATGGAAATGGGGAATGTGTCAACAAGACAACAACCCGACCCAAGAGCAGAAAACAGCCCAAGGCCACCAATGATCTTCAACGCAGCAAGAATATCCCGCACCCAGAGGCGGGCTTCAGGTGGCCCCTTAACGAAAATGTGTACTAGTTCAGTGAAAATGGATGTCACACTAAACTCCGCAACATATAAATGAACTTAAATTAAAAAACCATACAAGACTAAAAAGGGCCAAAGGCTCCTGACTTTGGAACAGACGCAAAATTGCGGCGGGGTTAATCATGTATTGTGAGATCTCAACCCTCCCTCTATTCCTCTAGCCAATGTAGAATAAACAAACACACAGCAATACGCACAGAAAAACTCAGTTGAAAAGAAGTCCGAGTCCGATGTCAGAATAGGTAACAGAAGAAACTCAGCAAAATGACAATGATACATCAATTAACAAAGGACTACTAGCAGTTACTGACATGCCAGCTCCAGACCTCAATTAACTTATTGAAAGATTATGTCTTTTTCATATGAAAATCAAGCACAATCCCTCCCGTTAGGGGTTTAGTATCATTATATCATAAAATATATGAGAAGAACATAACCTGTATTATGCCGTATCGTGAATGTATACACAAATGTCCGAAATTCATGCTGTCTGTACCATATCAGGTTCAAGTTTTTGTCATGGTAGATTACCATGAAGTTGTGGTCACATCAACTTGAAACTTAGTACACATATATATTATTATGTTATTTTTATTCCCCCGCTGTAGCGGAGGGGGCATAAATTTTTACCCTTGTCCGTGTGTACGTCCGTCCATCCGTCCGTACCTCAAAATTGGTTTCCGTTCTTTAACTTTTGTTTTCCTCAACCAAATACTATGAAACTTATACACAATGCTTAGTACCACAAAATACAGATCAAGTTAGAATTTAGATGGCGTCACTTTCTCCGTTTTAAAGTTATGCCCCTTTACAAATGGAAAAATTGCTGAATTTTTCGTTTCCGTTCTCCAACTTTAGTTTTCCTCAACCAAATGTTATGAATCTTATATACATTGCTTATCACCACAAAACACAGATCCAGTATAAATTTTGGTGGCGTCTCTTTTACCATTCTAGAGTTATGCCCCTATACAAATGGAAAAATTGCTGAATATTTCGTTTCCGTTCTTTAACTTTAGTTTGCCTCAACCAAATATTATGAAACTTATACACAATGTTTTTAAAAAAAACACAGATCAAGTTAGAATGTTGGTGGCGTCAATTGTACTGTTATAGAGTAATGCCCCTTCACAAATGGAAAAATTGCTGAATTTTTCGTTTCTGTTCTCTAACTTTAGTTTGCCTCAACCAAATGTTATTAAACTTATCCACAATGCTGATTACCACAAAACACAGATCAAGTGTGCATTTTGGTGTTGTCACTTTTACCGTTCTAGAGTTGTGTCCCTTTACAAATTGAAAAATTGCTGAATTTTTCTCGTTTCCATTCTCTAACTTAAGTTTGCCTCAACCAAATGCTATGAAACTTATACACAATGCTTATTATCACAAAACTCAGATCAAGTACTCAGATCAAGTACAAATTTGGGTAGCATCACTTTAACTGTTCTTGAGTTATGTCCCTTTATAACGTTATATGCAAGCGGGGCTATCATCTGTTTCCCATGGACACATTCCCCATTTATTTAGAATTATATGCCAAATTACCCTGATTTCATGGTTCACTGAATATGGAATATGATATTATGAATCCAGTACATTCTAAGGTAAACAAAATTGGTTTTGTAAGATAATTAAAAATGAATTTGTGTCACGACATCTTGAAACTAAGTACACATATTCATTATGATGTTAGCTTTTCAACGTTTATGCTTAATTATAGTTTTGACCCTGATTTTATGGTTCGCTTAACATGGAAATGTGGTAGTTCTCCAATGAGCACATATTCTTGTTCTATGAAATAATTGTACATGATGTTTTTTTCAAAACTTAATTCAATATATGAATGGAGGGCATTTTTTAAAACCAGTAGTACAGCTGTACCAAAATTTGGAATTTGTATTCCCAAATATCATAATGAAATTTTGAATCATGTTACAAAAGTTGTAGTTATATAATAAATTTTGAGCTCATTTGATAAACTCATCATAGATTACAGGCTTAAAATTTGTATGTGTTTTGTCTGCAAAAGACTCATCATTGACACTCAAATCGAAAAAGTTAAAAAGGCCAGATAAAGTATGAAGTTGAAGAGTATTGAGGACCCAAATTTCCAAAAGGTTTTATCAAATACAGCTAAGGTAATCTATTCCAAGGTGAGAAAATCTTTAATATTTCAAAAAATTCAAAAGTTTTGTAAACAATTAATTAGAAATGGTAATTAATATATTTGTTAAAATTGCAGGAAGCTATAGCCAAAAATTCTTACTGGACTGCATCTAAAACTATTAATTGTGGAGACATTGTGAAAGGATTTGAACAAGTAGATCATGTGATAGAAGGAGAGGTACACGTAGGGGGACAGGAACACTTTTATCTGGAGACAAATGCCACCCTGGCTGTACCTAAGAATGAAGACGGGGAAATGGAATTATTTGTGTCAACACAAAACCCAACAGATACACAGGTAGGTTCGATCTGTCTTTTTGTGTTATGCGACATATTTCATGATATGAAACTTTCAAACAGCTTTGGGTCGGTAAAGGGGGGGGAGGGGACACTTCTGTCCTTTTGAGGTAGGGTGATCAGCTGAGACATCCAGAACGTCACCCTTTACACATATTTTGAATATTGAAATACTCTACCATATACATATTTTTTTCTATGAAAAAGTAGACCTATGGGTATTATTTATGTGTTATTTCATATAGAGAACAATAGATTTGACAAATATCTGGTAAATTTCTAACTAACTTGCCTAGGGCCTTTTTAATGCTGATATTTCACTAGCCAGAAAAGGACAAGTTTGCCTTGTTTACAGTGATAAATAATGTTTGTTTCTCATGAAACTGGTACTGCATATAGGCAGCAATGTTTAACATACAATGGAACCCAGACAAGATATTCACAACTGATCAATGCTGATATCATTGTTCAATGTTAAGTTTTTATGGTTTGGTCAGTTTCTCAGATACTATAAGCAATAGGTTGAGTCTGTCTGACAGGGTTCATCTGACCTTGATCATGTTTTCAGGATCTTGATAATGTTTGTGATACCTATGCTAAAACCTTGATCTTTAAGACTTTCAACATAAACTCAATCATGATCAGTAAAGCAGGCCAGACATCTCAGTGAGTGTACTCTTGTTTAACATTGTTGTATTTCAGAACAAATAATGTGAATTTCAATTCTAAATACATGTATTTGACAATTTAAAAAATCACAGGAAACATATTGTTAAAGTTTGAATATAAAATGGCTGCTAAAGACAGTAAATTTTAATCAAACATTCTGTGAAAAAAAAAATTTATATGATTGGCATTTAAGGGAAACATTGCTAGAAAAACATATAAATACTGTATATTAACAGTGATAATTTACTAATTTTGATAGGGTTTTTAACTCAAAACTCTCTGCAGCCTCTTATGTGAGTTTTTAATCCTATTACACTTGACTTATTTTTTTACAGTTGGTAGTTGCTGAAACCTTAGGTGTAGCTGCAAATAAAATCCTTGTTAGAGTCAAAAGATTAGGTTAGTATATTATTGTATCATACAATAAAATTGAGAATGGAAACGGGGAATGTGTCAAAGAAACAACAACCCGACCAAATAGCAGAATACAGACAAAGGCCATCAATTGATCTTTAACACAGCAAGAAAATCCTGCACCCGGAGGCAGGCTTCAGCTGGACTCTAAACAAAAATGTGTACTAGTTCATAGAAAATGGACGTCACACTAAACTCTGAAGCAGCAAACAAAATGTTTTTAAAATTTTCGTGATTTCAATGTCAGATCTGTACAATAGTACCCCCAGACTACTATATTAAATTTTAGATTCAAAGTATTAGATCAATATGATATTTAAAATTTCAGTAGTTTTTTTTTTGTATCAGGCAAAATGATTTATAAAAGTTTTTATTTTACTTTTCATGGTACTTCATTTATCTGCACCCCTCTCCCAAAAAGAATATAAGAGAAAGAAAAAGAAAAAAAAAGTATAAAAAATACTTGTAGCTTTAAGGATAGTATTTGACTTGTTACATTTTAGGTGGAGCATTTGGAGGAAAGGAAACCAGATCAATATGCCTGAGTACCCCTGTGGCTTTAGCCGCTTTTAAGTAAGATTTATCATCATAATCAACCATTTTTTTAAGTGTTGATAAAGACTTTTAAAAGAACATCATTAATAAAAATCAGTTCCTTGCTTTGATTGTGTTGTTTAAGTAATGGACTATGTACCTGAGAACTCTAAGCTGCTGTATTTCAAGAAATTTTTGTGAGTGGCTAATTTTTACAATTTTTAAAGTAAACATTTTGGCATGAAATTTACCCTAAGCGAATATTTCACTGTTCATTTAAACTATTGTTCAAGACAATGGAACAGGAATAATGTACACATTGACAATTTAACAATCCCAGCTAAGTCCAAAATCATGAACAAAACCAGATGCAAAAATACCTTGAATGAACATTAGATTAAAAATATTACAGGCTAAAAAAACCAGTGCGTTGTATGTTAGACCGAGATGAAGATATGTTGATATCAGGGACCAGACATCCATTCCTAGGACAATATAAGGTATGTTTATATCAGGGACCAGACATCCATTCCTAGGACAATATAAGGTATGTTGATATCAGGGACCAGACATCCATTCCTAGTACAATATAAGACATGTTGATATCAGGGACCAGACATCCATTCCTAGGACAACATAAGGTATGTTGATATCAGGGACCAGACATCCATTCCTAGGACAATATAAGGTATGTTGATATCAGGGACCAAACATTCATTCTTAGGACAATATAAGGTATGTTGATATCAGGTACTAGACATCCATTCTTAGGACAATATAAGGTATTTTAGATTAAATGTAGATTATTTCATTACCCAAGATAGTCTTTTGTAAAGGGATATGGTTACTTAGATTTTTTTTGGTCTCAAAGTATGAGCCATGTGGGTGAAAAAGATGGATGTCCATTTAAATTCACCCTTAATATAATTGTTTAAACACAAATGCTGCAGTACTTGGAGGGGAGAACAGAAATCTCATCAATTCATGCAGACCCATTGGTGGCCTTTGGCTGTTGTCTGCTCTATGGTCGGGTTGTTGTCTCTTTGACACATTCCCCATTTCCATTCTCAATTTTATGGTGTGAAAAGATAAGCTCATACATGATTTCATTTACACGCATAAAGTTAAGTATTTCAGTTTACTTTACGAACTGACTGTTGTATTATAAATAATTGATCAGCTGTATACGTTTTTGTCCCTTAAGATCTAGGGGAAAATAAACCTTACTGCCAGTCTATACCAGGCCAATACAGAAACAGCCAGGCAATAAAACTATAGGATAATATGTTGAGTTTAGGTTTTATTTGATAAGAAATAAACAACTTACTGCAGAGCTTTATCTGTGTTGCAAATTGATTTGTGGTTATATTAACCAACAAAGGGAAGGTTTTCCCTCCAGAGATTTATCAGTATAACAATTTAATTTCAGGTTGGATTTACAAAGGAAGGTAAAGTTGTTGCTGCGGAAGTGAATCTGTATAACAATGCTGGTTGTACATTTGATTGTTCAGGAGCTGTAAGTAGCTAAATATGCTGTATAACATAACAAAAGAGGGGGAGGGTATCAAGGGGACATTCAAAATGAAAAAAATGGAGATAAACTGACAACGCCATGGCAGTAAATTAAACAAGACAGAAAAACAAAAGTCCACAAAACACTACACCAAACAATTAAAGATTAGGCATTATAAATCCCATCAAAAACTCGGGGTGATTTCAGTAAATGTGTTTTTCTTATGCTTTTCAGTAATTTTACATTCATCAAATGGACATTCATTAGTAAATGACCTATGAACAATGTCTAAGAACATAGAAAATCAAGGTTGGAAGAAAAAGTTAAGAATGGTGCCAAAACTTTAACTTGTTGACCTCCATTCTTTATAAAGCTGTAGTGATTCCTAATCATTGTGATCTGTGACCCCCACAGTTTTGTCACTTTTGGAATAGTCCTTATGTTTTCTGATTATTAGCCATTAATAGATTTGTGGCATTTTATAATTTTCAGATTTATGGAGACATATTGTGCCCTGATACCTTCTTTTAAGAGAGCAAAGTAATGTGTATGCATATAAATATGTATTTATACCACAACGCAATGAAGTTGCGCAGGGTATAATTATTTTGACCCGTCCGTCTGTCCGTCCGTCTGTCTGTCCGTCAGTCAGTCAGTCCGTCAGTCCGTCAGTCCTGTTTTTGTCATCGCAACTCCTGAAACCACACAACAGAATTTCATGAAACTTTGTAGATAATAAGGACATACTATGTTGATGTGCATATCGACAGGAAATTATGATTCAATTTTTTTCTAGGAGTTAAGCCCTTTTGAACTTATTGGCCTCAATATACTACTGCAACATTTGTGATCGCAACTCCTCTGAAACCACATTACAGAATTTCATGAAACTTTGTAGATAATAAGGACATACTATGTAGATGTGCATATCGACAGGAACTTATTATTCAATTTTTTGTCTAGGAGTTGTGCCCCTTTGAACTTATTGGCCTCAATATACTACTGCAACAGTTTGTGATCGAACTCCTCTGAAACCACACTACAGAATTTCATGAAACTGTAGTTAATGAGGACATAATATGTAAATGTGCATATCCACAAGAAAATTTTTATCAGTTGACTTTTGTAGAGTTATGAGTCTTTGAACTTAGGAATCTGGTGAGATTTTGTTTGTCCAGTGAAAACGTGAGGGCGTGGGGTATGTGAGCGTGCTCACAAAGGTTCTTTGATTTAAATTGTGTATGCATATAAATGTATATTTTACATGTATACTTGTATGTCTTTATAAACAAACACACTGTGAAAGTACTTATCCTTGTATGCATTTTGTTTTTTTCTTCATCTTTTTTAATATATTATGATCTTTGTAACCTGGATTCCGATTGGTTGTGTTTGAAAAAAATATAAGCTAAAATCCATCATTTGCTGTAGGAATTGATAAGAGACACACAGCATACAGCTCAGGTTGATTTAGTGATATTTACCAGCAAAAGGTAGAAAAGGTCACACAACTTATAGATGAATCCCAATGCTAGTAGCATTATCAATGTCTTTTTTTTTTTATCATACTTTGGAAAAACAAGTAAAATTCACATTTTTAATTTCCTAATCTCAGGACCCTTTCAGGTGTCAGACCACCAAATCACTCCCTCCAATTTAGAACGTATGTAAAAGTAGCCCTACTCTGACACAAAATAGTGCTTTTGATGTCATTGTTTACTTAAACTAATGATCACATTTGCAGAAATGAAACTTTTGGTGAAAGAGAAATATATTTAGATCATTTTGAGCCAAAATTTACTTGTCTATAAGTTTGCATTAAAAATTGAGGATTAATGCGCTCCATTGTTTACTAATTTAAGATTTCCAGAAAACCAGAGGTTTTTTTTAGTAGTACTTGTGTTCCGAAGGTCAGTTCTTTCTTATAAGACTTTAAAGGTAGGTTGAAAATTGGCATGTAGAAAGGTGATACATGTACAATTCAGGATATACCTGGTTTCTATGCAGTTAAACTTAATGTAAAATGTTAAGAAAGCTGTGAAAATTGCAAACTTTGATTGAATAGATACGGATTCTGAATTGGTGGTTTGACACCTTCAGATATGACAAAATTTATCAGGTCAATTAAGTGATATTTACCATCCAAAGGTAGAAAAGGGCACGCAACTTATAGATGAATTCCAATGCTAGTAGCGATATCAATGTCTTTTTGTTTGTCATCATACTTTGGAAAAATAAGTAAAATTCACATTTTTTATTTCCTAATCTTAGGGCCCTTTCAGACATGACAAAATTTATCACCTTCATTCACACTTACTTTCTCCCCTTTCTCACATCACTCACTCTGATGATGTTAATTAGGTACAACACAAAAAAAGTCAAGCTTTTTTGTATTCAAAATTTTTTTTTTAATCTGAGAGGATGTCGTATATGGTGGGAAGATAGAAATATCGAAATTTTCCTGAGCTGTTACTGTGTAGATAGTGAAATGGTTCCTGTAGTTTTATTCAAAATCATTATTTCTGATCATAAAAAAAATTGTAAACGAACTTATATTCTCAAAAAATTTATTTCTACTCACATCTAAAAAATAACAAGGATATAAATATAGGTAGTCATGAATATGCCAAACTTTGATCTTCTCTTATATGAATATATGAACAAAGTTTGAAAAATTGTGAATATAAATTGCGTCAAATCAGCTGAAAAAGGCTTAAAGCATGGAAAAGGTATCGGTGAAAGTAATTTGGTTTACAGTACATGTATTTTGTTTATTTGTTAAATGAAGTAAAACAATTGTATTTTTTATTTCCAAATTGTTGGTCTGCTCACCTTCAAATTCTGCATGATAACACAGTTTGAATATCCCAGATTTACATTACTCAACAATATTATATTGATCTGGTTTTTTTTTGCTCCCCATGGCTGATATTTAAACAGTAAACTTTTATTTTCATGAGGAATGTTATCATGAATTAGCTGTGTTATTACAGGACGTAGTTATAATTCGAAATTAGGATATCTCACAAATAATGATTTCACAGTCAAATTTTTGTAAATATAGAAAGTATTCTTTGCAGGTTATGTATTCTTTTTTTAACTATTTTCTGTATAAATACAGGTGATTGAAAAATGCTTACTACTATTTGATTATTGCTACAAAATAGAGAACATTGGACTTCTTGGCTATGCTTGTAAAACTAACATTGCATCTAATACTGCTTTCCCAGGATTTGGAGGACCTCAGGGTATGCTGGTTATGGAAACTCTAATGGACGAAGTTTCTACGTTTCTTCATCTCAATCCAGATTCGGTAAAGTGATGGAAATCCTGATAAATGTTTTTGATTAAGTTAGAGTTGCTTCCCTTTATTTAATCAGAATATTCCTTCTACCAGTGTCATAGCTTTGACATTCTTATGTCTATTTTCCCACCACCAGCATAGAAATATCCCCTTTCTATCTATTCTAGAGCTGGATCACTTGATTTTTGTAATGCTTTTTTAGTTAAAAAATTGCTGGTTCCTTTATCTTAAACACAATCATTTACTCTTCAGGTACCAGTTTTTGTGGATCAAAGAAAAGACATTTTTGTTGATACTCAATTTCATGGTTTAACCAAATTTTTAATACAAGCTTAAAGAAAGTTTATATTTTCTCATAATTAACTTTAAAATTGAGAAAAGAGATGGGGAATATGTCAAAGAGACAACAATCCGACCACAGAGCAGACAACAGCCGAAGGCCACCAATAGGTCTTCAATGCAGCGAGAAAATCCCGCACCCGGAGGTGGTCATCAGCTGGCCCCTAAATAAAATTGTGTGCTAGTTCAGTGCAAATGGACGTTACCATGTTTATTCACAAAATCCACAAAATAGTAATACCCCAGGATTAACAATGGATCCACAGTATTAGAAAAGACCATCCCAACGGAAACAACTTTCCCTGATTTGGTTAGTGATCAAAGAGTTAGGTGTTAATCGAATCTCTTTATTGATATACTGTAAACCAACTAATTTTAGCGAGCGATTTATTTTTCGCGACTTTTGAGAGTAGAAAAATAAAATGAATATGTAAAACTTGTATTTTTCCTTTTTTATCTTCATCAAGTAAATTTTACAATCGCAAAATTAAAATCGGCGCGAAATGGGTTAGAAAGGGCTAAACGCGAAATTAGGCATCCGCGAAAATAAGTTGGTTTACAGTATTATTTCATGATTGTTACAAAATTGAGAGCTTCAGGCTGATGGGTCATGTGTGTAAAAGTAACATTCCATCAAATACAGCTTTTCGAGGGTTTTGAACACCTCAGAGTATGCTGGTTACTGAAACATTCATGGATGAAATATCTGGTTTCCTTGACCATACACCTGAACAGGTAAAATTGTATAAGAAGACAGCATGTGGCTTCAGCTAACAACTTACAGCTTAATCTCTAACTCATTACTGTAAAGTGGGATTGACCAGTTCAAAACAAAAACATAATAAATATATATTATAATAAATATATAGTTTCACTTATAATCCCAATGTACTAAATCACACAGGAGAATGGTAATGCAGTATACTGTCAAGAACCAAAAAACCTTGTTAGATTTCTGCTATCATCAAACAGTCCTATATGATAATAATCTGTAAAACCCATTTTCCCAACTGACATAAGCATCACAATTAAGAAAATTTTAAAATCTGTCCTAAAAACTAAGGCCTTATTACATACCTCAGTTACCAAGGCCTTATTACTTACCTCAGATACCAAGGCCTTATAACTTAGGTACTAAGGCCTTATTACTTACCGCAGGTACCAAGGCCTTATTACCTACCTCAGGTACCAAGGCCTTATTACCTACCTCAGGTACCAAGGCTTTATTACTTGCCTGAGTTACTAAGGCCTTATTACCTACCTCAGGTACCAAGGCCTTATTACTTACCTCAGGTACCAAGGCTTTATTACTTACCTCAGGTACCAAGGCTTTATAACTTACCTCAGGTACCTAAAGGCCTTATTACTTACCTCAGGTACCAAGGCCTATTACTTACATCTGGTACTAAGGCCTTATGACCTACATCAGGTACCAAGGCCTAATTATCTACGAAGGTAATAAGGCCTTATTACATACCTCTGGTACCAAAGTCTTATTACCTACCCCAGGTACCAAGGCCTTATTACTTATCTCAGCTACCAAGGCCTTGTTACTTACCTCAGATCAGACCTTGGGTCAATTACATGCCAAAGTAATTAATTACATTACCATTATATTGATTTTTAAATGTAATTAATTACATCACAATTACATTGATTTTCAAATGTAATTAATTACATTACTATTACATTGCCAATGTAATTAATTACATTTCAATTACTTTTGTCCAAGGACATGCAAGAGCTATATCATATTGATAAAATCATAAAAATGACCACAGGCTAAAACAATGAAACTTTCTTCTTTTTATAGGGGAATAATCATAAAGATATCTTAAAATTTCAAGTTTCTACTATAAATGTTAATTTAGATTTAAAGGTTCTTATGTACCTCATGTGAAATTTGAGGTAACTTTAAAGCTTCCATTTATTACAGAAGAATAATGGTAACATTTTCCAGACTTGTCTTAAATTGTCAAGTCAAAATTGTCAAATATATTGGACTCCATTCTTGTACGTTTTGACTGCTGTATTCAAAAGTGTGTAGGAAGTGTTCAAATAATATCCATCTGAACAGATTTTAACATATAAATAAGATGGTTTGAAATAAAAATTGCCTTTGGCATTTTAATCAAGGGACATACTTGTACTTCATAATTAGTTAAGTGAAAGGAATAACCTGAGGCTAAGATTATGGTTAATTGTTAGAAAAACATATTTACAAATTTTATGTAAATAAGTTGGTATTTAGTTTTTAGATTTTTTATGTAAACATGTGAAAAAATTAATGAATTAAATACAAATAAAGATTATTATACATGCTATAATGATTAATGAAAAATCAAGGAATGTTATTTTTTTCATCAAGATAAATGTTTAAAAAGTATTTCAAAAAATTTAAGTACCAACTGCATACTAAATGTAGGAAAAAATAAAATTTACAAGTTGCATCAGAGAGCCAAAAATGTTTAAAATTTCCCAGCAAGTATTTAAATGTAATTCAAAGTAATTGAAAAGTAATTTATAATTACATGGCAAAAAGGCAATGTAATTAATTACTTTCAATTACATGTAATTGAAAATATGCTCAATTACACAGTACATTGAATTACTTTCAAAATTGTAATTAATTACAGCTGATTACAATTACATTTTTAATCACCCCAGGTCTTATAACTTAGGTACCAAGGCCTTATTACTTACCTCAGGTACCAAGGCCTTATTGCTTACCTAAGGTACCAAGGCCTTATTGCTTACCTCAGGTAACAAGGCCTTATTACTAACCTGAGTTACTAAGGCCTTATAAACTACCTCAGGTACTTTGAAATTGTTATTTGCAAGAAACTCCCCTCTTACTGAATTCTGTTTTTATTGAAATCAAATATCCAACATTTCCACTGATAGAGAATGCTAGAATGTGTTCTCCTAGAACCACAATATTCTACAATTCATGAAAACAATGTTTTTCCATAAAAGCTTTATTTTTTTATGAAAGCTAATGTTTACAATTAGAAGTACTTTCACAGTGGAGAGGCATGATTTACTTCTCTGGTATATCTTTTGTATTGGAGCTTTTTTCATATACTTTATTGATTTTTTATTGAACTTCCTTGTTTATCTAATTGTAAAAAAAATACAACATATAGAAAGTATTTGTTTTTTTTGTTTTTTTTTTGTTTTTTTTTTTTTTCGTTTTTATTTTTATTTTAATTTTGTTTTCATTTTTATTGTTTCTTTTATTTATTTTTTATTTTTATTTGTTGTAATGGGCTGGATTTAAAGCAAAAGCTGTTATCTATTTTTCTATCGACCCATAGAAGTAAAACATGCCTAGAAATGAAATTTTCTGCATGACTATCCATCATACAAACATATATCAATTCTTTTTGACAAAGGTATTAGACCGAGGTTTGTATCACTTAGACAATGCCTATAAGATTGTTAATTTGAAAGCGGTTGGCAGGACGTGTAAGACCAATATACCGTCAAATACTGCATTCAGAGGTTTTGGTGGACCACAGGGAATGCTTGTTGCAGAAACATTCATAGATGAAGTAGCTACCTATCTAAATGTTTGCCCAAGTCGGGTAGGTATTTTTTTGGGGTAAAGATTGCAATGCAATCAAAACCGTTATGGTAGTGTCTTGATCTTTTTTTTCCAGGTTTTGTCACTACTTCTGAAAGTTAAAACAATGTAGTGCAGTGAGGTCAATGTTCTTAAGATCCTATCTAACAAATGATATGCAGTTTATTAATGATATATGTTATACTCAAATATGAGGGTAGGAATGCCTTTTACCGTCAGGCGTCAAACAGTCATTTTCAGCTACCGTTAGCATCAAATTGGTTAAAATTTTATCGTGCTTCGTCAAAATATCCTTATCCTGTTTCGTCAGAGTTCTCAAATAATTATTGGTTACTGTTATTTTTTGGGGAAAAAAAAGAAAATGAAACATAAAAATCAGTCCATATTTTTATTGTCATAAAGAAAATGTACATTTTATTTTCATGCACCAAAAATTACTGTTAGCGTGTTTGGCAAGATTTTTTTATCGTTATTCGTCATAAAGGTACTACCATTACGACCTTCAGATATTCAAATTACAAAATGATGGAGTTTTAAAACCAAAGTCAAACTTTATGTATATAATATTCTAGAAAATAATTTGTTGACTTTTTCAAAGTTCTCATGTAACAGAAAGTCAATAAATAGAATCAAATGGTAAGAATATTTTTATTATTCTGCACTTGCTTCACACTAACAGCCCTTCATTAGCAATGATATTTTAAGATTGTGAATAAATTCTATTATAAAACATGAATTCTAATATGATGTTCATCTTTTACTTTGGAAAATTCCAATAAAAATGGGCTGCACGTGATTGACGTCACAATTGAAATTGCAATGTCAGTTCACCTCAGTTGTAGTTTAAACAACACCGGAGATCAAAATGGACGTTTAACACCTCGCTTTCACTCGGTATAAAGATATTGACAAATATAATGCCTACCCATGTTAAAATGAGCATAGAGCATAGCAGGAAAGAATTATTTCTTAAATAGTCCTATGATGTTACATGAAACGATCATATATTGATGCATAGAAAATTCTTACAATAGTATATATGAAATGATCAATTATTATATAATTAAATATTAAGTTCATTGGTAAAGTCAGCAGCCTTTTGTTCATTTCATCAATGCAATTTGATATAACTTTTAAAATTGCTATATGTTTTCAAATTTCAGAACTCAATCTCAAAACTCTGATAAATTAAAATAATTCAAGTTTTAATTTTAAGTCTCAATTCGATAACTTGAAAACCTTCTAAAATATATTGTACTATCAGGTTCGTAAATTAAACATGTACAACGAAGGAGATCTGACCCACTTTGGACAGGTAATAGAACAGTGCAACGTAAGAAAATGTTGGGAGGAATGCAAAGACAGAAGTGAATTTGTAAAGAGAAAAAGAGATGTGGAAATATTCAATAGGTGAGTTGTTTTAGGATGAAGTGTTTCATATAATATTTGTTTTTAAATGCATTAATTAAAAGTATTAGGAATAAATGTTAACCTGTTCGAAATGGGACGCCCGTAAATGATACGGAAACCAGGCGTAGAAATCATACTTCATCAGGGCGTCATTGTAGTGTTTATGGAATGCATGTCCAGGCGTCAACCAGGCGTCAACCAGGCGACAACCAAGTGTAACTGAGGCGGAAACCAGGCGTAAAATTAGGCGTAATATTTAAATGAGTACGCCTGGTCCACAGAAAACCAGGCGATATATGCAAATGAGTACGCCTGGTCAATAAAAAAAAAACAGGCGTAATATCCTTACATAATACTACACTTATTTTAAATCAGTGTATTACCCTAGCTGTGTACTTTTGTGTATTTGATACAAACTTCTGTACTATTGCTTAAATTTCTCATTGTTTGACATGAAACTTGAAATATTAACCATTAATTGAAGAAGCTATATAGATAAATACATATTAGACAGACACTGGCTCAAATAAGTTTAAGTTTAAATTAGAATTATGACAATTAATTCTTCCGGAAATAAAACCAGCATTTTAACTAAGTTTTTTTTGAAAATTAATGTCATTTGAACCAAAATATCAATGATAATACTGCAATTTAACTTAATGTGAAAGATTTTAATGTTATCATCCAAGGATGAAGGTTGTCAGAATTTAAAATTACTGTTAAAAAATAAAACTTAGTTACTCACATAATTAGTTTTCTTTTACCATGTATATTACTTTCCTTTTATTTCACAATTTTCATTAATCAATTTGATTCCATAATTCCAATTTCAAATTCTTCCAAAAAGCACAAAACAAGCTTAATTATCCCTGAATATATAAAGCTGCCATAAGTCCAACTCTTGCAAAATAATACCAAAGAGCCATATTTTGAAAAAAAAAATTCCATGATCCTTTATCAACAAAGCATTATGGGTATTATGATTTACGCCATAAAAACAGTTTTACGCCCGTAGGAAAATTTACGCCTTGCTTATTTCAATTTACGCCAGGTTTACCATATTTTCTACGCCCGTAAGGACTACAAATTTACGTGTCCTGTTCCCTTACGCCTGGATCTGGACACGTAACTACCACTTACGCCTGGTTTACGCCAGATTTCCAGGCGTATTACGCCTTATAATTTCGTACGGGTAATATTGCATTATATTTGCTCATTCTTTTATGTTTATAAATCATATCAGAATTTTTCAAATTGTACAGACCAAAAATGTCTTAAAAAAGAATTATTGATATCTTGTTGTTAGCTAGTTAATTGTTTTCTATGTTCTCCTGTTGTAGGAGGATCATATTTGAGGAAAGGACAAGGATGGGGGAACCTGGGAATGAGGGGAGAGAAGCTGGAGTCAAGGAGTGAAATGAGAGTAGAATGGGGGTTGAAAAATTAAGGAACTTAGAATATATGTAACAAAAGTTATTGGGAATAGGGGAGTGAAGTGGGAATCAGCCCCCTCATTGTCCACCATCTCAAATTTGTAGTATGTAATTTATACCTATAATACATGACGAAAATATATGATGTCGTATATGAACAAGAACCAAGAAATAGTAAGTCCAACAAACTTAGCTGGACTTTTAACATGCTAAGGTCCAATCAGAATGTAAGCATTATATCCAAAGCCTCTGTTTGGGGTTGGAGGAGGACTGCCATATTGTCTGCACATTTAAGAGCACTTGCAACAACTTGTTCAGATTTCTGTAGGTGACTGACCTTTAACAAAGCACATATTAGCCCTTAGGGAGCAACCATTTAACTTTAAGGGAGGGGAGGGGGTTATGGTTTTTTTCTGGGTCAGAAATTTTTTTCCCGCAAAGCGTAAACATTTTTATTTAGTTTTTCGACGCTTTCAATCAAATTATTTTTTTTCAAAATTTAACACTATAAGGTATGGGATAAATCTGGATTCAGAATATTTTTTTTATCATCTGCTTGATCAGAAATTTTTTTTTATCGAATTTGGGATCCCCATACCCCCCCCCCCCCCCCCCTCCCTCCCTTGAAGTTAAATACTGCCATATTGTCTGCACATTTAAGAGCACTTGCAACAACTTGTTCAGATTTCTGTAGGTGACTGACCTTTAACAAAGCACATATTAGCCCTTAGGGAGCAACCATTTAACTTTAAGGGAGGGGAGGGGGTTATGGTTTTTTTCTGGGTCAGAAATTTTTTTCCCGCAAAGCGTAAACATTTTTATTTAGTTTTTCGACGCTATCAATCAAATTATTTTTTTTCAAAATTTAACACTATAAGGTATGGGATAAATCTGGATTCAGAATATTTTTTTTATCATCTGCTTGATCAGAATTTTTTTTTTATCGAATTTGGGATCCCCATACCCCCTCCCTCCCTTGAAGTTAAATGGTTGTATTTTTTCAAGTGACAGTTCAAATCACCCATTATCTTTTCATCCTAGTCTACAATCTTTACTGAAACTACCTTTATGATTCTTTGTTTAATTCACTCCTATCATGAATATACAAGAAAATAGGTATTAATTAACTGATTAGTTATCTTTTAAGGTAATAGACTACAAAAAAAAATTTCCCACTTGGACAAGTCTTTTTAGGCCCCTGCGACAAAATGTCAAGGGGCATAGTAATTTACCCCTGTCCGTCCCTCTGTCCGTCCGTCCATACGTCCGGATAAGGATACATTGTTTGTCCGACTATCTCCTCCTACAGTTTTGGAGGTACAACTTTAATATTTTGTAGGTTGTTCATACACATAATGTAGGTGTACATGGCCACAGGATTTTGATTTTTTTCAAATATTCTGAAATGACAGGTAGTTGGACATTTTTTTGGTACTAGCTGCATAAAGAGATCATGGTTTGTCCCGACTATCTCCTCCTACAGTTTTGGAGCTACAGATCATCATACAGAGTGTTAAATTTATAATTTCCTATAGTCGGGCGGGGGCATCATTTGAGTCTTACGGACAGCGTAACAATTTCAAGTTGTATGCCAACATCACTGTTTGTCAAATCTAAAATATGTGGAACTATACTCATGCATATGGCAGAGCACAAAAAGGGGGCATTGTCCATATGTAGTTCTGATTCTGAGTTGACCAGTCAGTCGTAGTGATGGTAGCCTATACTGATATGAACAGGTAGATATTGACCTACTCAGACAACATTGCTATTGTTAGTCCCACTATGCCATAGAAGTAACCAGTACGCACTTAAGCATCATTATTCATTTTTAGAGAAATGCATTGGGAAGATCTGACTTATTTTGTCTCTCTTTACAGTGAAAACCAATGGAAGAAAATCTGACTTATTTTGTCTCTCTTTACAGTGAAAACCGATGGACGAAAATCTGACTTATTTTGTCTCTCTTTACAGTGAAAACCGATGGAAGAAAATCTGACTTATTTTGTCTCTCTTTACAGTGAAAACCGATGGAAGACAATCTGACTTATTTTGTCTCTCTTTACAGTGAAAACCGATGGAAGAAAATCTGACTTATTTTGTCTCTCTTTACAGTGAAAACATATGGAAGAAAATCTGACTTATTTTTCTCTCTTTACAGTGAAAACCGATGGAAGAAAAGAGGGATCTGCATGATTCCTACAAAATTTGGTATTGCTTATACAGCCACTTTCTTAAATCAGGTTTGTTTATAACGAACAAAGAATTATAAGAGTTTTATCATGCTTTCTGTTGGTTTCCTATGCATACTTTTAAAATTTACACGCATAGCATGTGCAGTTATAGCTGTTTTTATGCCCCCGCCGTAGTGGAGGGGGCATTTAGTTTTACCCTTGTCCGTCCGTACGTACGTCCCAAAATTGCTTTCCGTTCTCTAACTTGAGTTTGCCTCAACCAAATGTTATAAAACTTATACACAATGCTTATAACCAAAAAAAAAAGATCAAGTTAGAATTTTGGTGGTGTCACTTTAACCGTTCTAGAGTTATGTCCCTTTATAAATGGAAAAATTGCAAAATTTTTAGTTTCCGTTCTTTAACTTAAGTTTGCCTTAACCAAATGTTATGAAACTTATACACAATGCTTATTATCACAAAACACGGATCAATTTTGAATTTTTGTGGCGTCACTTTAACCGTTCTAGAGTGATGCCCCTTTATAAATGGAAAAATTGCTAAATTTTTATTTTCTTCTTAATATCAAGTAATTTTTAAAATTGGAGTTATTTTCCTTTGTCCAATCAAGTGCAAGTTGAATCAACTACAATCAATGCTTTATACAATGCAATGTTTAATTTTGACTTCCACTGATAAAACACAGATCAAGTTGAATTTGGGTAGTGTCACTTTAACCATTATTGAGTTATGCCCCTTTATAAATGAAAAGATTGCAAAATATTTAGTTTCCATTCTGTAACTTAAGTTTGCCCCAACCAAACATTATGAAACCTATACACAATATTCATTACCACAAAACTAAGATCAAGTACAAATTTTTTGTTTCCATTTTCTAACTTTAGTTTGCCTCAACCAAATGTTATGAAACTTATACACAATGCTTATTACTACATAATACAGATTAATTACGAAATTTGGTGGCTACACTTTTACCATTCTTGAGTTATGTCCCTTTATAAACATAAAAATAGCTGAATTTTTCTATCCGTTCTCTAACTTAGTTTGTCTCAACCAAATGTTGTAAAACTTATACACAACCGTTCTAGAGTTATGCGTGTTTACAAATAGAAAAATTGCAAACTTTTTAGTTTCTGTTTTTTACTTAAGTTAACCTCAACCAAATGTTACGAGACTTACACACAATGCTTATTACCACAAAGCTCAGATCAAGTTCAAATTTGGGTAACGTCACTTTTACCGTTCTTCAGTTATGTCCCTTTATAACTGTATGATATTTAAGCGGGGACATCATCTGTGTCCACATGTGGACACTATCCACATTTAATTTTATTTGATATTGGAGTGATACATGATTGTTGTCAGCCAATCAAGCTGGTTTTTTTTATTTGATATTGGAGTGATTCAGGATTGTCATCAGCCAATCAAGCTGTTTTTTTTTATTTGATATTGGAGTGATTCAGGATTGTTGTCAGCAAATCAAGCTGGTTTTTTTTATTTGATATAGGAGTGATTCAGGATTGTTGTCAGCCAATCAAGCTGGGTTTTTTTTTTATTTGATATTAGAGTGATTCTGGATTGTTGTCAGCCAATCAAGCTGTTTTTTTTTATTTGATATTGGAGTGATTCCGGATTGTTGTCAGCCAATCAAGCTGTTTGCTGTTTTATTATTTGATATTGGAGTGATACATGATTGTTGTCAGCCAATCAAGCTGGTTTTTTTATTTGATATTGGAGTGATTCAGGATTGTCATCAGCCAATCAAGCTGTTTTTTTTATTTGATATTGGAGTGGTTCAGGATTGTTGTCAGCAAATCAAGCTGAGTTTTTTTTTTTTTATATTGGAGTGATTCAGGATTGTTGTCAGCCAATCAAGCTGGTTTTTTTTTTATTTGATATTGGAGTGATTCAGGATTGTTGTCAGCCAATCAAGCTGATTTTTTTATTTGATATTGGAGTGATTCAGGATTGTTGTCAGCCAATCAAGCTGTTTGCTGTTTTTTTTATTTGATATTGGAGTGATTCAGGATTGTTATCAGCCAATCAAGTTTGCAGTTTCTATTGAAACATACAAGCAATGTAATTATTTGTAATTAAACAATAATAAGCAAATTGTAAGAGGTTAAATATTATACCTGAAAAAATGTCTGTTCTTGATTGGTAATTATTGAGACATGTTAAAACCATAGTGATATTGTTGTTTTTTGTGTGTTACAGGCAGGAGCTTTAGTTATGGTGTACAGAGATGGGTCAGTATTGGTCACTCACGGGGGTGTTGAGATGGGACAAGGACTCCACACTAAAATGATACAGGTATAAATCATTAAGAGGTTCCATTGAGGAATAGAAATGTGACAAGGTCTTCACATTTAAGGCATCCCTTTAGGTTTGATGTGAGGAAGATGGTAGAAAGAGCAAAGTAAAGAAAAAGTGAAAGTTTAATTGATATGTGTATACTTTGATGAGGTAATATTTTGTATTTATTAACAAAATGTGATTCAAGTATGATTTTGACAATTTCCACTTATACTGTTCAGGAGTGATGGTTCTTGATTGCTTAAACATTTGAAAGTAATAAATGTAACTATATCCTCATGTTATTTGTTTAAATTGTAGGTTGCTAGTAGAGTTTTAAAAATTCCAACTTCAAAAATACACATCAGTGAGACTAGTACTAACACTGTTCCTAATACTTCCGCCACAGCAGCTAGTGCAAGCTCTGATCTTAATGGAATGGCTGTTAAGGTAAGGCTAATGGCTACCAGCTCTAGCTCTGATCTGAATGGAATGGCTGTAAAGGTAAGGTTATTGGCTACCAGCTCTAGATCTGATATGAATGAAATGGCTATAGAGGTAAAGCTAATGGCTACCTGCTCTGGCTCTGATGTTAATGGAATGGTTGCAAAGTTAAGGTTAATGGCAACTAGCTCTAGTTCTGATCCAAATAGAATAGTTGGAAAGATAAGGTTATTGGCAACTAGCTCTGTCCTTGATCCGAATGGAATGGCTGTAAAGGTAAGGCTATTGGCAACCAGCTCTGGCTCTGATCCGATTGGAATGGCTCTAAAGTTAAGGCAAAAGGTAACCAGTTCTAGTTCTCATCTGTATGGAATAATTAGGGTAAGGTTTATGACAGCCAGCTCTAACCCTTACCTCAATGCAATGGTTGTACAGGTAAGGCTAATGGCAACAAGCTATAACTCCAGCTCTAGCTTTCATCTGAATTAATGATCTGTATAGGTATAGCTAATAGCAACCAGTTCTAGCTCTAATCTGAATTGAACAGCTGTAAAGGTAAGGCTAATGACAACAAGCTCTAGCTCCAGCTTCAGCTCTTATCTGATTGGAATGGTTGTAAAGCTTAGACTAATCGATACAAGCTCTAGTTCCAGCTCTCATCTGAATGAAATGGCTGTTAAAGTATGGCTAATTGAAACAAACTCTAGCTTTGATATTTGTTGAATGGCTGCAAAAATAAGGCTTAAGAAAACAAGTTCTAACAAATAAAAAAGAAGATTAACAATCATGAATGAATAGGTCAGCCAATTGGTACAAGTAGATCAATTTGACCTACTTTTTATACATACCAATTTTGGTCCACTTTGACCAGGCTCAGAGTTAATATTTTGGTTTTTTTTTTCACTAAATTACTTCCCCAATAAACATGACAATTCACAAAACAGGATTCTACATTTAAGCTGTGTACCTATAAGATTGCTAACACTAGTATTTGTGTAACAAAAATATGTGTTCGTTGTTAAAAATTATTTTGTTACTTTATAGGGGCATTGGCTGTCAAATTCAAGTTCACCAATTTGGCTCAAATTCTCATATTTTAACTTATAACATACTAAAACCCATATCCAAATTTAAAAACGTATAAAATAAACAATTTACGATGCATAAACTCAATAGAATGTATCAGCATTTCGTGTGTGTTTTAGTCTAGACGCCATCTCTAATTAACCATCTAGCTTACCTTCTGAAGACTGCAAACCGTAATATGACCCGATATAAACATAAACATAGATAGAAATAGATAGCGAACACATACAATTGGATTTTTCTAGGTCTGTTTGATTTCATATTATAGGTTAAAACAATTTGTTGATAATCATTTTTACCTGTATAAGAATGAGATTTTGTAGATCGAATCAGTCAACCAAATCATTTACCCTTTCAATGTTGACATTCTTTTCCTTTTAATAGCTGAACACGCCTAGTTCATGCGCAACCCATCTCTAGCTAAGGGGTTCAATTGAAGTTCACATGAATACAGAATTAATGAGGTTGAATAATTCACTTGCACTGAACCAAACTAGCTGCTAAATTATTATTTCACTATTTTACTTTCATTAATGATTGAACAAAATAAAAAATCATATTTTATTTTTTTTTCAATATCCAGTAGCTAATGCCCCTTTAAGCAGCAGTATCATTTAACTAGAATGTATTTGTGCTTAAGAGAATAGACCAAAAAAAACCCTATTTTATTGAATTTTTGTTGAATTCTAATCGATGGAAATTTCTCTGGAATTTGTCAATTAATAAAACTTTAAACTTGTATGGGCAAGTAATTAAAAGAGTATAGGTCAATAGAAGAGATTGACAGACTTTAAAGGCTTGTGTACCAGTAAGTAAACACTGCTTCTGTAGATGGATAAATGTAATGCATATGTGCTTATTTATTTCATGTTTTTCTTGATTTGCAAGTTGAATTAAAAGATGTTTGTTAGAAACATTGTATACATAAAGTTCTTTTGTCACAATGAAAAAAGTTGTATACGTTAGGTTTATACATGTACCTATGTTTGAAAGAATTGTTTCTGATCTGTCTAAATTAATATGAAAATTATGTATAATCTTTTCAGTATTCTTGTATTATTTGTTACATAATATAGATTTCTTATATTTTATGATTTTAGGTTGCCTGCCAGACAATCTTAGAAAGAATAGAACCCTATATCAATGCCAATCCTAAAGGGACCTGGGAAGATTGGGTAAGTACATCAATGCCAACCCTAAAGGGACCTGGAAAGATTGGGTAAGTACATCAATGCCAACCCTAAAGGGACCTTGGAAGATTTGGTAAGTTGTATTATTGTATTGTCTTAGTTCCTTCTTATTCTGTCCAGCTTTTCAGAAAATCACTATCTATAAACTTGTGACATCAAAACAATCAGACCAGACAATATTAAGTTTTACCCAGAGTTATTTCCCATGCTATGAGCAACACAATAGGTACCACTAGTGCAGCAAGAATTCCCTTCTCTTCGTAGATCATGAGTTCACCAAAGAATTTAGGTGGAGTTCAAATTTCTCAATGTTTAAATATAATATATAATTTTTTGTGGACCTTATTTGACTTTTTATACGACTGCAAAAAGTTTGCGTTCGTATATTGCTATCACGTCGTCCAAAGACATTTGGTTTCCGAACAATAACTTTAGTTTAAGTGTATGGAACTCTATGAAATTTAATCAAAAGGTTTAATACCACAAAAGGAAGGTTGGAATTGTTTTTAGGGGTGATGGTCCCAACCATTTATTTGTTTTCATGAAGATTTAAGAAATTATCAAAAATTGGGGGTCAAAATTCATTTTGCTAATTCTTTTTATATAGTCTGAAAACAGATTTACTAAGTATTGCACAACAGCACAGTGTATTGCACAACAGCAAGAAATCTTCAATTGAGTATAAATCCAAATCATATAACCAATTTCAAGTTCTTTGACTTCATTTATTCTCTGTCAGAAACCTATAATGTGTCAAATATTTAATTACAAACCAAATTCAGACCTGTATCAAGCTTGAATATTGTGTCCATTTTTGCCCCAACTGTTCAGGGTTGGACCTCTGCGGTCGTATCCAGCTGCGCTCGGTAAAGCACATTTTTTTTACTTTTACATTGTTGCCACAGTATTGTCTGTCTATTTTCAGGTTGTGATTTTTACTTCCTTCAATATTTTTTGTATACATTTCTTCGATCATTTTTTTAAATGTTTATTTTTACCTGTAACCACCTGATCAGATTTTTATTTATTTTCCAGGTGAATTCAGCCTACTTTGACAGAGTGAGTTTATCATCCACAGGATTTTATAGGTAAGTGTTTATATAAAGTAGTAAGTTTAGTAAGAACCATGTTTGGCCTCGAATATTAAGTTCATTAAGTAAGATGAAAAAAGTTCAAGTTGATGAATAGATATGTAAGTAAGTGAAATATAACAATTTTTGGTCATAATTTTCATATATTTTATACATCATAAAGGAAATGGAAATAGGTCAGATTCATTGTAATATTGGTCAATGAATCTGCATTTGTAATATAAGCTGAAAAATAGGGGCCATATTAGGGCCTTGTTGAACATACTGCTTCTATATTGTATTTTGCACTGCTTTATGTCACCTTATGATTCAGAAAGTGAAAAAAAAACACTCTGAAAAAGTTAAAAAATCAAACCATTATTTACTTTTGTATTAACAAACACATTAGGTTAAATTTTTTTAAAGAAACTTTGTTTATCCATTAATTGAGTATATGGTTTTTATTTGTTCACAGAACACCTGGTATAACAGAATTTGATTTTGAAAAACAGGAAGGACGACCATTTAATTATTTCGCTTTTGGTGCTAGCTGTTCAGAAGTTGAAATAGATTGTTTAACTGGAGACCACCAGGTAAGAATTAGATTTAATCATCTTCTGTTTATTTTAAATTTATACCAAAAAAAAGAAGATACCTCATAGTGTAGTTGACTTTATAAATTGGCACAAGAAATCAAGAAGTAGTTTTGTTCTTTTGCCCGGAAGGTAGTTATATATCATCCTATTCTTAGTTTAATATGGAAACCACCAATTGAATATAGATTTACATTGGACATTATAGGGAAAATACATTAAGGATGTTCACTACTCTGTTTCAAAATAAAAAGCTTTTTAAAAGACTGTTATGAATTGATAGTATATAAATAAAGAAACTAAAAAAGCAGAAAAAAAGGAAGGGTCCGTGTGCTTGTTTTCGAGGTTTAAGCCATTAAAAATGTGGTGGGAAATAATTCTCTCTAGATTTTTCATGCATTTAACATTGGCACCTTTTTTCTTTCAAAAAGAATGAGAAGATAACAAGGATTTTATAGGATTTTCAAAGATGTCATTTTAAACTAAATGTAATCAAAGTAATGAAAGAAAAGTAGGGGTTAGTGGGCAAAATGTTAAATAGCACTACATGGATAAAATCCAGAGGATTACGAATATCTGGCAAAAATTCAAAAACAAGAGGAGCGAACATCCTTAAGGTATTAGTGATGATCCAGCTTATATCTCAGGAAAAAAGGTAAAAAGTGAATACTGAACTTCTAAATAGAATTTGGGGAGATAAACAATATGTGTCAAACAAAGATTCAAAAATTTATCTTTTTTTGAAACAGGTATTAAGAACAGATATTGTAATGGACGTTGGTTGTAGTTTGAACCCTGCTATAGATATAGGACAGATTGAAGGAGGCTTTATGCAGGTATGTGATCTAATATATTTTGTTTCAAGTATAAATTTTTTTTTAATTATATTTAGCATTCAATGTAAGCTATCTTTCAATTCAATAATAATATCGGCAATATGTTGGAATGTAAAAAGATTTGGATATACAACCCAACAATGAAAAAACATAAAAAACATCAAGGGGCAAAAAAAAAAACCAAAATTCAACAACAGACAGATTTCTATACCATATGACAGGCTATAGATTATAATGACTTCCAAAGGACTAAAACTTAAACTATAAATATATACAACCTCTGACATATACCTTTAAATGTGATGGTAATAAACAAGTCTTTTAACATGCAATCCTCTCTCCTCCTAAGTCTTTAAAATTTGTGAATAGAATTAAACAGATATCTACTTTACGATAGACAAGTGTCTATAGAAATGTCAAGCTCTAAGTAGTGCTAGGCCTAATAAATCATTGAAAAAATAAACAAGAAAAATCAAAGATATGGAGGTTGCGGTCAAAATAAATTTACGCACAATTAATGAACTCAGACTCAGAACTTAACCAATCAAATTACTAGATTTTGACTTTCCAGCACAAATTTTGTACTTCAAGTACTGAGTAAAGTTTTATGTCCGATGGCCTTGCAATCAACACAAAATGTATCTATATGACAATGATTTTCTTGTACCTTTGAACAGGGATATGGTATGATGTTACTAGAACAACAGAAGATATCACCTGATGGTTTCCTGTTTACCAGAGGCCCATCGAACTATAAGATACCAGGCTTTGGAGATATTCCAGTAGAATTTAATGTATCTCTACTCAAAGACAGTATCAATCAAAAAGCAGTATATTCTTCAAAGGTTTGTTAATGTTCTTCAAGTATAGGCAATATATTGTAAACCAAATAATTCTAACAAACAATTTATTTCTTGACTTTTTTTAGTATAAAAATAAAACCAATATGGATAGTTAAGAATATGTCAAACTTTGATCTTCCCTTTATATATAGATATATATAACTATATATATACAAGAATAACTAAAAAACATGAAAATAAAATTTGTTGAAAAGTACTCAATGTGAAAATAAAAGCCTACTAAAGTTTATCTTAGATAGAGCAAAGAACTCCAGTTGTCCTGGTTCACCATATTCATTTTACCAGTTTTGTTTCTTAAAAACTACAGACAGCCATGTTCAACTTGTAAGTTACCATAGTTTCACCAGATGATGAAAACATTTTCACCAATTAACCTATCTAGAAAGAGGATCATAAATAAAGGAAAAGGGATTATACACAATTTTTCCCTGTATTGAAAATCTTTGAAAGTAGATAAAAGCTTACGAAAAAGCTTCTGTGAAAATTAAAATGTTATAGACTCTGTTACATTTATAAAATGCTTTATTTATTAAGTATTTTTCCATTTTTTTGTCAAATTCTATATTGTCCAGGCCATTGGAGAACCACCGTTATTTTTATCAGCAGCAGTATTTTTTGCTGTCAAAGATGCTATTAGATCTGCTAGAGTTGATTCCAAACAAGACATCAACTTTACTCTACATAGCCCGGCTACTGCAGAGAGGATCCGAATGGCTTGTAAAGATCAATTCACAGAACAGGTAATAATAAATTTATTATATCCTTGATTGCACTGGTTTCTTTGTGAGTGGTCAGGTTTACTCAGACTGTTCTGAACAAATGGTTAGAAGAGATATTGAAAAAGTTCATCGTTGGTAGGATAGAGCTTTAACCACCTTTTACCCTCATCAACAGTCTCCCTCCCCCACCTGTCCTTAATCCCCCTCTCTGTATATCTTTTCACGAAGTTGGTCATTTAGAAAAGCCAGCAAAGTAAACAATGCAAAAAGAATAAGAAATGAGTGTTCTCAAATGAGAGGTTGCTTTTCAAAGAAATAAAAGCCATATATTGGGAAGTTTTTGTTTGTATCTTATTTTCTCTTTGTTTGTCGTTGGCATTTTACCTAAACCATTTACCATACACAAATATTTCATTGTTCGTTTACAGCCATTGTACAAGGCTGAGAAATGCAATGAGGAACACAGCAAATATTTTACTGTCCCGTCTTGGGCCAAAAAATGGAAAATGACCACTTATATGGTATTCTAATATAAAGAAAATGGTCTTATTACAGGAATGGTCTAGCTTGAAAGGGGTAGTTATGGAGACTTTACTATGCTCCTCAATAATGCATTTACAGTATTGTGTATTCATTCATTTTCCTGGTCATCAATTTTTATGGATTGATGAAAAATTGTATTTTTTTCGTGGATACTTAAATTAGTGGTTGTCACCAATTCTGCTTACAAACCTATAGAAATATGGTATTCCCTTGAGTATTTGAATTTGCAGTTCATCTATTCCCATGAAATCTGTGAAAAATTGGTACTCAAGAAATAATATTGTATCACAGTATCTGAAAAGGACATGGCTATCAAATAGATGCGATTTTTTTCTGTTTTAGGTGATTCAGCAATGGTAATCGACATTTTTCCTTTATATTTTCTTTATTATACCAACCATTTCTGATTTTATTGTGCAGAATCATCTCTGATAAAGTATTTAAAATTTTGATCGAAATGATAATCACAAGGTCTGGAGATTCTCATATAGTACCCCAACTCTACAAGTGGGGCTATATTGCAATCATCTTGTCTGTCAGTTCCTCCTCCCATTTGTCCAACAAATATTTGTGTCAGTATTTTGTCAGAACAAAATAACTTCATATTTGGTCAGCAGCTTGACAAAGATAAGTTGAAATTGGTGAGCACTTTTTGGACATGTCAGATGCCTACTTTCTGTTGCAAAAAATTTGGTAAAATATTTCTCCAGTACTAATCAACAGAATGACTTCATATTTGGTCAGCAGCTCAACAGTAACACATTTTGACATGTCTGTGATCTGTCAGACACCTATTTCCTGCTTATTTTTTTACCCCACGCAATTTTTTGCGTCGGGTATAATGTTTTTGACCCGTCCGTCTGTCTGTACGTCCGTCGGTCCTGTTCTTGTCATCGCAACTCCTCTGAAACCACACAACAGAAATTCATGAAACTTTGTAAATAATAAGCACATACTATATACATATAAGGGGCGCCCTCTATGATTTAAATAACACACATGGTGGAATGTAAACAAACCTCACGAAATCATGTCTTTGTCTTATTTCTTGCTTATCGTACTTTAAAATCTGCACCCCGGGCCTGCCTAGCAATCTTACTTTTGGAGCAAAATACAGTGGACTATACAAGCCCGAATTCAGTAATCAAAATTAAGATTTTTCATCACAATTGTTCTAATGCTGGAGAGCTTATTTCCTTTGTATTTTTTGAAAATTTTTCATCAAATTTTTAAGTGTATTACTTAAGTTAAAGTTCACATAATTTAAGGGTCAATATGGACCCTTGTGAACCCCTTTGGTCCATCAGAGGATAACATCCATATGCAAGTTATTTCAGTATACTTTCATTACAAATTAATTTTAATATTTAGTTTCCAGAACCTGAAGAAGGGAGTTATAAACCATGGTTTGTAAATCTATGATGACTGCTAAATGGTGGATATCTGTGGACTCATTATAAAACATGATTTTAGAATTCATATTAATGACTTCGAACTGGTAGATTACTGACTCATTATGAACCAGGGTTTATGAATCAGTAATGACTTCTAACTGGTGGATTACTTTGGACTCATTTATGAATCTAAGATGCATAACAACTTTACATAGAGTTGGAAACTCATTTTTGTACTGAAGAATAATAATTTTTAATTGCATTCTGCTTTCACAATATACAGAGCTTTATATTATCATTCTTATTTATGCTTTACTTTTATTTTATTATTGAGATTTTTAATCAATATTTTAAGGTTGTTAATCTGTAATCTGTGTATGAAATAAGAAATGATCAATTTGAAAGTTATTAAAATATTGAAAATAATTATTTTTCTGGAAGATTTTCAATGTATGTTTGTTAATGCCTCAGCCACTCTGTGGAATTGGACATAAACTGTTAAAGATATTTTTTATTCTGAAACCAATTGTTGTCCAGAATTTTTTTCTGTAAAGCTGTGAAGCCTGTTAATATTGAGACGATTTTTTAGTGTTTTATATGGTATTACAGATCAAGTTCGTTTTATATATGTCGGATATTATACTTTTTATGAATTTGGACTTGGTATGGTCAACCATGTTCCTACAGTCAGGGGCATTAGAATACAGCTAGCTATATATTTTCTTTTAAATGGTATGTGAAGGGATAAAAATAAGTGTAGTATTTATCTAGACAGTTATTTTAATCAAGAATTGTATTAATTGATAATAATATTAATTATAATTTATCATTTTCAGGGACCATTTATGCATTTTTTCCAAGTTAGATCTATCTCAATATTTTTTAAGGGGAAAGTCATGAACATTAAATGTTGTTATAAGAGGCCCTTCAAGTGTTTTTAAAGTCAGCCAATCAGGCTCTATGTCACCAGTCAAGATTTGACAAAATTCTGAATTTAAGATATAAAGTTAAACCATAGAATAATGGCTTGCAGAAAGTAAAAAACACCATTTAATTCATCTACCGCAATCTTTTTACATGTAATTTTTCCATAAGGGGAAGTACATATACTTAATTGGGGTTATCTTTTTGATTTTTATGGAATTTTGTATTCAATTTTGATATAATCTGCTTTCTATATTTGTGATCAAGTCAGATTTGCTTGCTCACAGCTTTAATAGTGCTTTGATTTTTGTGTTTGGGATACAGTCTGAATAACATACAGTATAAACCCTACATCTTCTACTCGTATTATAACACTGTAAGTTTGAAATGGTTTGCTTTAATTAAATCATACACATTTTTTTATTAAATGCATAATTGTAACAATTTTATATTTGTAAACTTTATGAGAGTACATGATCAGTATAACACAAAAGAACCCTTTGACTGCTGTAAATTCAAAAATTATTGTGTGCATTTATTATAGTGGTCAAGACTGAACAAAAATGTGAGATTAATTATTGTGATTTCAGGAAAAGCTTCATACAGATATATGCATCCTAAATCAGAATGTGAGTTCTGGGTTGAATTGATCAATCATTATTTCATTAAATTGTCCTCAAGAAAATAAGTTTTAGAACTGGCACTTTGAATAATTTTACAGTTATGACCATTTTGTTCTCCATTGTATTTGCTGAACAATTCATATTTAACAAGTAATCTGCCTATTGTGTTGTTCGTCTTTTTAATTAATTTACACTTTACTGGAAATGTGTTTTACTACAATAAGTTATAATATTACCTAACAGCTTCTTACACCGTGATTAAATATAGCATTGACAGTTATTATCTAACTATTGTCCGTAATTATTATTTGGAAATTGTGCTTTATAAAATATTTTAGTCAGTTACCAGAACTTATTCTGTCCTTATGTTGAAAGGACTTGCAAAAAGAACAATCATACAAAATTATTTGTAATCCAGGTTCTATTTAAATGGTATTTTAGCCTAATATAAATAGAACAATATATAAACCTTACTTGAAGTTGTATTATACTACACTAGCAAATGAATTTTAGTCTTAAATGGTCATTTTTATTTTAACATCATTTGAAAAGTCTTAACAATAAATTATTCAGTCAATGTTCAGTCAATTTTCAGACTTAAAACGCTGAAGTAAATTCATTACTATATAGACAAGTTGCTTGCTGTCATTTCATTACTGTTTAGACAAGTTGCTTGCAGTCAATTCAGTACTGTTTAGTAACTTGTCAGACAATTCAGTATGATGTTGATGTGTGCAGTAAATAACTACTGAATATTGACTGAACAGATCTCAATTGACTGCAAGCAATCAAATTGTTTTAAGTGTTTAAGATGAAACATTAAAAATGTCAATTGTGACTGACCTCCAACAGCAGACGTCATTCAATCAAAGTTAAATGTCAGAATTGGTCCATTAATATCAAACTTAGTTTAATTTTATTTCCTTGTTTTTGTAGATTAATGTATAAAATAAATATCAAGCTGTGTAATGCTAAAAGCTATTAAGCAGAAGTATTTATATTTATAAAGCCACAAGTGTCAACTTTTTGAAACTATGCAATATGAAATCTCCTTAGTAACATGATTTTTTTGCAGTTGCATCTACTTCACATTGTTATCTGTGTTATTCTTTCTTAATTTTGCAGGAAAATTAATTCCCTGTAACAAAATTTAATGATTGTCCCTGGACAAAAATACAATATTTGATTTATAGTTTATCATTCAAAACAAAATATTAGACAACTTGACAAAAAAATACTGTTTTGAATACCATACATGTTTTTGTACATGAAAACAAGTTCGTATTTTTATAGATGTTTGAAAAGAAAAAATTGGAGAACTTTTTTTATAAAAGGGTTGAGTGCTTTCAAACATGTTCAGTCTGCAGCATTGTTTAAGTGCCTGTCTTAAGTCAAGAGCCTGCAAATCAGTGGTTGTTTTCAGTTACATTGTGTCATATTTGTTTTCCTGGATTGCTTTACCATAAGTCAACCTATATTTTAGACTTAATCATTTTATTAAGTGCAGGGTTTCCCCTTGCTTAATTTTCTTTTTCGCTACCGCTTTCGCTAAACCAACATTTTTTTCGCCAACTTGCATAAACATATTTTTCATTTCAAATTTTCCTACTTGCTAACAAAAGACATTAGTTCGCAGCATTGTTGTCTAATCTATTATAATTCTACATATCTATTTCTTAATCTTCAATGTACATTGTAATAAATAAACATTCATTATAAACATTTACTGTAAAAAATACTGTAAAATTGCAATATCAATCAGGAAATCATCATATTTGACTTCTGGGGACACGGGATTCATCAATAAGTTAATCGGATACTTCCCGTCTAATTGAAGGATAAGGCTAAAGTTAGAGATTTTTCTTTTAAAAATGAATAACAACAGTTTTCTTACCTGCACCATTGTTAAAAATTGTTGAGAGTTAAAACTAAGCTTCATGCCTCGTTAAAACAATTGTGAAGTACCCACTTCAAAACAATTTTTTCTATCAAAGTTGTAAAAAATCCTTTAGTTGACATGTCAAGCCATTTAACCACACAATTTCATTAAACAATACAATCAACACCTTTATTAGTTAATCCATTGTTGCCAATAGCTATATTAAAAATACAATCAGCTGATAATTGATTTTCTATCAAAATCGTAATGCGTGACGAGTTCATGGTGAAATCCCAGTATTGTTTGATCAGGGAAAAAGTCCAAGAAACCTGCAAAAATATAAACAAGATGGACAATAAACCGTTATGCTTCTTTCACCAAAGTCTTTTGCCAATAATGAATTTTAATCGCCACAATTTTTATTATTTTCACAAAATGAGAAAATGGCGCCCACCAGCGGAAACCCTGATTAAGTGTAACATTTAAGTTCATTTCTCAAATACAAGGAAACCGACATTTCACTTCATTTCAGCCCTGTTACTGTAAATTCAAATATTATTGCATGCATTTATTATTGCGATTTTTGAGAAATGGACAAAAATGCGAGATTAATTATTTCAGGAAAATCTACATACAGATATATGTGAAAGATATCAGATTGTGAGTTCTTATTATTGCTATTTTCACCCAGTTGCATTATTCACATTAATAAAAACCTTGCGATAATTTGTGAATTAACAGTAACTTTAATGGATTTTTAATCACCTCAGCAGTATCATATTACCTTGGAGTCCAGGCAAACTTTGTTATTGTAGATGACATATGAATGTACAGGCCATAATTTATCTAATAGCATAGACATAAGTAATATGAGTGTATCCTTATGAAATAATATGTAGTGTACTATCTAGACCGACATTTGATTTTTTCCCTCAAGGTCAAATTATTTGTAGCAAGTAGGCTGTTAACAAAAACTTAATTTTAGTATGATATTGACTTGAGATACAAAGCATGTGGATGTATCACCATAAGACAAATGTGTTGCATTGTATCATAACCAATATATAACCTTGAACTTTGAACTTTGAACTCAATGTAAATAATCAACTTTGATGTTTCATTCAACTTGAGCTCTAGGAAAATATAAAATAAGCAGATCTGTAAATTAGTATGGGAAAACATTGGAGACTTTCGTTGATAACATCAAATGTATTGCTCCTGACCTACATTTCATGCTTCAATGACTTAAGTTATGTCTAAATCAGAGGCCCGTCATAAGAAATACATATCACAAGCACAGTTTAAAATTCTTTCTTTAATAAATAAATGTACACAAAACCATGTACAAATTTAAATATATATTATTCAAGCTTAACAATTAGTTGTAAGTAGATATCCCACATAACAAATGGTCACAAAATGAAACAAATATACCCATCAAGTATTAGTAATAAGAAAACCCTCAAATGTCACATAAAAAGATATTAACAGAATGCAATCAAATAACAATTGATTGCTATTTTTATGTAACCAAAAAACAAAAAAAAATTTAAAAATTAGGCATACAAAATTGAATTAAGTGCTTCGCTGAGCGCAACTGGATACGTCCGCAGAGGTCCAACCCTGAACAGTTGGGGCAAAAATGGACACAATATTCAAGCTTGATACAGGTCTGAATTTGGATTGTAATTAAATATTTGACATATTATAGGTTTCTGAATAAATGTAGTCAAAGAACTTGAAATTGGTTATATGCATTGAATTTATATTCAATTAAAGATTTCTTGCTGTTGTGCAATACACTGTGCTGTTGCGCAATACTTAGTAAATCTGTTGTCAGACTATAAACAAATAAAGTTCAATTAATTCTCAATGTCATATTAGAAATTTATGAAAATGTAAAGGGAGCTTACATCAATAGATATAAACAATTCACCAATGTTTCATGAGAATTGCTGACAGCATTTTTGAGTTATTGTCTGAAAACTGGAAAATCCCCCTTTTTTCAATGAATAAAACCCATAACTCGGAAACGTAAAATCTAAAATTTATAAAAAACGAAAGGGAGCTCACGTCAATAGATATAAACAATTCACCAAAGTTTTATGCAAATTGGTTAAAGCGTTTTTGAGTTAATGTCCGACATGTTGACGACGAACGGACAGACGGACAGCGGTATACCATAATACGTCCCGTAAACGGGCGTATAAAAATATTACTACATGGCGTATTAAGGATGTACTTAGGTGAAATTAAAAAAATCTAGAATTCAAAATTGATATTATAAGTCAGATGAGCATTAGTTAAGGAACAAAATAAGCTAAAAATATTGATAGGTTATGGAATTCCTTTTCGAGATATTTTATTCTTAAAAATTGGTGGGAAAAGGATGACTCAGACTTTTACCTTATATTTGCATTGGTATTATTTGGGTCTCAAATCGAAAGAAAAGAAATCTAGAATCTGCTTAAATTTAGGGAAATGACCTTTTATGAGCTATTGTAGTCTTTTATGAAAAGAAAAATGGGTGTTATGGGGCAAAATATTTTACCATGTATCGTAGGTGAAAAAAAGCAAGGAGTCTGACAAAAATTCCTAAACCTGACCTAAGTACATCATTAAAAACTGATTCTGAGACATTAAAAATCTTCAACTTCTGTCTTGGGAAAATGACTTCTATTTAATTCTCAATTATTTCTGAGGTACACCTTTTTGAAACTATGGTAACATGTTTTTCATTTTCCCCTTATAAACTCAAGTTAAAAAAAAATGCCGCTTTTCAATAATTAAACTATCAAAATCATTTTAAAAAATTTTAAAGAACAAAAATTTGTTTTTTTAATTTATTGCCCTTGGACAGAACAGATAAAAAATGTGCAACGCGGGGGACATAAGAACTCTGTTCTTTTATCAATTTAGGTCTCTAGATCTGTAGACATCATCAGATATTAGCAATGTCCAGATAAGGAGAACGTCTCTGAATGAGAAAAATTGCCTAGATATGGTTGTAATAAAACATCATTAATTCTGTTTCAACTATTAAGGTGGTACCAAATACCTTGACTAAAATTAATTTGGCTCGTTTAATTTTCATAAAATTTTTACAAAATATTTACTTTGACCCTTTGACAAATATATAAAAATTTCAAAAAACTTGAACCCACACACTTTATCGGAAAAATTTCATTGGATATATAGCAGTTTGACAAACACTAACTTCGATCATTGAGAAGCTATATATTTTACTTAACAATAGAATGTGATTAAAACGTTCAGCTGATTTTTACAGAGTTATCTCCCTGTAGTGTTATGTACCACCTTAATTTTTCTTTAAATTATATAAAAAAGCAATAAACATAATGTATTTATTCCTTGATATCTATGATTAATAGATAAATATCAAGTATATCCATAATTTCAACAACAATCAATTCAGCTTTGAATTAACAGTGGATTTCATAATTTTAACAATAACATCATAATTAACAGTTAACACAAATAAGGCAATGAGGCCAAATATTCACTCACAGAATCATATACCATTCACACACAAACAATATTTACTCATATACAGTTAACTCTCGTTGTCTCAAACTCGGTTGACTCGAAATATCGGATGAGTCGAAGTTTTACGTGGTCCCCAACTTTGTTCCATATAAATGTATGTATTTCGACTCCCGATGAGTCAAAATTTCGGTTGAGTAGAACTAAATTTACGGTCCCAAGGTTAACAAAAGCATTCAAAATTCATTATTTATCTCGAACTAATACACATATGTCAAAACATGACCTCCGGGATTTAAATGGATTGAAGAGTTAATCTGACAATACACGTGTAATTAGATTTCCGGCCACTGACCACTGTATTGATTTATGACATGCTATTTCCACGAGCATGACGAGTGTTTACCTAAGATTACCTTTTATAAAAATTTTATAAATAATTAGTGATACATTGTTCATATTCATGAAAAAGTATTTAAAATGTTTATAAAAACAATTAATCGTTATTTACACTGATGCGCTTGGATGTGTATAAAGTGGGGATTAAGACATCCGTTGGTGATCACCTACTCAATCAGTGTCTTTAATCTTGTATTTTCTTTTGAAAAGAAAGAGTGAGATGAAAGAAAATGAAGAGAAATCTGAATTTTCTAACATCTCTTGTATCCGAGAATAAACAATATTGTCAACTTTAAATGACCTAAATAACGCTAAGATCGATTGGAAAATTACTCTCTCGGATAAAAGCCATAGGAAAAAATTGTAACTGAAACAATTGAATAAGTAAAAATAATGTTATTATAATAATAATAATGAAAGACCATGACATACATCGATCTGATACCAGAATACCCATCCCCTTTCCATATTCATCCGGATTTATTTTAGCTTTACCAAGCTAAGCAAGAGTTCTGTCCCTTGGTCTGTCAAACTTCCGGTTTTCGTTTGAGTCGAACTAAGTGTATCTTGAAATATTTCTCTGGTCCGGCTGACTTCGAGATAACGAGAGTCGACTGTATTTCAGATCTATTCCCACAAAAAATCACTGAATGTTTTGGTTCAACAAAAATAGAAACATGCATTTTGATGTGTTCAAAACAATTTATAAGTTACTATTTGATGTAGGTATGAATATAAACAAATCTTTTCACATTAAATTCATATTACAACCTAAACAGTGCAATTGTGAATTGATGCCATGAAAATTGGTGACGTTATCCAATCAAAATGAACATTACATACAATGTTGCATTAGAATTACTATTTGATGTAGGTATGAATATAAACAAATCTTTTCACATTAAATTCATTTTACAACCTAAACAGTGCATGTGTTAACCAATTAATTGTCTTGCACAATGTCTGAGGTTGAACTAGGGTTAATCTTGGGTAAAGTCACTTGAAACAAGTTGTTTCCCTTGGACAGAATTGATTTCATTGCTTGAATACCTAAGTTAATATGACATTTCAATTGAACAGTCCATTTGCAAGAAAAACTGGTTTATACATGTATGGTTTTGGTTATAAATTATCATGAATTTAACCAAAAAATTAAACTTACTTATAATAATATTTTAAATTGTCATTAATTCAAAATGGATTGTGTTAAATACAAAACTTAGTTTACAAATAAAAAGCTCTATTTACATATAAACCAAAAGCTGAGCAAATATTTGGAATGTATAATATCATTTAATATACAAATGAACTGAGATGTACCCAGTGTTTATGCATAGTTTAAAGTCCTATATCAATACATTTTTATAAACAAAGAACAAGTCACTTTTTTTTGCAGGACCTTTGTTTGCTGATTAAGGTTTTATTTTCTCGTCATCAATACTAGAATAGGTTCCTTTCATGCTGACAAATAATCTGGTGAAGGTTTAGTGTTATAAATTTTTTATATAAATTGAATTGCAGTAGGATTTAAATGAAAATAGCAGTTTCCTTAATTTGGCTGGAACATGAAAAAGAGAAGAATAATTATTTTGTTAAGAAATGTGCAACATCACTTGCTTTTTACCACTTATAAATAACAAGACATGCATTTGATTCTTATATTCACAGTTTAAATAAATAAATATAGCATTTTTATAAAAAAAAATCACCATTATGAATAGTGTTCAGATTTACCTGTTGCTTTAATACAGAATGGCAAAGGCTGCAAGTGGTTACTGGTTTTCATATGATATGACACCTTGTTAAAGCACCATATGGCAAATATGTAGCCAATCATACAACGAAGACTATAACTATTAATGAGAGATCACTGATCAATTTGATATTCAGTAAAATTACTGCTTTTTATGACAGGCATTCTTCAATTGTATCGTTATCAGTTGATTCAGATGAAGTTGAAATGCAGTACTGTCTCCAGCTAAACTTTTTACATGTTCTATTATTATCCATAAACTGAGATCACTATCAGCTAATTATGCCAGAGTCTGATAAAAGTTCAAATGCAGCACCAAGACCCCAGCTAACTTCTACATGTTCTATTTTCTTTATCACCTATAAAAAATAATTTTGTAAATTACAAAAATCATTCTCTCATAACCAATAATATAACAAGAGGCTGTCAGAGTGACAGCAAACTGAATTTCCTGCAGAGGTCCAACCCTGATCAGTTGAGCAACTATGGACACTACATTTAAGCTTAAAACAGCTCTGAATTTGGATTGTGATTGAATATTTGACACAGCATCGGTTTGTGACACAAAATGAATGTGGTCAAAGAACTGAAAAATTTGAAATTGGACATTTACCTATCATGGTCCAATATCCAAAATCTAAGTACATGGTTAGAATCAGCATGTCAAAGAACCCCAAGAATTCAATTTTTGATGAAATCAAACAAAAGTTTAATTTAGGACCCTTTGGACCTCAATGTGGACCAATTTGATAAAGGAGCCTACAATCCAACATCTCTAAATACATGGTTAGATTCAACATTTCGAAGAACCCCATAAATTCAATTTTTGTTGAATCAAACAAAGTTTAATTTTGGGACCCTGATTTGGACCAACTTGAACACTGGGCCCAAAAATTTTATATTTAAATACAGGTTTAGATTTGGCATTTGAAAGAACCCTATATATATTTAATTTATGTTGAAATGAAACAGTTTAATTTTATCCATATAATTTTCTGTTCAAAGAGAAAAAACTCAAACTGAATAAATTATAAACACATAGTTCTCTAAAACTAGATATGATTTAACCACTATTTTCTTAAATTAGATATGATGTTACACAATGTATATCTATTTTCAAATTATAATCAAATATAATTAATAGTTCCAATATTTTTTCTTTCATTTGTCACAAACTAATATAGATCTGCAACTTATCTATCAATGTCAACAACTTTATCTACACAATGTTATGTAATGAAATATATCCTTTAATAAAAATAGATTATTATCTAATTAAAGGAGTTCACTTCATAAAAAAAAATTATATATATAGCATTCAGAAAATTAGTTTATACAGAATAACAAACAAACCTACCACAAAATTCTTCAAACAATTTACCAAAGAAAAGAAAAAAAAATCCAAAATGTCATTTATCATTCATACAATGTCTTTTAAAAATCTTTTAAAAAATGAGTTATTTCCCTTTGAACAGAATGGAGTAATTAATAAGAATTTCATCAGAAATTGAATTCTTGGGAAAGGGCTATAACTCAACAACAAGAAAAGCTTAAATCGTATAATTTCGTGAAAGCCTTTTCATGTTAATGAAAGGACACTGTTTGGCAGCCGCCGGCCTGCCTGCCCGCCCGCCATACATCCCCAAATCAATAACCCTTTTTTCTTTCGAAAAAACGGTTAAAGATAAGGAGATGTGGTATGATTGCCAATGATTGTAAGCAATTATAGGCAACCGTACAGCCCTTTGTGATTAGATGTTTATCAACTGTTTATATCAATTAATGGTAGATGTTTATTAAGTCTTCATTTTTTCATGTGTCTGGGTGGTAAACTTCTAATAAACATCTACCAGTAGTTGATAAACATCTAATCACACAACAGAGTAAAACAAAATTGATAACGGATAGAATTACAAGCAAGAAAGGCACCATGAAGGGAATATAAGAAAATATAAGAAAATATTGGTATCTTTACTTTTCCAGTCTGTATGGAAAATTGACCCCAGATTCCCTTTTTGGGGTCAAAACACCATATGACATTGGTTCAATCCCAGTATATCTATACAACCCTTTCACTCACCCTACCCCTAAACACCTTTATTAATGTGTACTTACAGTTACTTTTGTTTTTGACCTCAATCTGTAGCCATCGTGTAGTAATGAATACATGTATAGTAAATCTAACCCAAGAAATGGTTTCTTTGAACTTGGATTATCAAAGGCTACAATAAGAAAATTATTTACATTATATTTTCATGGCAATCAATCTATTTTCTCTTGTGTTGTGTTTTGTGTTTTTTCTTTAAGCCATATAGTGTTCTCTGTCTTTTCCTGATTATTGATTTTAGATTACCCCCTTGGTACATTCTGACCTTTCAACCTGCAAACCCTATAGACCTCAGCTCATATATCATGACTAATACAAATAAATTTTTAATAATTTAACATATGTAAACCATACACCTATCAATGTTAAAATAAATTGTAGGTTCTGAGGCAATTTGGTTCAGACACGTCAATTTATTTTTAAAATATGTTAAAATGAGAAAAAAGAAATGACTGGCCTAGCTTGCATGTATGCTTGTATACTGAGGCAGCTCAAAATTTCTCATATAGAACAGGTCTTCCCCTATTTTTAACCAAAAAACCCTTATAATATATGTTCATGATAACATTACTTCTCACTTGAAATCAAGGCTTGAGATTTTAACATGCAACTGTTTTTCACCTTACACAACATGAGTTAGAAACTGACCAATAGAGGCGTATTTTTATATGTATGTAAGTCTTGAATAAAGGCATGGACATGCCCATAATCCAGTTGGAAAGCATGATTGATTAGTTAATATTGGATTGGGTGAATTATCGAATAGTTTAGAATAAGTTACCAGCCTCAAGTGAGGTCAGGGTCTAAAGCCAATTGGAATATGTTAGGCAATTGATCAATATACGTAGTAATTTTTCAAAGGACATGTACGACAATACACCATTCCATATACTTAGTAGATAAATTCTGTAAGTTATAATGTATGTCAAACTTTAAATCATCTGGTATTGTTATGTTATTGATGTGTTTATTTTGTTCATAAAATACCACTAAATTGAATATGTCAAGGAGATATAGTATATTCAAATATTTTTGTTATGTGCAGTAGGAATTTTACTGCAAAATTTATTGTATGCAAAAATTTCACTGTTCATTTAAATGCAATTATTAGTCTGGGAAATGTGAAAAATGAACACGTCAAAGACAAAACTGCCTCTTCAAAATAGTGAAAAAAACACAAAAGTAAAAATAAGCCCATATCTTGTAATTATGTGAACAACTCCCTATACTTGTATGTTACTTAGCTTATACCTCTTTTAGCTGCCCTCAGAAAATCTTTGACAACTAATTTTCCACCTAAATCTGAATCTGCAATAGATAGAAGAAAAACATTAGAATTGCTATCAAAGGTAAATTAATGTATTCATTGGTTGTTGTTTGTTGATGTCTATCTTATTTGTTTTCTGTTGATTGTTTTGTACATAAATCAGGCCATTAGTTTTCTTGTTTGAATTGTTTTACATTTGTCATTTGGGGCTTTTAATAGCTTACTATGGAGTATGGATGTAATTTGACCTATAGTTGTCAACTTCTACGTCATTTGGGGTCTAGTGGAGAGTTGTCTCATTGGCAATCATACCATCTATACTACTAAAATAACGAGGTCAAATTTGTTAGCCAGCTTGACATAAAAATGATGAATGGTGTTATTTAAAAATTAAACCATTCCAGGCACTTTTGATTTCCACATAATTAATTAATTAATATTACCAATAATTAATAAGTATCGGGTCGAATCTGATACCGATACCAATAGTATATGTCACGTGTAGTTTCCGGTTGTAGTTACATGTTACCTTCTGTAAATTCCTCCTCTATCAGGAGAACCTGGAATTCTTCCAGTAGTTGTTTTACATCTATGTTACACTATTTATCAAGTCTGTTTTCTCCCACATCAATACCACTATTAATTTTGGTTCATTAATTAAAAAATTGAATTTAGTTTATAGTAGTTTATTGTAGTAAGAAAACCAGGACGGGATCAAACAGAAAGATTTTGAAAGCAGAGAAAACTGTGCCCCTTCCAAAAACAGCATGATTTTATCAGATGACAATACAAATACTAAAAATCGAGGCTAAAAAAAAAGGCATAGGTACTTTATTTCAGTCACAAACCTGTGATGTCACGAGTCTGTTCTTATTTTGATAGGACTGGAATAGTGCCAGTGAAAGGATCTTCAATCAAAAAATGGATAATTTATTTTGTTTAAAATGAGTTTTGGGAGGTTTGGCTATAGTTCATCTAGACTATGTTAAATATTTTATAACTCTTGTAAAGTTATAAAACTGTTAAAATAATATAAAATTTCACAATTTTGTATTTTTTTTTTTATATCACTTATGAATAATATAACTTTAACCTAACAATTATATCCGTGCATATTTATCTATAAATTTCTCCCATGCAAATAAGGATTTCTAATCTAAATTTACACTAGCTATAGGGTGAAAATTAAAACTAAATTCAATTTGTCATTTTTGCATCCTTAAATAAATGGGGAATGTGTCCATGGGACACAGATGATGCCCTCACTTGCATATAATGTTATAAAGGGATATAACTCAAGAACTGTAAAAGTGACGCTACCCAAATTTGTACTTGATCTGAGTTTTGTGGTAATAAGCATTGTGTATACCTTTCATAACATTTGGTTGAGGCAAACTAAAGTAAGAGAACGGAAACGAAAAATTCAGCAATTTTTCCATTTGTAGAGGGGCATAACTCTAGAACAGCAAAAGTGACGCCACCAAAATTCGAACTTGATCTGTGTTTTGTGGTAATTAGCATTGTGTATACCTTTCATAACATTTGGTTAAGGCAAACTAAAGTAAAAGAATGAAAACGAAAAATTCAGCAATTTTTCCATTTGTAGAGGGGCATAACTCTAGAATGGCAAAAGTGACTCCACCAAAATTCAAATTTGATCTGTGTTTTGTGGTTATAAGCATTGTGTATAAGTTTCATAACATTTGGTTACATTTTGGGACGTACGTACAGACGGACAAGGGTAAAATTTAATGCCCCCTCTGCTGCGGCTGGGGCATAATAATCAAAACATAATGGAGGGAGGGGTAGAAAATTGTGCAAATTACAACTAATCATGTTTTACTAAGTGTCCATAACATGCATTTCCCATTAATAATGATAACAAAACCCAAGCACATGCTTGAACTATTTCACACAATTACACATTATATTTCCAAAACCTTATACAATATATGTATATATTTTTAAAACTAACAATATACCTTTACCCGTTTCATCTGCAGCAGCTGTCAAAACGTAGAAATAGATAATGTTCTCTTTTTCAGAATTCAAATAATTTTGCCTTTTTTTCACTTCTAGTCAGAAATGTATTTTGTAAACCCGTCATCAACAGAATAACAATGTATAGCAACCATACCGTTTGACATTTACAGTCGATCCTGCTACAAAGGTCATCTCTATTAAGCAAAAACCTGTCATGTCAGGTCACCCTCTTCTTTTACCGCTGTAGTAATACCTAAACATTTTAAACCTCATTTCAAGGGGCACCTCTCTTATCTTTTCTCCGATCCAGAGGTTGACATTTATATACAGGTTTGACTGTATTTTAACAACGAACTCTTATATAATGGTGTTGATGATCATCTGCCTCTTAGTCCTGTAGAACTATACTGGGTTTATTATATGTATTTTGGAAACGGGGCAAGTTGTTGGAGTACTAATCTGATCATTGATGACCATTAGGCGCCACCGTGACACATGATTTAATAGCTAATTCTTAACTTTATACTATCACTCACTTTATAAACCCATTGTTATTTCGCATACTATGCATCCATTTATTTTTGAAAGTACCAATTTTCGTGGATTCTGGAAAACTTAGATATTTGAATTCATGGTTTTGTAAAAGTCTGCATACAAGTGCATAGAAAATATGTTATTCGTTGACCATTTAAATTTGGTGTTCAACTGTTTCCACAATAATCCACAAAAATTGTTATCCTACAAATAATAGTGAATACAAAGTATCCTTAACCTATTTTATACAAATATAACATTTTAAAACATGGCATTTTATTTTTTGAAAAAATATATGAAAATTTAAGAAATGATGGGAGTCTCAGGACACAATACTTTGATCTGAGACTCATTTTGTAATTTCTTTTATTACCAAATCCCAAAATAAAATTTTTCAGAATCTAATGCATTCTGGGTAATGTTTTCAAAAGTGTACACAAAAATGCTGTGATTGGTTCAAAATGTCCTAATCAATGGAAATCTAACCAATGACGTGACATTATTTTCATTTCAGGGTACAAACAATAAAATTACCCATAGTCCTTTAGATTCTGTAACAGTCAAACTTTAAAATTTGACGGATTTTCATGCAAACAATTAAATCCTAGAATTCATTAAATACATGTCTTTCTGTCATGTTAATTTTGTATTTCAAAACCACTGACAAAACAAGTAATATGTGTGTTAATTCTTCTATCTATTTATAACATCTCCCAGTAGTTGTTATAAATAAATGTGGGATTTCCCCATACATACCTATTAGTTGTGAATCTACAGCTGCATCAAAGAAATAAGAGAAAACATAGATCTCATGTTTCTGTAATTCATATACTGCCTGAATCTTTTGTCCTACAAAATCTTTCACTACACTGTAACAACTGTTAAATGAACTTTGAGATTCTCCACTGAAATATAAAATAACAAAATGGTTATTAACTGTAAAACGAACTTTGATATTCTCCACTAAAATAAAAAAGCAAAAAGGTTTCATCAACTGTTAAAAGAGAAATTCAGATTCTCAACAAAAGTAAAGATAGAAATGTTAACAACTACAAAAAGAATTCTGAGATCCCCCTTTTTGAATAGATTTGTACTTTCAGAAATTCATTATGCTACTTTTGATATTAAAGGGTTGATTTTATTTCCTTGCACTGGGTTGATACTGCTGCTGGTAGACTGCAATTCCCTCTGTGGTATCATCAGCTCAGTAGTTAGTGTTTCAGTACAGTCATGATTTATAACACCAAAAGTCTATATTTACCTGACATTATAGGGAACACCACAAAAAGTCTGAATTTATCTGACATTATAGGAAAACCACCAAATGTCTATATTTACCTGACATTATAGGGAACACCACCAAAAGTCTAAATTTACCTGACATTATAGGCCTAGGGAACACCACCAAAAATATAAATTTACCTGACATTATAGGGAACACCACCAAAAGTATATATTTACCTGATATTATAGGGAACACCACCAAAAGTCTAAATTTACCTGACATTATAGGGAACACCACCAAAAGTCTAAATTTACCTGACATTATAGGGAACACCACCAAAAGTCCAAAGAGATTCAACATTTGCTGGTAAACATACACTCTGTAATTTTTGTTGTTTTTCTGAAAGTATAACACAGACACTTAATCTAATTCTTAACAAATATCAGATGGAAGATAATGTGGTTAATCTGGCTTCTCAATGGATGTCGAAACAGTTTGATAGTTGAACTTTAAAATTTAAACTTTTGAGAGTGGATATATATCATAGTCTACATGTAGAATCTATTTCTCTAATGATTTAACAGTGAGTCCAATGTTCTTAATGGATATGGGGGGAAATTACATAAGACAAATTTATTTAATCCTGAACCTGGCATTAAAAATTAATCAATTCTATTCTCATAACACGAAAATCTTTGTAAAATGATGGTAGTTAAAAAAAGGTTGAAAACACACTGTACCTTTTTTATTTCCTCCTAACAATTTAAATCTTGTTGACATCAAACCATATCCTAGGTAACTGTAATAAACAAACATAAAATAAAGTCTTACGTTCTACACCAATGCTACACAAAGTCATTTTAAATTCTATAAATTCCATGTTCAAATGTTTTTAATCTTTAAAAGAGTATTTCTCATTGACAACTAAACAAAATAATAACAAGACTGACCCATTGGAAGTTTAAGACAACAAATATCTCTGCTGAAACTAATCAAACTACACTTACATTTTGCATGTTATAGAAAATGAATAAATTGATTGCTTATTGTATGCTCTCTCTGCATTAATTCCAGGAGCAAATATTATTTATCTTTCATGTTGTGTGAAGGATTTCAGAAAATGATGTCAAACTGCATTTTCTGATGTCAGGTCTGTTATTATAATGTATACCAATATTCTTTTGAATACAAAGAATTATAAATAAATGGAGAATGTGTCTCCACTGACACAGATGATACCCCGGCTTGTATACAACATTATAAAGGGACATAACTCAAGACGCTACCCAAATTTGTACTTGATCTGGGTTAAGGTAATAAGCATTGTGTATAGGTTTCATGTTTGGTTGGGGCAAACTTAAGTTACAGAACGGAAACTAAAAATTTTGCAATTATTCCATTTATAAAGGGGCAAAACTCAAGAACAGTTAGAGTGACGCTACCAAAATTCAACTTGATCTGTGTTTTGTGGTAAAAAGCATTGTGTATAAGTTTCATAACATTTGGTTGAGGCAACTTAAGTTAGAGAACGTAAACTAAAAATTTTGCATTTTTTTCCATTTATAAAGGGGCATAACTCGAGAATGGTTGAAGTGACCCCATCAAAATTCAAACTTGATCTTTAATTTGTGGTAATAAGCATTGTGTATAAGTTTCATAACATTTGGTTGAGGCAAACTTAAGTTAGAGAACAGAAACTAAAAATTTTGTAATTTTTCCATTTATAAAAGGCATAACTCTAGAACGGTTAGAGTGATGCTACCAAAATTCAAACTTGATCTGTATTTGGTGGTAATAAGCATTGTGTATAAGTTTCATAGCATTTGGTTGAAGCAAACTTAAGTTAGAGAACAGAAACTAAAAATTTTGCAATTTTTCCATTTATAAAGGGGCATAATTCAAGAACAGTTAGAGTGCTGCTACCAAAATTCAATCTTGATCTGTGTTTTGTGGTAATGAGCATTGTGTATAAGTTTCATAACATTTGGTTGAGGTAAACTCAAGTTAGAGAATGGAAACCAATTTTTGTACGTACAGACAGACAAGGGTAAAACTGAATGCCCCTTAAAAATATGTTTCAATTAACATTCAAGAAATTGAAGTTTGTAAATAGTCTTCAGTTTGTTTGGAAATATTTGTTTGACATTATCTCAAGAGAGACACATGCAAATTTATGTCCTTAACGCTGTCTGCATATATGTCCCTACCAAGGTCAGAGACTGTAATAGCTAAATACACAAACTAAGATAGATTTCAAATATGATAGCTCTCATTGTAACAGTCCAAAGGTAGTAATGTCACCTTACCTGACACATTAATCTGTCTTTGAGCTAACCAGTAGTTGCTCTTACTCCTAACTGATCTGATGCATGGTTAGCAGTAAAGCAGAAATTATCAATTTCAATATATTAGGATTAACCAACCAGGGATTTAAGAAGTAATTATTCATGAGCATTATATGAATTACCTGTGAGTGTACAAATTTAATTTCTTCTTAAACAATTCCATTGATTTTATGAAGTCTTTTGGCACTGTGTCCAATGTTTCCTGAAAGAAAAATACAGATTGATACTCATAATAGAATGAGTTTCATAACAGCGTAGACATGGACACATGGTAATTAAATGTTATCGTGTGTATCACTGGCTGCTGACAACAAAGACTTCACGCAATTACAGTATGTCAGGGGCATCTCAATGGGGATATACATAATTACTATCTTTACACATGTCCATTCATAAAATAAAAGTTTTTGCATGAAAGTTTATAGGAATTTGTTTTGAATACATTTATATATTCACAACAAAAAGTTTCTTTTGACAGAATAAGTATATTAATAGGTGATATCACCAAGTAATCGAGAAAAAAAATGTTATGTTTTTTATTGCACAAACGTTCTGTGGCTCCTTAAAAAAATAAGAAAACATTTATTTGTACGAGTTGATGTAGCGTAAACTACGATCAAATTTCATACTAAGATTATCTTTTTTTAGTAATAAGAACCCCGGACCTTCATAAAAAATCATTTTAGTCCTGTGGGCTGCATAATTTTTTGCACTGAACAAATTTGAATTCCCATCGAAGACTCCAACGATTAGATTTTCATGAACATTTTAATATCGTTCTAACAAAAAAATAACTTGTGAAAGTATCAAGAAGTACATGAATCCAGTCATAAAATGCTCCGCTGGGGTGCAGCTTGATACGACCGCAGAGGTCGAACCCTGAACAGTTGGGGCAAGTATGGACACAACATTTAAGCTTGATACAGCACTGAATTTGGATTGTAATTAAATATTTGACACAGCATAGGTTTTTGACACAGAATGAAAGTGGTCTAAGAACTTAAAATTTTTTTTTAAATTTTAAAGAAAAAAAAGGAAAAAAAAATCCCCCCCCCCAAAAAAAATGCTTGTTTTTTTGCCCTTTTATGGCCCCTAATTACTAAAATTTTGAGGAAATTACCCCCAAAATCAATCCTAGCCTTCCCTTTGAGGTATGGTACCTTGTAGTACAATTTCAGAGAGATCCATACACTTGAACACAAGTTATTGTCTGGAAACTAGAAAAATGCTTGTTTTTTGGCCCCTTTTTGGCCCCTTATTCCTAAACTTTTTGGGCAATTACCCCCAAACTCAATTTCAGCTTTCCCTTTGTGATATGGAACCTTGTAGTACAATTTCATAAAGATCCATACACTTACACACAAGTTATTGTCATGAAACAAGAAAAATGCTTGTTTTTTGCCCCTTTTTTGCCCCTAATTCCTAAAATTTGGAGGCAATTACCCCCAAAATCAATCCCAGCATTCCCTTTGTGATATGGAACCTTGTGGTACAATGTCAGAGAGATCCATAGACTTACACACAAGTTATTGTCATGAAACTAGAAAAATGCTTGTTTTTTGCCCCTTTTTGGCCCCTAATTCCTAAAATTTGGAGACAATTACCCCCAAAATCAATCCCAGCATTCCCTTTGAGATATGGAACCTTGTGGTACAATGTCAAAGAGATCCATACACTTACACACAAGTTATGTCTGGAAGTTACAAAAATGCTTATTTTTGGCCCCTTTTTGGCCCCTAATTCCTTAACTGTTGGTACCATAACCCCCAAAAATCAATCCCCACCTTCCTTTTGTGGTATTGAACCCTATGGTAAAATTTCATTGAGATCCATTCACTTAAACTAAAGTTAGAGTGCGAAAACTAATGTGTCTTCGGACGACGACGACGCCAACGTCATACCAATATACGACCACAAAAATTTTTTGCGGTCGTATAAAAAGTGTGGAAAACTGATTATTTGAGTGAAAAAGTCCACAAACCATCAAAAAAAAATCTTCCGAGCCAAACTAAATTTGAACTTGATCTGTAACCAGTCAAGGGTGTAACTTGAATAAGTTATTAGAGAAAAATAACATACATGTGTTATTACGGATACTTTCTCTTAATCTGTAGTAACATATGTTTGTTATCAGTTAAATGTACCATAAAATTTTTATTTTCAGTGAGCACTTGGGAGTTCTTGAAACTTGCGCAGTAACTTAATACATAACCTTGAAAACTAATTTTCCAATTCAATTAATACATTTTTGATCCACCATGGTAAATCAATGAGACAAGGCTTTTAAGTGATAACTTAGCTGTAATAACAAGGCTTAGTTATTACATGCATTTAACTTATTACATGAGACACTTGGGAATGAGTAGGAAGCTTGCGCAGAACCTCATTACATGCTCTAATCATTATTTATTACAATAAATTAAAATACATTGTGATATATGTAGGAGAAAAGGCTTTGAAGAGATGTAGAGAAGCTGTAATAACACCCTTTAGTTATTACAGGCATATTTTTTCTGTAATAACATGGTTGTGTTATGCATGATTGGCAAACTATGGGCTGTTATATCTTTCTAAAGTTTAATATACATAAAGACAATTATAATATCAATAGAACTAATACACAATTTAAAAAAAAAAGGATGTATAATGCCCCTTTGAAACATGTAACATACATATGTTATCACAGATTTTTTATCTTTTAGCCCTCAATAACAAATGTATGTTATTTTTCTCTAATAACTTATTTAAGTTAGACCCTTGACTGGTAACTTGTCATGGTAAAACTATATACCAAATATCAAATCAATATCTTTAAGCATGACAAAAAAAAGTGCGGAAAACTAATTTCTTGCATTAATTTTCTAAGTCCAAGGACCATAACTCCGCACAAAATCATCAGACCGGTACAAAATTCGATCTTGATCTATAACTAGTCATGATAAAACTATATTCCAAATATCAAATCAATATCTTCAAGCACGAAGAAAAAAAGTGTGGAAAACTGATTTGCCAGATTGCCGGATGGACAGACAGACAGACAGACGGACAGAGTGCTAACCTAAAGTCCCTTTCGACTTCGTCGGTAGGGGACTAATAACCTTTAAATTGGGTGAACTCATTTAATTATTCTAGTATAAAATGTATTGTGAACATATTTAATTCAAGGATAGATACTGAAACACATGCAAACTAAAAAAAAATAAGTACAATTCTAAATTCGCTGTGATCCGTCCATTTTATTTTTAAATCAACAGAACAGCTGCATTTAACAGGTCAAGCACATTTCCTTATACAGACATGTATTATTTAGCATACTTATACCCCCGTCAATGCATGTATTAGTGTTTGTTTACAAATAAAGCATTTTTTTTTTGGTGATTGACCAATCCACTGAATAATTTGCAATGCATTATAGAATACTTAATTTTTCACTTATTGCCAGAAAAGAATATTTCTTACTTTTTTTCTTTCGATTACTTGGTGTTATCACCTCTGAATATACTCATTCTTTCAAAAGAAACTTTTTGCTGTGAGTATATAAATACATTCAAAACAAATTCCTATAAACTTTAATGCAAAAAAAAAAAAAAAAATTATGAATGAACATGTGTAAAATAGTAATTATGTATATCCCCATTGAGAGGACTCTGACATACTGCAATTGCGTGAAGTCTTTGTTGTTGACAGTCAGTGACCGACATGATATCATTCAAATATCAGGTGTCCATGTCCACACTGTTATGAAATTCATCATATATTAATGTTAATATTTATTAGTTTTTTCAGCAAAACAATTTAAAATCATGGTCTTTAAAAGAAGTTACTATCCAAAATTTTCAGGTAAATAACCCTTCAGTGTTGATAACTTTGAATAATCACTGCTTCTAAGGGCAAAAATTGTTTTTATTATACCAAGCAAACAGTAGAAGGGTCTTTTGAACCATTTAAGTAAATATGCTGTTTTAATAGAGAAACACATGCCTTAATTGATTATAAAGCCTCAATATGAAAATAAAGAGATGTGGTATAATTGCAAATGAGACAACTATAGGCAACCGTACGACCTTAATCAATGAGAAAAACCCATACCGTATAGTCGGCTATAAAAGGCCCCGACATGAAAAATATGAAACAATTTAATTAACAGCCTGATTAATAATTAAACAATTTACAAATAACAAATACGACAGACAGGAACCAAGGACAACCACTGAACTGGAGGCTCCTGACAGGCAGACTTCTTGTCAATGTATTATGTACTGACAGCTATTATAAAAATAAGGAGATGTGGTATGATTGCCAATGAGATAACTATCCACCAAAGTTCAAATGAAGTGGCTGTAAGCAATTATAGGCAACCTTACAGCAGTGATTTTGCTAGCGCTTGTCATTTTCGTCATTAACGAAAAGGTTTTCAAAATGACAAAGCTTTCCAAATCAATTTTGTCACTTAAATATGAAAAGTGTAAAAATATTTTTGCATGAAAATACTATATTTCTGCCCTGTCTTCATGTTTTTGACAAGTTTATGACCCTCATCTAATTAACGTTTACAACAGGTGTTATAAGTTGTGATTACAGGTAATCAACTTATCGCCATCAGATGGGTCACTAATTAATAAACCTCATAAATTATTAACCATAATAATGATTTTTCCCAGTAAATTCGGTCAGTCAGCATTTCAATTTCAATATTTCTCAAATGACCACAATTTGCAGTTCGTTTATCATATTTTCGTCATTTGAACAAAATGTTTTCCCCTGCGGACAGTTCATATTTTAATTTCAATATTTCTCAAATGATCACTATTTGTAGTTCGTTTGTCGTAGTTTCGTCATATTTTATATAACACTTCATCAATAAACTGCTTCGCTGAGCACAGCTGGATATGCCTGCAGAGGTCCAACCCTGAACAGTTGGGGCAAAAATGGACACAATATTCAAGCTTGATACAGGTCTGAATTTGGATTGTAATTAAATATTTGACATATTATAGGTTTCTGAATAAATGTAGTCAAAGAACTTGAAATTGGTTATATGAATTGAATTTATATTCAATTAACGATTTCTTTCTGTTGTGCAATACACTGTGCTGTTGCGCAATACTAGTAAATCTGTTGTCAGACTATAAACAAATAAAGTTCAATAACTTCTCAATGTTATATTAGAAATTTATAAAAAAAACTAAAGGGAGGTTATCTTAATAGATATAAATCAGTCATCAAAGTTTAATGAAAACTGCTCTAAGCACTTTAAGGATATTGTCCAAAAACTTGAAAATCACCCCTTTTTTTATGAATAAAATCTTGTAACTCGGAAACATAAAATCTAAAATTTATAAAAATCAAAAGGGAGCTTACAACAATAGATATAAACAATTTACCAAAGTTTCCTAAAATATGCTGAAAGCATTTTTGAGTTATTGTCCGAAAACTGGAATATCCCCCCTTTTGTAACGAATAAAACCCCATAAATCAGAAACGTACAGTCTAAAATTTATAAAAATCAAAAGGGAGCTCATGTCGATAGCATTAAACAATTCACCAAATTATCTTGCAAATTGGTGAAATTGTTTTTGAGCTATTGTCCAAAAACTGGAAAATCCCCCCTTTTTTAATGAATAAAACTCCAAAATTCGGAAACAGTAAATCCGAAATTTATAAAAAACAAAAGGGAGCTCACTTCAATAGATATAAACAATTCACCAAAGTTTCATGCATATTGGTAAAAGTGTTTTTGAGTTAATGTCCGACATGTTGACGGAAGGACAGATGGACGGACAGACGGACAGACGGACGGTCAACAGTATACCATAATACGTCTCGTAACCGGACGAATTCAATTAAAAGAGAAAGAACTTTATTCAAAACCTTCAGAAATATTTCCACGAGTCAAGCTTCTCTTATTATGTACTGCGCATGCGTGAAATTATTCTTATTACTTAGACTTTAAAACGTAAAATACGTAATCATTTAGTATCAAAATAAACGAAGGACAAATATATTTCTTACTAAGCAACTTGATTTAGAAATATGATCATTTCTGCCTTTTGCTAAAAACGAACCAATTCGTAGATGAATCCGGATTCATTCTGAATTTATTATCCTCCTGTCACTTCCCATTTTCATTCCGTTTAAAAATCGGAAGTAAACGTGATCTATTCTTGATTAATTTACAATATACAGTCATTAGAATCGTTCCAACAAGGATGTGTACAAATCCTTGGTTCCAAGTTTATAGAAATGAATTCCAAATATCGATTTAACCGTTTTTACAAGGATAATGATTATGCAGTGAAATAGTCGTTGTATACAGGTTCATTTATGCTGTGATTCCTGGTTTAAAAAAAAATGAACCCAATCAGGAATGTCCCCTGCAAATAACTGAATTGAAATTGTAAACTAGAAATACGGATCCTTATTAGATCTTTTGTTTTTATAATCTTCATATTTAAGCACCACATCTGTCAAATTATGCAATAACTGCCTGAGCAGGCCTAAGTTCTTCAAAGATGTATAGCTAGTAATACATATCTTTGGTCCACTGCTTTTACCCCAAAAAAGGTTGACTTTCATCTCACGCAAAAGTGACTAAAGCCCTCAAAATCCTAGCTGAAACCCTGCTTACAGCCTTCAACAATGAGAAAAACCCATACCGTACAGTTGGCTATAAAAGGCTATATACACATCTTTCAGCCTTCCGTTATTCTAGGATTGTCCTGCTGACTTTTCATTGGTGTTTGTTAATCAAAAGAATTGTTTCTTTTCTCACTTGAGCTGTTAGATGTACAACAAATGGAAACTCTTTTTGAAAAATGTTGATGGCACTTGATGATTTTCTAAACCTGACTGTTGAAACTTATTTTCAAATGTAAAAATATTAACAAACAAATCTTATGTCTTTTTCCTAAAATATATCTTTTTGTCTTGATAGGTTGTAGTCTCATTCATGTATACCTCATCTTCCCTATCTTTATCATCTTCCAAGAATTGTTACGAGAATATCTTTAAAAAAAATGACTCTGCAACTCTTTAGAGAAGTACTACCTGCTGATTAGGTATAAATGTTATCTGTGAAGATCCACCTCCCAAGTCTAAAGCTGCCACATTATTCCTCCCTGATAGAAAATCTCCTTAAAAAAGAATTAGGTATACATGTATTAATGGCACATTCAGGAAAAATCCTAGAAAGGAACGAAAAAACTGAAAAGGGTTTTATCGACCTCTATGTTGTTGAAGGTCTTATAAAAATAAGGAGATGCGGTATGATTGCCAATGTGACAACTATCCTACAAAGTTCAAATGAAGTGGATGTAAGCAATTAAAGGCAACCTTACGGACTTCAACAATGAGAAAAACCCATACCGTATGGTCGGCTATAAAAGGCCCCGACATGAAAAATATGAAAAAATTCAATTGAGAAAACTAATGGCCTAATTTATAACAAAACAATTTACAAAAAACAAATAGACTAAATTAGTGGTATAACCAAAATTTACCCTTATACCAGTTATGCCACCTTCGGAAGCATATTATTTGATGAGTTTTTTTGATAATTCATAGTGTTAAATTATGCCAATAATAAATATTAAGGAAAAAAGCGTGTTTTAATGCTGATATTTGTGGTTTTCCTGAGGTATACAGTCTGTCAATCTTGATGATGTTCTGTAGTTTTTGCTTGTAGTTGTGATAATTCTAGTCTTTTGGGTTATATATTTTTTTAATACTTAGACCTTAAGGCACCTGTTTGGATAAAGAACAGCAATAAAAGCACGGTTCTTTCTGATATATTGTATATTTTCTTGTATTTCATGAGATTTTTTTCCCATATTTATCCATTTTATTTCCCTATGTAAGACCTAGATCACAATTTACATTCTTGGAATACCTATCTTACCTGTCATAAAACTAATTGTCAACCAGCTAAACATTCCTGCAACAAAACAAAACAAATTCATTACTTTCTTTTAAAATCTAAAAATTATTATACCATCATGACCATTACTTCTAATGAGTGTGGTTGGGTTACATATAGTCATCAATATTTCTTGTTATAAAGGTAACTGCAACTTAATTACTGCCACTGGGTGGATACCTCTGCTAGTGGATTGTTAGTTCTAAAGGGTATCATCAACCCAGTAGCCAGTACTTCGATACTGGCATGAAAATATGGATATTGTATTATTATAATATGCTGTTGCAAAATTTTGGAAATTATTTTAAATTAAGGAATATATCTCCTTCATGCCTACATGTAGCTCTGATTCCTTGCCCAGCTATGACTATACTTTTGGTCCTTTTTTGGTTTATAAGCTCTTCATTTTTAAAATAAGTTAGAGATTTTCAAATATTTTGGCCTCCAGCATCACTGAAGAGACATTTATTGTCAAATGTGCATCTGGTGCAGAAAAATTGGTACCGTTAATGTTATTACAATGAAATAGGTTCCTACTTCCAACTTTAAGTCATAAACAAAAATGCTTATTTTCATTGTGTATTAATTGATACCTTCTCATTCCTTTATATTTCTGTGTACAATCCAACAAACCTGTATTTGGTATGTAATACTTTAATTTTTGAGACAATAATGTTAAATTTGTTTTGCTAATGATGCTAAATAAGTTGTGTCTATGATGCTTAATTTGTTGGCAGTGATCCTAAATTTTGTGGTGTCAATAATGCTAAATTTGGTGCATAAAATATGCTAAAATATGCTGTGATGATTATGAAGATGAATAGCTGTTCGATGTCCAGTGGCAAATTAAATGCATATTCAGGATGAGAACATGTTAATGAAATGTAAATATTAACTCAGCTTTGTATGAGACCACTGAGGTGTTTAAAAATTTGCCGTGTCAAAAACTGTTATATTAAATTTGTTGTGTAAGTGTGCAAAAATGTGTTGTGTTGTTGATGCTGAAATAACATATTATTAATATAGGTGTATCATTACCTTCATCTGCCCCTTCCATTATATCAACATCTTCTTCTTCATCCAATAAGAAAGGGTATTCTTTTATCAAATTTCGTACCTACAAGTATATATTTCATTAATATTATCATATATAATAGAGAGGTTGGGTTATCTATTGTTTAACAGACATGTCATGATAGATTTTTTTTTGAAATACCAGTCAAGAAAAGTTGAATTTTTGCAAAAGGTCATCTTCGCTAGCCTAGGGTTACGATCCAGTCCTCTCCTCTCAACCCTTGGCAGATTAAGATAGAATTTCAGATCCACGAAGTAATGAATTCTATTGGTCGCAGTTGTAACTGGCTGCATCCAATCAAAACACACCTTTAAAATTATCATGTGTAAATGAAGAAAATGAAAATAAACAATTACCACGTGCTGATTATGCAACAAGTCTTTACCCCAAAAAACATAGGACGATATTAGTGACAATTTTAAAGTTACAAGAAGGTAAAAATGGCTGTGTCAAGTGTTTACAAATTTCGTGAAGAAGGACCGAAAATATACGTTGATATTCCAACATTTGCGCGCGAAGCATACCCAGGATCAACTAATTGAAGTTCCTGGGTATGCTTCTCGCGCAAATGTTGGAATGTCAACGTATATTTTCGGTCCTTCTACACGAAATTTGTACACACTTGACACAGCCATTTTTACATCTCCACACTTGATCAACTAATTGAAGTTCCTGGGTATGCTTCTCGCGCAAATGTTGGAATGTCAACGTATATTTTCGGTCCTTCTTCACGAAATTTGTAAACACTTGACACAGCCATTTTTACATCTCCACACTGAAGAGAGTTCAAGGGCTGCCATTGGTCAAGAATGATGTAGTCGGAATGGGTGTGACTTTTATCTACTGTTAGATGGTGCAGCATTGTAATCACAAGTGTCAACTGGCTTAATCTGCCAAGGGTGGAGAGGAGAGGACTGGATCATAACCCTTGACTAGCCAAGATGGAAAAATGCCTGTCCTGAGCATTATATATTTGTAAATTACTACTTTCAATATATCAATAGAGATGGTTAAGATTAACATTCATTTCATTATTCTTTCACTATCAAGACAATAGGAAAACAGCTGCATTTAATAAAGTAATATTTCCTCTAGTAATAACTTCAAAATTTGCTGGCTTACCTCATTCAGTTATGTATCTACTATGCCCTTAAGTAATAACCTCAAAGTTTGTTGGGTTACTGGTACCTCTTTCAGTAAATAACCTGCTTTACCTTCTTGTAATAATCTACTAAGTTTGCTAGCTTACCTCTTTTGGTAAAGTATATGCTATACCCTCTCATAATAACCTCAATGTTTGCTGGCTTACCTCTTACACCCTCGTAATAACCTCAAATATTGTTGGCTAACCTCATTCATTAAAGTATCCTATGCCCTCACATAATAACCTCAAATATTGTTGGCTTACCTCATTCAGTAAATTAAATGCTATGACCTCTTGCAATAACCTCAAAGTTTGCTGGCTTACCTCATTCAGTAAATTATAAACTATGCCCTCTCCTAAAACATTCAAAGTTTGATGACTTACCTCTTCCAGCTGTAAACTATATGAAATGCCCTTTTGTTATAACCTCAAAGTTTGCTGGCTTACCTCTTTCAGTGAAGTATCTGCTATTCCCTCTCATAATAACCTCAAAGTTTGCTGGCTTACCTCTTTCAGTAAAGTATCTGCTACTCCCTCTCGTAATAACCTCAGACCAGCTGTGGCTAACAATGATACCGGTGTCCTGGGCTGTAATTCACTTGGTACTTCCGCTAAAGCTATATTCAGTAATTGTCGTATACTTTCTGCACCCTACAGAACATTAATACAACAATTTGGCATAAATCTTTAAAAGTTCACATCATACGTAACATGTGTACTAACTTTCAAGCTGATGTGATCACAACTTCAAGATAAATTACTTTAACCAGACACTTTAAATCCTGATACAGGATGACTACAAACAGACAAGAGAATATAGATGTAAATACCAGAAAACACTTCAACACTATTGTGCTATTTCGCACTCAACAACAGATATTATATTTTTTACTTAAAATCAAAGCAAATGAGAAATTCATGATATTAAATACATGTAATAAAATAAATTAATCTGTATAATTGTAGTGTGCATCCGTTTTACTACTTATTAAATACATTTCAGGTGTCTTAAACTGATTAATGAGGTTACTAAATTAAGCAGTTTAAGCCATCGTATAATAAATCCATAATTTCATTATTTTACATTATATCGTATATAACTATGATTTTCTTTATGGAAGAGATAAGTGCTGCATTACATTGCTCTAATCCACTTAAAACCAAATTTTTACAAATGAAGCAATAAATCAATAGATAATTTGTACTTGTAAATAGTTTCATATTACCAAATAAAAGATTATTTTATATTAATAGATTTTTTTCTTTATGAAACAGATGAAAATATGTGACATGTGTTTTTTCACCATTGTCAGCAATCTGTCAAATTACTTTGTTAGGTTTGAAAAGTACAAATGTATTATGATATATAACTAACCTACTAAATTCAACAGTTTGTTTCAAAGATGGTTTAAGAAAAAAAAACTTGGATGTTTGTCAAATTTGTTTTTAGTAAATTGTTTTTGTTTAAAAATATACGGCAGTTAGTTTTCTCAATTGAATTGTGCCACATATTTTATGTGCACAAGGGCAATAACTAACAAAATTTTGTTTTGGTTCTTTAAATCTGTTCCATAAATATTCTATAAGAAATATATTCATGAGATCACTTAAAATGTAAGTTTCCATATAATTTCTATTTTCAACAGTCACAACTCTGGTGAAAATAGTCGATTGTGCTGATTCACTAACTCTTCCAAGTGTTGTACGGGGAACAATTACTTTCAAAACTCAAATAATTTTTTATATCAAGCTGTTTCTAGACAAAATCTTTTAAACTGTATTCAAGACATATAATGATAATTTCAGCTAAACATATATACCTTCTTAGGATCATCAGCATAGCTTGATAAACCGGGTTTAACTTGCTCAAATACTTCTCTCACTAGTTTTAATGGACCTGTAAAATAGAGACCATTGGAAACACATCTCAACTTTAGGAACAGATAACTTAATCATGTCAATAACTCTTAATATGTTGCATTTTATCAAGGTTCTAACTAAGGGTTTCTTTTTATTCCAGGGAGTCAATATGTTTCACTATCATGACTATGGCAGGTCTATAGTTTTGAGAGAAAAAAATCTCACCAGAAATTTTCATTGTTCCAACTAATGAAATGATCCATGATACCTGAACAAATGATGAGTCAAGGATTCCATTCCTCAACTTAATGAAAACCATTTTTTGTATCAAATTGAGGGTTTGCAGACTTTTACAATATATGTCAAATTTTGGTCAAGCTTGTTATCATGGTTAAATTCTTTGACTTTTACTACATTTCGACAGCAATCTATAAAGTAAAGAAATCTGATTCATTGAAATAAGAATTTGCATAAAATCTTGTTGAATAGATAGTAAAATAACTTCATATAGGCTATTCTATACTTGTCACAAAACAATTATGGTACAATCTGAGACAAATATAACCATTCCATACACTTAAAGGAAAATATATTTGTGGAAGAGGGCCAAAGTATACCAAAGGGACATTCAAACTCATAGGTCAAAAATAAACTGACAACCAAGGCTTCCAAAACGGTCATATATTCCGGACATTTGTATAATGTCCGGTAAAAGTCCGGCTGGGCAAAGCATGAAACGGTCATCTACTTTTTAGTTTTCAAGGCTTTCTTAAGAGACGATCATTTTAACATAATTCGCGATCTTTTTGACCAAACCTTTTGCCTTTAACAGCCACACATTTCCGGTCATAAAAGTGACATGATCATTAAGTACTATCAAAATAACCCCTACTTTAATACCTTCTCATTTTAATCAAGGCTAATTAGTTGTCGGACAGCTGAAATTTACCTGTTCAGGTGACAGGAAAACTATTTTGAACCGGACATTGATCGGTCTATTCAAAGTTATTTTCTTACATTTCACCGGTTTGCATCTAATTAATTTAGTCAAAAAGATTTAAATTATCAGAAATACATTTACAAATATGATTTGATGAAAAAATTAAAAGGTGAAAATGAAAAATCGTCATAACCACGTTGTTTGAACCAGAGACATGTCTCTGTTTGAACTAGTACACGTGTGCGCATGCGCACACAGGTGTGAAATTTAATTATGCATCCTAATTTCGTCAAAAAATGCTTAAATTGCCATTGATACCTTTATCTCACGTTTATTCCGAATATATTTTTGAAGAAATAACGTAGAAAGAGCTACTTTCATTCATGCTTTGCAAACGTACGCGGAATTTAAGTATCCGTCTCTGGTCCATGTTTTACCATTGTCAAGATAACATCCGGTATAATATTAGAAGTAAAGTTTTTACAACGTTATTTTGCACAAATAAAGAGTCTAAGGCAGATATAAGTACGCTGATGTTGCTCACTTTGAATGATGCACTGCCAATTTAACCGTATACGTCTGAACTTCGAATTTGAATCAAAGAAAGTTTAATATCGTTTTTTTTTTAATGTCAATCATTGGGATGGCCAACTCGGCAACTGATTACCATAATTGCCTTTTGTTTATTTAGTCTTAAGGGATTAAAATCAGGATAATATATAAAATGTCCGGCTGGCTAAAAATAATTTTGGAAGCCCTGCTGACAACACCATGGCTAAAAAAGAAAAAGACCAACAGACAAACAATAGTACACAAAACACAACATAGAAAACTAAAGACTGATCAACATGAACCCTGCCAAAAACTGGGGGGTGATCTCAGGTGCTCGGGAAGGGTAAGCAGATCCTCCTCCACATTTGGCACCCGTCGTGTTGCTCATGTTGCTCAAGTTATAGAAGGATTATGAAGATTTCCAGATAATTCCCCTAATTGTTTTATTTATCACTGGGAGACTTGTACAGAATATTTTCTTCTCAAGAAGAAAGATTGTGGTTGCAATAACATATACATTGTGGTTAGCAACAATGAACCTTTATATATATATATATAAATACAGAGTAGATCCCTGACAACACTCTTTACTTACCATTGGTACGCTTAAAGTGGAACACATGAACTCTTGACCCTGTACTACCAGCATCTAACACAACAGCATAAATTTCTGAGCTTGTTCCCATTACATGCTTGTTATCAATATCCTGTGAAGGTTGTTTCGGCATCCTCACAGGTCGTCTTGCTACAAATTCTACAGTTTCTACATCTGAATAGCCGTTAGCTGATGGTACAATGTACACAACTAACAGAATCAAACAAACTATAGCTACAGCTGCGACCATTCTCCCTCGTACCTCGTACATGCTCCATGATTTTGTCCGATTTAAGAATGATGATGTAGATTGGGAATGGCTAAGTAGTGTCATTGATGCTGATTTTTTCATGTTGTCTGCGTTTTCTTTGTCCATTTATGTCTTTAAATATTTGTACAACTAAAAATCCTCACAAGTACCAACTGTTCAATGATTTGATCTCTGTAAAACATACATGTCCATTGAAAATTGAGTTTTCTCTATCACATTATTTATTTATTTAGTAAGAGTTATCTTAATTATGTTTGACAATTATTCACTTCCATCTTTTTATATTTATGCTAACTTTTACAATGTTTAAACCCTTATATACTGCATTTAAGAGGGTAAGACCTTGGTGAAGTGCTGTACATCGTTATATCAGTAACATGTTTGTAATAAGAATATTCATGTGATACAGAAGTTAAATAATTTGTGCTACTTCCAAACTAAGATTACGTTTACGATAATGTACAAGGACCCAAGTGTCATGAATGTTGGTGGTTGGTCTGTTGTACAATGCTTAGGATTTCTGATATGCCTTTTGTGTTTGATGAATGTGGATATTGATTTTTATGAATTATATCCATTACCTTAAATAAAATATCATGGAAAGTTAATTTTCTGATTACCATGATTACAGATCAGAGTATGTATATTGTAGTTGTTCTGTATATTGCAGTTGAACTGTATATTGTAGTTGTATTGTATATTGCAGTTGTATTGTATATTGTATATTGTAGTTGTATTGTATATTGCAGTTGTACTGCATATTGTAGTTGTATTGTATATTGCAGTTGAACTGTATATTGTAGTTGTATTGTATATTGCAGTTGTACTGTATATTGTATATTGTAGTTGTATTGTATATTGCAGTTGTACTGCATATTGTAGTTGTATTGTATATTGCAGTTGTACTGTATATTGTAGTTGTATTGTATATTGCAGTTGTACTGTATATTGTATATTGTAGTTGTATTGTATATTGCAGTTGTACTGCATATTGTAGTTGTATTGTATATTGCAGTTGTACTGCATATTGTAGTTGTACTGTATATTGTAGTTGTACTGTATATTACAGTTGTATATTGTTATTGTACTGTATATTTTAGTTTTACTGTACATTATAATTCTACTGTGTATTGAAGTTGTACTGTATATTGCAGTTGTTCTTATTGGACTGTACATTTTATTTCGACTGTGATTGATTGATTGATTGTTGGTTGCCTAACATCCAGTGGCAAATATTTCATGCATTTTCAGGACGAAATTTGACTGTGAATTGTAGTTGTACTGTATATTGTTATTGTACTGTATATTGTTATTGTACTGTATCTTATACATGTAGTTGCATATTGTAGTTGCACTGGATATTGCAATTGTTATTCTACTTAGACGACTATACGGTATGGATTTTTCTTATTGTTGAAGGCCGTACAGTGGCCTTTAATTGCTTACTACCACTCATTTTACCTCTGGCGGATAGTTGTCTAATTGGCAGTCATATCACATCTTCTCATTTTTTTATAGATTGACAAGCATCACAGGCTTTAGCAAAGAAATGTTTGGAAATAAGTGTGGCCTGAACCTGGGTCGCAATTTTAAATGCTTTAACGTAGGAGTAATCCATGGTGCCTAAGGTCCACAAATTAGTCAAAAAAATATCACAAGAACCATCAGAGCTACTGGTCCAGTACCAGTTACTGTCAGAAATTTGAAGCTTTTCTCATATATTTCTTTAAAGGAACTCCTGTTGAAAATGTTCTTTTACCATAAAAAGTGTTACCAAAAGTTAGGTTAAACACCACGCTCTCAATCTTAAAATCATCTTATAAACAACAAAATTGGTATACTAGTGTACCAATTTTACCGTGAAATTTTATGGTAATGAGAACGAGTTACAATCATCAGTTAAGAATCTACTCACTAAATGATAGATATTTCCACTTTTATAAGTATTAAAGTGATATAATAATTTTCTGTAGTAAGACAAGAAGGTTCCTTGCTAAAATAACCAAGTCCATGTGTAAATGGTCATTACGTCCGTATATTCTAAATCTTTTCTTCCTTTCACAAAGTCTGAACTGGTCATTAATTATGACACTTGAGATCAACAAAATATACTGCATTGAATGAGAGCAAAAAATATGATTTTCGAATTTATAAATCTGTCCTTATTCTTATGAAATGAAATTTGTATTCTTAAGCAAGCTTTGTTATATTTCCTATTTGAAACCAGTAAGTTTTCTAAAATTGGGGACACCATAAAGTAATGACGTCATGTTCCTGCACATCTATCTTCCCACATCTTGTTACAAGAAAGAAAACCACAGAATTTCTTTATCTTAATCAGATAAAACAAAACAAAGTTTTTAAATATGAAGCAAAAATATGTGTCTGCATATTATATGGGCACAAAATCCCCAATTACAGTAACAAAATCAATAAAATTAAAAAAAAACAATTTTAAAAATCAATAAACTATTGAAATCAATATAATTTAACTTTTTTTTATTTTTAACTTTCTTAGTTTCCCACATTTGCCATGTTTGCACAGAAATCTCTTTCTTCCGGTCTCATTTGTCCCAGAACTTTGAGTAAAATATAGGAAGGAGCATCATATTGGTTCCCACAAATTTGTTGTTTTTTATTACCAAAAGAATACTGCAAGTTAAACAATTCGAATAAAATCCTTACATTTTAAAATGAGTCTGGAGCTTATTCAAAATAGGATTTTATAGCAAACATAAATGGGGAATGTGTCCTTTGGACACAGATAATGCCCCCTCTTGCATATAACTTTATAAAGGGACATAACTCTAGAACTGTAAAAGTGACGCCACCAAAATTCAAACTTGATTTGTGTTTTGTGGTGATAAGCATTGTGTATAAGTTTCAAAACATTTGGTTGAGGCAAACTAAAGTTAGAGAACGGAAACGAAAAATTCAGCAATTTTTACATTTGTAAAGGGGCATAACTCTAGAACGGTTAAAGTGACGCCACCAAAATTCAAACTTGATCTGTGTTTTGTGGTAATAAGCAGTGTGTTTAAGTTTCATAACATTTGGTTGAGGTAAACTAAAGTTAGAGAACAGAAACGATAAATTCAGCAATTTTCCATTTGTAAAGGGGCATAACTCTAGAACGGTAAGAGTGACGCTACCAAAATTCAAACTTGATCTGTGTTTTGTGGTAATAAGCATTGTGTTTAAGTTTCATAACATTTGGTTGAGGCAAACTAAAGTAAGAGAACGGAAACCAATTTTTGGACGTACGTACGTACGTACAGATGGACAAGGGAAAAACTTAATGCCCCCTCCGCTTTGGCGGGGGCATAAAAATGTGATATGGGTTATTCAATTTTTTGCTGCAAAAAATTAATACAGCCTTTTTTAAAGACATCATAATTATTTGGACTACAGTATCCTCATCCATGTCATCGAATCCAGTCCGTTCGCCCAAAATCAAGTTAGCCCCCAATCATGTTCGCCCCCTACACGTTCCCACCCTTTTAATTAGTTTTGTGTTGAACAATTTTTAATCGTGTTTAAGTTAGTGTATTGCTTTAAAAATAAGTTTTGTTTTCTTGTTTCAAAAATAAAATTGACATTCTAAATACGTAAACAGGTTTCCTTTAGTGTTTTATCATAATTATTGAATACAAAATTGTCATGATGATCAAAGTTCATTCATTTAAGACTTGTGAAAGAAGGCAGAATATACCAAATGGCTATTAAATTCGTCACAATGACATTGCCATGACAACAACCAATAACACAAAACTTGGGGCACAAAGCACATTTTTAGCTGTGCATGGTATTGCATATCAGTTATCAGTACCTACAGAGAATTTATTTCCATGTTAATAGAATATATGCATATTGAACATTTGATAATTAAGCATCAAATCACAACAGCAAAAAAATATTTCATATAAATAATAAACATGATAAAAATTCCTGAAATTTTATTCCTGAAAACATAAATATTTTGATATATAAATCCTAAACAAATTTAACAATTCAACGGGTATTTCAATGAAAATAGGATGCGAACGGAACAGATGGGGCGAACGTGCATATTTGCGAACGTGTATTGGAGCGAACGGACCCGATACCCATGTCGTCGTCCAAGATTTACCATCACTTTTTAATTTGAACAGTTGAAAGGCGCTTCGATTCAATTAGATCAGAAATTGGAATTTGTTTTTAACAACCTACATCTTACCATAGAAAAATATCCCATTACCCAAATATTTATGAACTCGAGCTAGTTCTCATAAAAAAAGTACATATCCGTGTTGTTGACAAACACGTCGTCTTCTTGTCTGGTACCTAACTGAACTTATTAGCGCAAGTACCAGAAATCCCTTTTCTTTGAAATAATAAAAATATTTTTTTATAATAAAATATTTATTTCAATCAATATCTTATAGAAATTCTTACAAAACATTAGAGCATATTTGTTTTACGTATTTATTTATCTCGTTATACGAGATTACACTGTTACCATAACATTGTCAACAATATGGCGGCGATCATGTAGTCCATTTGGAAATTTGGGATTTAAGCAAAAACTGCATTCCTTTCAATAAGATACGGACTATACATCATCACAATGCCAAAGAAGGGAAAGAAAGGAAAGGGGAAGAAGGGCAAGGGGTATATAGCAACACACTTATTATTTTCTAAACAGGACTGAATGCATAAAAAAATGAAAGTAGGTCAGCTGTAATATCATACTGATCCGATTATTATGGCTTCCAAAATGTACTATACAGTCAAATCTAGTATTTTTTTTTAGGTCGGTTCATTTGGTTGACACACAAAACATAAAATGAATGGACAAATGGAACATATAAGCAAATAACTAGGCACATATCTTTGAAAATATTACCTATATTCTTTATTCTAATATGACATTCTTCAAATGCTTTGAGTACACACCCGTGGTAAAATATGAATATAATATTTGGGCTGTTCCGATCATACTCCAAAGTCATATGCTTTTTTGTATATGAGCTACCTGACGTCATTGAACGATGACGTAAGAATATAAGCATTTTACGGGAAAATGCACGATTGTGGAACCGAAAGTCATCAAAACAAGGAAACTTAAACAAACGATGATAAAATGTGTTATAAGCAATTTTTTTTTTGGAAAGGGTTCCATATGGCACCTCCACGGAATAAACTGTAATACATTAATATTGTGTTCTTTTAGTATGGTGGGGGTACCATATGGAACTCTTACCTTTTTTTTTAATATAAGTAAAATTATCATTTAAATTCAGCCAAACCTATCAAATACGTTATTGTAAATAGTTTAAGCATATCACTAGTTCAGTTTTCTCCGTTCTTTTGTGTCAATATAATAGTGTGTTTATTTACGGGAACCTCAAATATTTGCCTTGACATAGAGCGCTTCGATCCAAAAGAATTGCCATATTTGTCCTATTAGAATAGATATATAATAAAATATATAAATATAACACAGTGTTCTCCTCAGGCCCTTAAAGGACCGCTGGCCCGCGATGTATATTTTTTTTCCGTGGTGCTAAAAGTTTCAGTAAAATAATCGTAAATCGGTAAAGTTTTAAACAATTTGTTAAATCTTTTCCATGCGGTATAAAATTCCAGGTAAAATTTGACCAGTTCAAACCAGTTCAACATAGATTGTTTACACCACGTGATCGATTTTCCTTATGAGGTTAACCTTGTTGATTGGATTTAATTGATGTAATTAACATTTGTTACATGATTCTTTTGTGTTTTAATTAAGAGATCATAACTTTATGATCACAGATAACTATTTTATGGCTTCACTCACCACCCAAGTGCTGAGCAGTGACAAGTCGGCAAATACTTAGTACACAAACAGTGTGGACCGGTACATTTTTTGTACATAATAAAGTTGGATCTTTACGTATAATTGACAATTATACATTTCTCGATTCTTACATTATAGTATTATATGTCTATACAAACCATGGCCAAAACTTTCTTTAATTATGACATAGTTATTGCATGATAGTTTCAAACTATAGTATCTGTCAACAAGTAATTCAAAGGGAACGGACATAGATCTGTACATATCCCATGACCCAGTTAGTGCACGTAGAATATTCAAGTTTATTTACAATTAATTGCAATCTATTCTATTTTATAAATAAAATGCATGACTGTACCTTCAAACTAGATATCTATATCCACAATTAATGAATAACAGAAGTAATCTTGCAAATTCTATCCATAAGCACATGTTAAATCTATTTATATCTACTTCCTGTCATTTTTGGCGGGTAAATAGGGAGACTTTGTTGTTTACATTGAATATGGTTACTTAAAGATCTATAGACCTAAGATAAATTTATAGATTTATGAATTCTTTTTAAATGGATCATGACAAATAAAGATTTTAATTTCAGTGCAGTATTAAGTCTGTATCTACATGTGTATGTATGATTATCACCAAAGACAAGAAAGGTTAATATTTACATGAAATCTATGGCAAAATGTTTTAAAATTTATGAAAAATTTCTTTTTATTAAAATTTAAGATAGAAACTGGTTCAAATAATAAAACAATATTTGTTCTTGTTGATTTTATATATCTCCTTATGACAAGAATCTTTTAACATACTACAGCTTTCTTTCTAGAAACTAGACAGTGTTTTAAGTTGAACATTTTTGGTCTCCTTTGGATAATATTTTATTTTTATTGATCATGGATTTTATAAAAGATTTAATTACTTTAAATTTAGATGAATATATTGTAATGAATCATGTTTTATTTATTTTTAAAAAATATTAAAGTTTATTATATACTTAGTAGTAAATACAGATAAATTGTATGTGTAATACAGTCATTGGCAAGCGTGCTGTATCAGCCACCCGTGATGATATCGATATCAGCACGGTTGCAAAGGCTTTATCACACCTTTAATCTGCATGACTGTTTATTGATTTACTTCTTTTTTACCAATAATTTTCTACATAACACAGTACCATAGTATTATAACAAAACAAGAGACATAAAAACTGCAGTAACTAGAAATATAGCTAAGTGACGCGATGCGACACAACTGCTTGTATGAATCATTTCACCAAGCTGTCCACACGCGTTACCCTGGTGCTATCCAAAAATCCTGGGGATAACACTGTAACACAAAGTACCCAACTTGCTTTTTGTCGAGCCTTCGACTTTTGTCGAAAAAGCGAGACATAGCGATCCTACATTCCGTCGGCGGCGGCGTCCACAAATATTCACTCTGTGGTTAAAGTTTTTGAAATTTTAATAACTTTCTTAAACTATCCTGGATTTCTACCAACCTTGGACAGAAGCTTGTTTATGATCATAAGATAATATTCAAAAGTAAATTTTGTAAAAAAAAAATTAAATTTTTTCCGTATTTTACTTATAAATGGACTTAGTTTTTCTGCCAGGAAACATTACATTCACTCTGTGGTTAAAGTTTTTGAAATTTTAATAACTTTCTTAAACTATCCTGGATTTCTACCAAACTTGTAAAGAAGCTTGTTTATGATCATAAGATAGTATCCAGAAGTAAATTTAAAAAAAAAAAAATCCATTTTTTTCGTATTTTACTTATAAATGAACTTAGTTTTTCTGCCAGTTAACATTACATTCACTCTGTGGTTTAAGTTTTTAAAATTTTACTTTCTTAAACTATCTTGGATTTGTACCAGACTTGGACAGAAGCTTGTTTATGATTAAAAGCTAGTATCTAGAAGGAAATTTTGTTAAAATTGTGTTCCATTTTTTCCGTATTTATTTAATGGACTTTAAAAATTTGTTTTTCTTCCAGTTATATTTTAACATTACATACAGTCTGCAGTTTAAGTTTTAAAAACATTTATTAGATTCATAAACTATCCTGGATTTTTACCAAACTTGGACAGAAGCTACCAGTTTTCTCCAAATTGATATGAAGTAATTTTCCCAGAAAAAGTAAACTATAATGTTAAAAAATAAACATTAGGTAAAAAGCAGACACGTGATTCTTCTAGTGGGAGTCAAAATCTCCCGATTTTTAAGCCCTCTTCCGTCCCTCCTGTTGATTATTCATTCTTCCGTTTTTTCAAAATTTCAAACCCAAAAAATTTGTCAGTCTCTATTTTTTATTACCATCGATGTCAACATTAATTACATTTGTGTGTCACTGGTGGAGGATATATTTTTACCAGTAAATCAAAGAACTTGTGTAATTATATGGCTTCACTTGACAGCTTGGGTGTCAAACATACTATTAATCAACGATTTTTACCTCAGGCTAACTGCCTTTATGTAATAAATTTTTTAAGCTGTGTGTATTTGAAAACACTTAAAAGAAATTTCCGGTTACTTCCCTTGTTTTTTCATGTTTTAAGTTACCCTCCTTATAATAATGTTAATTGATAAAAGAATATGAATGAAATACAAATTGAACAAGGAATCATATAAGGATGGTAATTTAATGATTTTAAATGTCTTAGGACAAATAAGAAAATATTATTTTGAAAATTATCTGAGAGGAGATCTATATATACTTCTTTTCAATGCTGAAATGGAAATTTATAAGATATTGTATTGACCTCATGTAATGACTCGTTTGACAGTCCTGTGCAAGGGCTTAATAGCCAGTCAAGGTCGTTAAAAACCACCCAGTTAGTAATGATTCTGTGAATGTGTAGGCTAAATCTGGCTTAATCAGAATAAGCTAGAAAAATGGAATAACACTTAAAAACACTAAAACTAAAAGAAATATAGAGGAAAGGAAAAAATATCACATACAAATAGCATATATAGCTTAGTGTTGACAAATATTTCACATGGTAACAATACAGAGAGAATACATTAATAGTTAAACTGTTATTTTAAAAAAAGGGGGAAATATGTAGCTTTATCATCAAAATGAACACTGAAAACGGCAATAATTTGTCGATAAAAAATCTCCAGTTATGAGGCCCAAACTCCAGCTGAAAATTTTCAAATCTCCAGTTGTGACTTGACAACTCTGTCACATGTATGAAAAAGTCAAACTTTTTAATTCTTTTTGTACAAACTGCTTTTTATGTTGTTAAAGGACTTGGTTTAATGAAGGGTCAAACAGGTACCATGTACAGAGTAGGAAATGCTTATTCTCCCGGGGAACATCATTTCACTCCTAAGGTCTGTATTAATGTATATCACTTCCTTACTGGTTGTCATCACGATTTGGTTGACCATTTTTCAATGTTCATTTCACAAATAGTTATGGATATTCTTCCTAGTCGTACTCCTAGTCCGTTTTTCTGATACTGGCTTTTAATTAAAAGCAGCTTTTTTGCTACCTTTGGACATTTCGATTTGTTAAAGGCAACTTTGAAATCATTAGTCAGATACATGTATGTACTGACTGGTCATCCATTTGCAGGAATTCTACTATAGATTTGAAAACTAGAAATTCGCCATAGATTAGGAAACTAAAAATTTGCCATAGATTATGATTCTAAAAAAATCTGCCATAGATTGGGGATGGCATGATGTCATATTTACCATAGATTAGAAATCTGCCATAGATCTGGAACCCACCATAGACTTGAGTCCTACATATATGTTTGCAATTTTGTTTTTCAACAATTTTTTGTTTATGCTTTTCTATGATGAGGGCCTCAGGGAAGATAAGTTATATAGCTAACTGTGTAACCCTCTTAAAATATAGTATTGTTGTTGTTGTTGTATGTCACACACTAGGGTCGTCTTTGTTAAAACAATCCAATCAGATTCTCTCAGAATTAATACTAAATATGTAGAGAAAATGGAAGTACAATCATGTGAACTAGGTAATATTTGATGGAAGAATTTAGAAAATATGCAAGACTTTTTAGTTGATATCTATTGTCATGATTGTAACCGTCAAAAGTAATATGATTTCTAGATATTCAAGTTTACTTCATAAATCCTAATTAAAGTGGAACTGAAAATCTGGAATGGAAAGGAAGATCCAGAGTAATGATGATTTATTTAAAAGAGTAGGACATTATATACAATGATCTCAACTCTTTAATTGACTTTTGTGATCCATGAACTTTATATGTACCTATTCATTTGTATTATTATTGTTAATCTTTTATTTGCAGAAAGAAGGGGAAGAAGGGAGCAAAAAAGCAAGAATCAGTAGCCAAGTTAGCTGTAGCAAACTCAAAAGTATGGGAAGCAAAATTAGACATAGCAGAGACTGCAAAATCAGAATACAGGTAATAATAAAGAGTATGGAAAGCAAAATTAGACATAACACTGGGACTGAAAAATCATAATACAAATACATTGTAATAATAAATGTATACAGGGTCATACCAGGGCTGCTATATTATCCCATACAAGAAGGTACACCAATAAACACAGATCATTTTTACGCATCAGCAGTGCATTTTTTTTCTACATCAGAAATGCTATGGCATTTCTTAAAAACACATCTAAAGATAAGTATGATACTGATCTCCATCAACTCGACAGATGTTTCTGGGATTGCCATCGTGCACACATGATACAAAATGTTTAAAAAATCAAAAAAAATTTAACATTTGAAAATAAAAAATTGACAGCATAAACAGATACCAAAATCATCCCAGTATCAGGATGTTGCAAACTTAAATTTTAAAAATAGATCTTCAGTACACACAGTGTGATTCTGTAAAATAATAACTTTTATGATGGTTTTTCACTGCGAACACTGGTGATTGTGGGCGATTCACTCAGAAATTAAACAAATCACCTTGCAAATGCCTTTTGTACCATAGAGGAAATGAAAAATAATTTATGGTTACTTGATTTCATGATTTAATGTAATTTTGCATGAAAAGCTATAGGAAATTGCGTTTTGTTGAATACTTAAAGTTGAGATTCACCTGGTATACTCACAACATCCACAAAAATTATAAGACCATATGACTTGAAGTGAATCCGAACAATTTCACAAAGATCCTCAAATGCTTTTATGGTTGAAGATTCCAAGAGCATTTGTCTTTGGAGTAAGTTTGTTTGATTATTTTTCAGGGAACATGCTAAGAAACTTATGTTAGAGAATGATCAGCTTCAAAGTTCTATGGTACAGAATGAACAGGAATCTATTGAGATATTTACACTGCTGCAACAAAATGAAGAGAAAAAGAATAACCAGGTCAGTTATTTGTACAAATTCTATTGTTAGAAATATTTAAAATTCTTCATTAAATTTGAATGTAAAAAAGAAAGAGCAGCTCTGTTCAGTGAATGTGGTATGGTAATTTGGGCTTATTGATTATTTAAAAAATTCTAAGATGTGTTATTACCAGCTGTGACCTAAGGTTTTGAGGACTATGCATTTTCAGAAATTTTACAATTTTTGGAAATTTGGTTTGGATACCCTTGATAATCAGGAGATAATATCAATGATATGTACTTCAAGTCCAGAAATAGATCCTAGCAAGAGAAAGAGCACAAAATCTCCTTTTTAGAATTCATCTCATAATCATTTAAAGATTTTACATATTGTATTAAAAACTTTGCTATAATTACAATATACTATGAGGCATTATGATGAAATACAAACAACAGTTCACAATATGCAATACAGAAATCTAAAGATTGAGCAACACAAACCATGCCAAAAACTAGAGGTGAAATCAGGTGCTTGAAAAATAAACAATACTTCTTTTTCTTGTTTAGAGAATATACTGCAGTGGGTTATATTAAAATTATAATATTGTATTTCATATTTCAGATGGAGAAAATGCAACAGTCCATTCGTGAGGTTAAAAAAGAACACAGAAAAGAGAAAGAAAACATTGTGGAAGGTTTCAGTAAACAGATAAATGAGCTGGAGGAAAAACTGGAAGAACGAACACAGGAAGTGCATGTAATGAGGAGTGAACTTAAGATGGTGACTGATTTCCAGAAACAGAAAACATCTATGATGAGGGAATTAGACAATGTAAGTTTTTAATTGAAATTTCCAAAACTGTGAAAATTTCTAAAATTTAAATGTGCTGAAGGTCTCCAATAGCAGTCATATTATTTACTTATCTATCAAGTATTAACTAACATAATTAAATATATAAAGTTTGGGATCTGAGAACACATGATAAAACCAGAATTTTTGTTTTTTAAACAAACCATAATAAATTTTATCCATGCAATTAAGAAAATATCACTGATTTTTTACACTGAGAGAAGATCAAAAACTTAAAGTCAGATGCCAGTGTCTGACTGTCTTTAACTGTTGTCATATTTAGTTTTTCAATTTAAATGTCAATTTATTTTAGTAAAGGTTGTGTAATGCCTTTAATTTAGTACTAAAAACCATGTCTGCCTGCATCTTAATCTGTAATTATCAAAGTCTAATCTATGACTTTAGAGTTTTAAAGTAGAATTTACATGTATAATAAAATGTATAATTAAGCCTTTTTGATTAGATCTAATATTTTTTTTCAGATTAAAAATGATATGCACAATGCCAACAGAGACCACAAAGGCACACTGGCTAGGATGGAACAGAAATTCTTTGAAGAAAAGGTATGTCTGAATACCTACAGATCTGTAAATAAGGAATTATATTCTCTTTTGTAAATAAAAACTGATTGCCATGATATAGCTAAAAGTGCTGAAAGTGGCATTAAACACCAGCAATAAATCCAGCTCATTAATATTTATTATTTGAGGCCAGTAATATTGAACTTTTATCTGTTGTTAGTGAATTATGATATTACTTCACTCAAGAGGAAATCTAAAATTTAATTTTTGAGATTTGAGAAATATTATACCTCAAGAGCAAACAGAAGGAGAACTAGTTTCTCCCATCCCATATGCAGGCCTAGGAGAGTTTGAATGTGGTTTGTAGAATAGAGAATGATGTGCCAAAAAAAATCAGGAATAGAGAACAATAGGGTACTAAGATATAAAGAAAAGAGAATAATAGGTTGTTAAAATATAAAGATAAGACAATAATAGGTTAAAAAATAAAGAATACAGAAATGAAGACCCCCCCCCCCCCCCCCAGTCCTACGCACACACAAAACAAAACAAAAAAAACACCCATCCAGACCCTCATGAATTTATGTTCAGTCTTTTTTTATGTTTAGCCAGTACAACAAATTACCAGTAATGAAAAGTCATAATGAGTTAAATACAAATCACAGCAATGGAAATTGCCAGTTTATTGTGTGACACAATTTAAATTATTTTTTAACACCTGCCTAAGCATCATATTAAATCACCTATTGAGAAATTTTTTGAACTCCAACTTGTTTAACTTTTCAGATGAGGTTACAACAAGAAGCCAATCAAAAAATAGCTGAGTTAGCAGAAAGAGCACACACAGAAGCTATTGCGTATGTATATTTACAGAGATAGTTTTTGTTTTATCCTGCATTCAGCCATTAACTACACAAATACAAGTGTGCAATTAAACTAATGTAATATTCATATATATATTTAAATATTTGCTAAAGACAAAATAATAAAGCTACATCTGTTCATTGAAGAACACAGATGAAGGGTAATACAAAATGAATCAACAAATTACTCACTATAACAGGCAAAAGACGTCTAGGTCATTTAGTCTCTGATGGAGAGTTGTCTCATTGTGATTGGCAATCATGCCACATCTTATTTTTATAAAAAATAGTACAAAATACTGAAATGATTTGCCTGAAAACTACAATGTGTATCAACTATGGGGCAAACTATGGACATACTGGTGTATTCAATCTTCATATTTGTTTGAGGAGTTTTTACCCTGGTCACTTTGGTTTTATCTGTCCATGAAATTTGCTGCAATGAAATTGTTAGATATTCTAGAAATGGTATAAAACCATATCAAATATGAAACCAAATAGAATGAGAAAAAATGTGTCTGTAACCAATGGATATGATTGTTAATTTAATATGTGCTGCTTTTTATAGTAATTTAGATGAAACAACAAAATCAGTGTATAAGGAGAACGTAAGATTATCAGAGGCCCTAAACTATCATATGAAAGAAGGAGAAGTATTAAAGAAGAAAGTAGCCAGATTAGATGAAGAAAATGAAAGTTTGAAAGGAGATAAAGAATTAAATGATATGATGATTCAGGAGAAAGTTACTCAAGTTAGACAACAGAAAGAACAAATCAGAGAGGTAATAATTGGCTGTAAAAAGTAAAATATCAAAAATACCGAACTCCAAGGAAAATTCAAAAAGGAAAGTCCTTTATCAAATGGAAAAAATCAAAAGCTCAAACACATCAAACAAATGGATAACAACTGTCATATTCCTGACGTAAAGGAACAAAACTTTCTGAATTTTAAAAATATCCAGAAATTAAAGCAATGTTTTACTATATATTACATGTGAAGTATGACTGGAAGAGCATCACAATCATTAAGTTATATGTAATTGAAGTTTAATGTTGATAGTCTATAAGAAAATATGGGAAATGTAACTTATTTTTATAGTTTGTTAAATTTCTTAATTAGTAAGACCTATAGCAATCTAACATTGTTTACAGACATGTCACCAAGGCATTAAAATCTGACTACACTATAAGACAGAATTACACCATCCTGACTTTAGATGTATAATGTATTATAGCAATGGTTTAGAACAGTCAAATAAAAGAAAAGTGGCATCTTTTTTTAAAAGTAACCACATATATTTAAAGCACAAAATTTGATTGGTTGACAATACTACATTAAAATTACCAGCAAATCCAAAGCATTACTGAATTCAAAAATGCGATAGAAATACTGAATATTAAACACAGATGAAATATTATAATTCATCAAAACCATGGTTAATCATTTTCCTCTCTTTTTTTTTTTGTGTTTTAATTTGAGGAACCAAAGCTCCAAATTATGTGCTACATATTATCTCCCCTGAATCGGATATCTTTTCCCTCAATTTTCAATTCTTTAGACTTTTAATCAGACAAGTAAATTTGTACTTGTATTTCTACATTTTATACAATTTATTTAATCCATTTTTGCATACTAGTAGAGACATTTTATTCTATTAAATATTACAGTAAATGTTTTAGACTTTACTAGAGGCAACATTTTGAAATTCCAATACAGAACATGTTTTAATTTTAGTTACAAGAAAAAGTGGAGTTATTAGAGAAATCTCTGAGTCACATGTCTAGAGAGTTTGACACGACAAGGAAAGACCTAATAACCAGATCAAGAATAGAAAACGAAGCTTCAAAAATAGAAATAGCTAAATTACAACGTGTGATTGAACTGAAAAATAAAGAAATGAACAAAGTGAAAAGATTAGCCAAAAATATTCTGGATCAGAGGACAGAGTTAGAACGGTTCTTCTTAGAGTCGTTAGAACAAGTACGAATGGAAATAAATGCTAATCAGTAAGTAACTATATCTCTGATTTAAGTCATAAATAACCTTATTATTATACTTGAAATATTCAGGATCATTAACATTGTCAGTGGCTTCTTTAAAATTGTCAAAGTTTGGGATTGTATAGGTCATTTAAAAAGAATCATTTTCGAGAAAACAAAATCTTGTATGCAGTTATATTAACATTTGCATTTTGTTTCCATATAGATTAATTCATAATGTTTACATGTTTATCATTTGTGATTAAACAAGTACCTCTTATCATAAGCCTGAGGTATTTGGTATACAGTTGCAAAAATTAACATCTGTATATTTCATTGAAGTGAAAGTATTCAGCCCCACACTCTCAGTCATGATCCAGTGTCTTTGACATTTTTGCATAAACTACAGGTTAAAGGTTAAGATTTTCGTCAGATAAAGAGGAAACCTATGATTAATTGTCTCATTTAAATTTGAAGGTAATTGTAACATCGTTTGGAATAAATTTTTTAATTAATCTGTTAAGAACATAAAACCCTATTAATAGTTTTGATGTTTTTTATGTGTTATTACTCTTTCTAGCCATGTTCCTTATGAATCAATCAAAATCAATGTATTTAGATACAATAACAGTTAGATTTTTGAAAAAGTAGTCTTCTGAACAATTCTTTTTTGTTAAAGGCCATGTATAAATCTCTAGTTAGACTTGCTTGTACCACATATTTCAATTTGGCTATTCAAATACAAATATCAATCAGTCTTGCCTCCAACATTGTGGCCAAGGGAGATAACTCCATCTCAAATAAGGTCATATTTACCATGTGGACCCAAGTAATCATTGTGTTTAGATGTTATTCAAAAGATGGCATTTTATCAATGATATTGATATCATTTAATAATAAAATGAATAAGATATAGTTTGTTCAATTTTTTTAAATTAGCATTTTTATATCTGTGGAAGTAAGTATGGAAGTATTGTCTTATTTTTTTAAAGATAAGGACAGTTGCATGGAATTCACATAAATATCATTGTAAACTCACAAAAATGTTATAAATTATGTTCTTTTTCACAGTGTATCACAGTGTAATTTTTTTATATTGATATGGATTTGTGTGTTTATTTTAAGCAATTGTAATTATTACTTCACTGAAATATTGTAATTTTCTGGCATTCACTGTATAAAGTAATTTAGTAAACTTGGCCTTTTAGTGGGAGGTAATTTTTAATGCCCTCCTATGACAGAAGAGTGCATCATTATTTCTGGTCTGTTCGTCTATCCTGTATCATGCTAAAGATTTGGTTAAAGGTAGTTTATCATGAAGTTGTGATCACATCAACTTGAAAATTACTTCACATGTTTCTTTATATGTGAACTTCTAAAATTATAAGTCAAATTACACTTTGACCCTGATTTAACAGTTCACTGAACATGGAAATGTGATAGTGTGAAATCAGTACATTCTCAGGTTAAAGTTTTTGGTAAAGGTTGTCAACCATGAAGTTGTGGTCATGTCAAAATGAAAAATTAAAAGTACTGAAAACCTACACTTTTATAATTTACACCCAATGTTAATTTTCAATTTAAATTGTTTCAGAGCCCAATACAGACAAGATGCCCAGAAAGCTTACCAACAGAAAATGTTAAATGCTTACAGTGGCAAGGGAGATTATCCTAGGATTAGGACATTCAATAAGTCAGATCAAAGCACCAATAATGTGTACTCAGATTTACAGGCTGCTGAAAAAATGTAGGTACCTTAAATCACATCTTATTTCAGTATATTTATAGTATATAAGTAGATACTGAATTAATTATTCTGCTAAAATTTAATAGGCAAAGATGCTATACAGTATATATACTTATGCACTTTCTATTGTATTCAACCTTTTACTAATATATATATTGCACATATGTAATCTTGGTATTTATAACTTGCAGTTCTACATATTGAATTAATATTCAGTTTATATTAACAAATACATGATTTCAGCAGGTTTTTCTAATTATAATGACTAATATGGTTTTAAAATCTTATAAATGCTTTTGTGCCTAATACTAGGGCTTTTCAGCATGTCTGTTAATACTGCTATTTGTTACATTTACCAACAAAAAGACAACGTCATTGCAAAAGCCTTAAAGTTTAAAGTCCTAGATTTTGCAATGAAATCAAGATTAATATACAATTTTGTTTTGTGCTAACATCCTTAAGGAAATTCTTTATGAAAATAATGTTATACGAGAGCATATGCTGTAAATGAAAATTACTCTTCATAAAGTTCGTGTGTCTAAAGTGCTTTCTGGATTTACCTTCATCAGTAACGCTGTCAAAAGTTAAAATGCAAGGTTTTTTCATTTTTTGAAACCTACCCAGTGGCAATTTTCAATGTAACTAAACATCTAGAAATTTCTGAACTTACAGTAATGTTCTATCATGATTTGACTGTAAAAAAATTGTTATTTCCACTTTTGGTAAGTGCTATCGTATTTTGGATTTTACTGTTTACTGAACCCCAAGTAAAAAATGGTCAGTATTTGTTTATGTTTTTGTCTGGTTTAAGCAAAGCAAGTCAGATTTTTGTTTCTATCATTATTTTTTATTAAAGTCTTACCTTACAGACTCTTTAGTATAATTTACAATTATTTATTTTATTTGTATACAGAAATATAGTGTATGTATAGAATTGTTGTTTGATGGTTATATATTTATATGTCTGCATGGATATGGTTGATTTTGTAAACACATGATGAAAGAATTTCTTATATATTTCACATTATTATACACAGGTTATTTTAGGACTACACATTTCTTACACTGCAGACAATCTTTAATGTTTGAAATTGTTTTATAAATTTGGGAACATCACTTTGAAAAATTGTAAACAGCTCCTTTTTTCTAGATGTAGTTTTGGCTCTAATTCCTTAAATCTGCATATTTGTTAGCATTAGAAAGTTGGAAGAAAAACATTTTTATGATAAATTTTTATGCATTGGCACACATTTTAATTCTATTTATCATCTTAATTCATGGAATGGTTGTGATATATAAAGGAATAACTGTGTTATGATAGAAATCTTGCTGATGTCAGTTGGCAAAAATGAATGAAATGACATTGAGCTGTATTCAAATATGATATAGTCACAGTGATTTCGTTGCAAAGGTGGAATTTTGTCTGTTAAACAATAAGAAGAAATGTGGTCTGCATTTGGGTAAAAAATTCCAACAGGTAAATCTTGGACCTCTGTGTTCAAGTTACTCCCCATGAAATAACTGTCCAATAACAATCTAGGGTACAAAGAGCATTAGAATTCAGCAGTACAAAACTTCTGAAAACAAAAGCTGCTTTACATTTCAAAACTTTTATTGCATATATAGATTATTTTATATATTGAAAGTGCATGTTTTAAAACAATTAAATATACCATTTTTTATTTGAATACTAAAAGCTGTTAATTCAAATGATTAGAAATAGTGTTTAAAATATTTAATGATTAAATAAAATTTAAAATGGTATATTAGATTTCTCCACTGGTGACAAGTCAAAAACCTTCCAGCAGAAAGAAAAATTTATTCTCCAATATTTGTAAAGTAAATACACTTCTAGCTGCTTGCGTACACAACTATAAGGCTGGTATCATTGATGAATTTTTTCATGGGAATTTGATTTAAAATGATCTTTAAGTCAAGAAACATTTTTAAAGTTTTCTTTTTTTATTTATACAATGAATTTAATATATATATTTTTAAAGCCATCATAATTTTGTAAAATTGTGTGATATTTGGGTGAAATCAAGTATTTTAGTTTTGATATTCTGTTAGTGTTAATTTTTTTTGGGGGTAAATTCTTAGTTTTCAGAGTTAAAAAAAGTATCTACAAATAACTGCTTTGGATTTTGTATTGTACAGAAAGTGGCAAAAACAATATATATTTATATGCATATATAAGTATTGAAGTTTTTGGTTCTTTTAAATGGAAAAAATAAAGTTAATGGAAGACTTTTGACTTAATGTGTAGAAAGATCAGCATGATATCTGTAGTAAATTGTCTTCATATGTAGAAATAATTGCACGATATCTGTAGTAAATTATCTTTAAACTTTTTTCTACTTTGTGCTTCTCTTCATCACTCATTATCAGGAAAAAGGTCAAGTAAGTTTATCTTATTGTGTTTTTGTTTACTGATTAAGGAAAATCAACAATGGGATAGAATTGAACAGACAAAGATTGGGATGGGGAAAAAACTAGGTGAAAAGTCATTGAATACATAATTTGAAAGGAAGCAGATCTCTTCATGATTCCTATTAATTTATTCAACTTATAATATATTGTTAGCTAAATGTTGTAGTTTGCATTGCTTTTATTCTCTATTCTAGTACTATCTGTTCTCAATAGAAATTTTCTAATATTCATTACTTTTATTACAAATAATTGAAAAATGGAGAGCCTAATAAAAAAAGTGTTTTTAGTTTCCTTTAAATTCTGGAAGCCTTAGTATTTTTTCGGGAGAGATTAGAATGTGTGCAGTTGGAAATCCATAATGAACAGTAAATAAATTTCTGTGATTTAATTTTGGTGCAAGTGTTTCATTTCCATTTTCTTTATACAGCATATTCTGTTTTCATGGGGAAATATATTTAGCATTCCTGAAAACAAAACATACCGGTATTATTAAGTGCAAATAACCCTAGGTGAAAATAGATAATTTGTACTAGTTTCTGTGAGTTTCATTTATAAAAGCATGACACTATCAACACATTACAAGTTTTAAGTTAGTTTGACAGTTGTTGAACAGCTTACAACATAAGGTAGCTTTAAAACATCAATTTTAGATCTAACAGTCAAACTTTATCACAAAATTGAATGACACATCACTATGTCATTTGAACTATGAACTGATTCAACCCTTTAATCCCTCTACAGGTATGATATAGGAGGGAAAGCTGATGTCAGTGATCTAACATGGGAACAGAAAGAGAAAGTGCTGCGATATCTGTTTGCCAGGATGAACGGGAGTGCCAAACCACCAAATCTTCCCAAGCCACCACCTCTGCCTGCTATAGATAGAAGCCAACAACTCAGTATCACTGGTGGACAAATGTATGTTATAATTATCACAATAGGGAAATAGGGGGAACACACAATACTGTGATATACTGATATAACTGTGTTTTCCTTAGAAAGTGGTAACCTGCTAAATAGCCTTCTACTTTATGATTTTTCTACTTACCGGGATAATGATTTTGTCTGTCTACATTTCTGTCAATTGTAAAAGTAATTCAAAAGCAACTTCATGGACGTAAGCAACTACAGTTCTGAGATGTTAATCATAAAGTTTTTTACAAAAACTTTGCCAGAATCATTATAATTTACAGAGTTTTTAACCTTTGCATTATTAGTTTAATATTTGTGTTGATTATTTTTCTCCATATTTTGTAGGCCTGAAGATTCTAAAGATGAAACTTTCCTGACACAAGCTAGAATGGAAGAAGCTGAACCAGTTGGGTCTTAAAGCAGAAAACATCATTTACTGAACATTTACTGACTTGTGCTTTTTAATGTAACATTGTTATCTGTCTTTAATTGAAGTGATGTATTGATACAATGTTTCAAGAATAGAACAGAAAGTTTTGGGTTTTTTTTGTACGAAAAGAACACTTTTAAGGGAGAAAATATATATGGTTACTGTATTAAAAATCTTGTTTATACAAATGTTTTGCCTTTTATCTACTTTTTGTGTTAATGGACCAGGATGGGGAAAGTATGGAAGATGAATGCATGTTGAGTGCTTGGTAAATCAAAGCAAAACTATATTAAGTTACTTCTTGTTTATTCTTTTTGAAGAGATGAGAAACTGAAATATTTGCTAACTGTGACAATTTAAGTTATCTCCCCTGGTCATTAGGATCACAAGATAGCATATTACCAACTAAACATGGGTCTTGTAACTGACATGTACCTTTCCTCGTCTTAGATGATATCCTTTTCTCATAAATAAGGGAGATAATCAAATCAAATCAAAGATTAAAAACATAAACTTTTTTTGTTTTGGAAGGGGATAAAGAAAATAGTGAATGCATGGGTTTATATGTTTCTTATGTAACTTTTTATTATGTTATAGCTGTGAAAGTATGAAAGTTGAATGTAGAGATATAATTCACTGAAAAGGGGCAGATTTTCTGTAAAACTTAGGAATGAATGAGACAGTTATGTATCTTCTTTGTTTACTGAACTTTAGAAACTTTTTCTTTTTTTTATCATAATTATTAATTTGCCTCCCACAGAATATGGCATTGTTAAAGATACTTTGCCTTGAGACATCTTTTTTACCTTTATTTACAAACAAGTACTTGATATAAGTGAATGCCATAATCTTATTGATATGACCAGTAAAGTTCATATTGTGTACCTAGTCTTAACATTCCGTTCCTTACAATGATAGTGATGATGACAATTATGCCTTAGATAAATGTGATAGGTTATTTAAATTTTATCAGATGTCTATTTTATTTTTGTTTTTATGTGAAATCTGTGATAAACATATTATATAAATCTGTTTTTGTTTTATTTATTTATTTCACTCATACAACTGTTTTGTTATTTTTATCATACACCCGTTGATGATGTGATGTATAGCAGTATACCAATGTCCTGGTTTGTCATTTCAGAGTTATGGGACTTTTAACAGTCATATTTGACACAATATAATACGCCTAAGGGAGTCCTCCTGCAGTTTTTTCTTCAGAGCCATTATATTTGCTTCTGATTAAATGCCTAATGGCCCGAGAACACAGTTATTTCATAGTGCATTTCTTTTAGACAATAAATTCAAATGAAAAAAATCGCACCTGCTCTATCTCAAAAAGATTTTTACAGTGTAGTGTACTACTATTGATACAAATAATATCAAAATTATAGAAACTTCTACCAGCTCTAACTCAAAATATTGACAATTCTGTGTTAAGGGAGGCTAAAATTCAGTTTGACAGCTTCAGACATTCTAATTTTTGACCTTTTTTAACTGGACCAAATCACTACTTAACATAAAGATTCAGCACCCAAATTTTTTTAACATGTAATTTCATCCCCTTACTTAATATTTCATGCATAAAATATCAAGAAATAAATTAGGAAAGTGAATCAAAAAAAATGCAAGTTATACACTGTTCACACTAGGGACTATATTCGTAGACAACGAAAACCAAAGGACGATAACTGTGTCCTTGGACCTAATAGGATAGAAAGACTTGACCAATTTTAATAAAACTTTGCATGACCTAAGCTTAGGAAATTATAAGATAGTTGGCCAAGTTTCATGGCCATAGAATATATATTATAGAAACTAGGGCCATTTTAATATTGAAATTAATATGTTTATTTTTGACGTTTAAATCAAATATTTTCAACTGTCAAGATTTTGGCCTAAAAAATTTAAATATTGCAAAAATTTGCTTTTTAAATACTCTTGAATATAATATAATAAGTATTAAAAGCAACGGAACACTCATTTGATTTATCAGATTTATCACAGTTATTCAAAAGTCAAATTTATATGAGCCTGTGTCTGAAAATAGAGATTTTCGAATTAAGGAAAGCCATACATAAACATGCATTTTTTTCAACCAATTTGAAGTTTTTGAAGTTTTTTAACCATACATTATTCTTCCATATATATTAAATGTACTTTAAATATAAAGAAAAGTTACAAAAAGCATATCACATGAGTATAAAATGGTCTTAGGCCATGTAAGACTGAGAATTATTTAGGGTTGATTTAGGCCGTAGCCCATATTTACATATAAAAATGCACACAGAGGCTATAAGAAATGAAAATTTGTTACTTTTTGCTCATTTTTATGCTAAGATGTCATGATACAAGAAGTCTAATTGCAAAAGGACTCTTGAATTCAACTTTTTTTTGCAGACAGTATGGTCTGATGACCAGTTTTTTACTTTTCAATGGAAAACTTGCATGTAGTTTTAGTCTCAATTGGCATATATTTGAACCACTTACTATCCTAAAGAAGAAACTTATGGTATAATATGAAATGAATAGGGTGTACTGATCATTGTAAAGTGTTTTTTTTTCACAGATTTAGTGAAATATTTGTGATGGACTACAGATTTTATGTACAAAGCTCTTCACATTTCACATACATCAAACAGGCCGTTTAACCAGGGACATAAATACAAATATTCTGCACATTTTTTCTGTGATAATCATCTTTTCTCTAGATTCAGAGTTCACAAATGGTTAATTAAATTTGATTTAAGCATAGAAACACAAATATCAGGAACATAAAAAGCTGTCAGATAGAAAGTCAGCAAGGCTCTTAGGCATAAACTGGAAACTGCTTTAAAATGCTTATTTTAGCCGTATAATGCCAAAATGGGACATTTTAACAGAATTTCTGTCAAACAAAGATGTAAATCCTTTACTTTTATTGAGTTTGACAAATTGAAACCAGCAAACCACTCAGGAAAGTTGCCAAAGTACAGAATCTACATTTACGGAATTCATCTCTTAGGCCCGAGAACACAGTTATTTCGTAGTGCATTTCTTTTAGACAATAAATTCAAATTGAAAAAATCGCACCTGCTCTATCTCAAAAAGATTTTTACAGTGTAGTGTAATACTATTGATACAAATAATATCAAAATTATAGAAACTTCTACCAGCTCTAACTCAAAATATTGACAATTCTGTGTTAAGGGGGGCTAAAATTCAGTTTGACAGCTTCAGACATTCTAATTTTTGACCTTTTTTAACTGGACCAAATCACTACTTAACATAAAGATTCAGCACCCAAATTTTTTTTACATGTAATTTCATCCCCTTAATATTTCATGCATAAAATATCAAGAAATAAATTGGGAAAGTGTATCAAAAAAAAATGCAAGTTATACACTGTTCACACTAGGGACTATATTCGTAGACAACGAAAACCAAAGGACGATAACTGTGTCCATGGACCTAATAATTAAATATCCAATTCTATTTTTGCAACAATTTCAATATGCACAATACGGGTGTATCATGCGCTCTTGATGAAGTTATTTATTCTTCCAAGTAATTAGATCATTTTGATTAACTTAGAACTATTTAAACATTTGATAGATATTGAAATCAATGTTGCTTTTTACCTAAGTTCCAACAATGCAATTTTAATTTCAAAACTTTTTTCAAAATGGCTCTTTGTGAAACAGTAATAGAATAAACCACTTGCAAAAAACTAGTATCTAAGCCGTTTGGTCTTTCATGGATAGTTGCTTCATTGCTTCATTGCAAATCAAACCACATCTTCTTATTTTTATAGTAAGATTTTTATGATTTTTGTTTGTAACTTTTTACTGCAGGTTCTAAGTAGTCACATTGTAACTAGGCAGAGCGAATTTTGGCATTTATAACTCATTAGTAGTTTATATAACTTAGTATTCAAGCTTTCATTTATTGATGCAGATTACAAGTCCAGTATGTAATGCAAGTTTCTTTCTGAAGTCAAAAATTAACAGAACTTAATAATGATAATAATAATGATAATAATGAAAATAATAATAATAATCTTTATTTCAAGAGGGTAATCTCAATTATTACAAACACTATTCTTTCTTGAGACATTCACACACCATTCACAATGTATCACACAAAATTTTACCAGTAAAAACTTAAAATAATTTAATTTGAAAGAATTCATATTTGACATGTGTCTCAGTTCTTCTGAAAGTTTATTCATTGATAAACATTAGAGACTTGCTGAAAGTCGTTGATTACTAATATCAACCAAAAGAAAGAAAAATATCTTTAGTTGAGTTTGATAGACTTTAATATCCGTAGAGGTTAACTTTTTATGAAGTTTTAATACCAAGGCCATAAAGACGCTATAAACATATCAAATAATATCTAATGTGCAAGAGGTATTTGCTGCTGGACATAACATTTTGATTGATTGATTGCTTCTTAACACCCAATTGCAGATATTAAATGGGTCAATATTCCTAATGGGCCTCAAATTGAGTAACACAAAAGTTATTCGTAAACTAAAAATATTGTGTAGTGATATTGGACATGTTTCTATTTTTAGCAAGTGACAGAGCTTAACCATTTGTGTTGATTTGGAAAGTAGAGGACCATAGAATAAGTGTGTTAAAACTATGGAGTTATTAAATGTATGCAAAGTATTAAATTTTCAAAGAACTTATCGTGTGAAAAAAGGGATTTTTTACCACGAGGAGCCGCATCATGAAAGGATTTTTGGGATGTGCTAAATTATGTAAAAATGAATCTCACTTCGTACCCTGAAAATTTAACCACATATGTGAAAATGTCTCAGCTTCGAAACCAGCCATCATTCATATCCAAGTTTATGATATGGACTGAGCTGCAGAAGAAAATGTTACCATTACCACCTATGGGAAATCAATTACGCATACTGACCCAGATGCATATTCAGGACAATAACATCTCAATGGGCGACGAATACACCCGTCTCATTGCTAGACTGACATGCTGAGTTGCATTTTTATCTTCCTAGCTCAGAAATGACATTCCATAAAAAGACATATCCCATGCATAGACACATTGACCTGACTCTAGAGATGAGCAGTCTGTGACCAAGACCGGGATTGAAGTCATTTCTCCTAAGACCTTATGCACTCCAGGCATAGGAACATTGATCTAACTCTTAGAGATAAGCAGTCTTTGACCAAGACAGGGATTGAAGTAATTTCACCTAAGACCTTATGCACTCCAGGCATAGACACATTGATCTAACTCTTGAGATGAGCAGTCTTTGACCAAGACAGGGATTGAAGTAATTTCACCTAAGACCTTATGCACTCCAGGCATAGACACATTGATCTGACTCTTGAGATGAGCAGTCTTTGACCAAGACAGGGATAGAAGTAATTTCACCTAAGACCTTATGCACTCCAGGCATAGACACATTGATCTGACTCTTGAGATGAGCAGTCTTTGACCAAGACAGGGATAGAAGTAATTTCACATAAGACCTTATGCACTCCAGGCATTGGCACATTGATCTGACTCTAGAGATGAGCAGTCTTTGACCAAGACAGGGATTGAAGTCATTAAACCCAAGACCTTATGCATTCCAGGCTAGTAAGCAACCAAAACTCTGTAGAGGAGGTTCAGTGGACAGTATGCTAATAAAACAGTAATGAGCATATCTTAAATTGTATTGGAAATTTGAATTGACAATAGAAATTCGGCATGCAGACATAAATTATCTGGAAAGTATTTCAAGGTAATATCATTCGGTTTCATATATAGCAGAAAAAATATAATTAACAGGAAAAAATTGAAATGTTCATTACAGCTTAATTATTTTACTGTGTACTCTGTGCATTTATCTGAAGTTTGCTTCTTTTTTATATATCACAGGACAAGTATCATCAGTGCTATCCCATGACAGAAAATAACCACATGGTTTATCATAGGAAATAATCACATAATCATATAACAAGTAGTATGTAAGAAACTGTCACATTACATTTTAGTGTATTTACAGTTTACTCAATTTTTATATTGATATATCT